ATGCCAAAACCAGTAACAGTAACGGGTCTCATTCCCCTAACCATTGGGAAAGACAAGTAAGGAGAGGCTGCTAAAATCTCAGGGCTGGGACAAATGGAGATGTTACTGGTGCCTGCTCGAGTAACTCGATGAATAATGGGATGACAGTGATACAGTGATATTATGAATATCATGAGAGTTTGCATAGTCACAAAAGCGTCCGCGTGCTTCTGGACTCTAAAACTGTAAATGGTTGGGGTCCAGGGGCCATCTCTGTAGGGAGCTAATCCATTTTGATGATTCATTTGTGAGACTCTGGATCAAGGCCCTTGGTGCACTGAGATGGTGCCCGGAAGCAGATCGTGGGTGTGACAGCCAGGACCCCAAGCAGATGGGGAGAACGGGAAGGGCCGGCCCATCTCCGCCGCCTCCCTGTGGCCTCGAGTCTTGGTCTTTGAACCTGTGTACCCGGGTTTTGCTTCTGGAAGCCTGTGGCCTTTGGGGTTTCATCTGGGAGGGTGGAGAGGGCACACCTGCTCCGTCTGGGAACTGACTGGGTTCGGGGTCTGGAGAGGTCTCTGGTGAGCTGCCGTCTTCTGGGGTTCACTGCTATGTCTCTGGATGAAGGCCGCTGATCCCTGTCTTCTTCCTTTTTCCTTAGTGACTTCCAGCGGCGTTCAGTTCGTCTGCTCTCGGTGGTGCTCTGAGGCCGACCCTTTTTTCCAGTTCCTAGAAGGTTTCGCTTCACTGCTGCGCTTATCTGTGCTTCTTTATTCATCTTGCTCTTCACTGTCACCTGGGAAAGGCCGCCCTTTCCCATCCATGAAATGACCCCTGGCACCAATGCCTGTTTCCGGCCAGCCATGCTCTTTGACTGCCCAGCCTTTGGTCATCAGCCGCTCAGGCACCTGAGCACCCAGAGAGCTAGAACCTGCGTTTTCTGGGGAGGAGTTTGTGGCTTCTTTTAGTTTCTTCAAAAAGATTCCAAACCCCCGAGCTGCAAAGGGCTTGGAATTCTATACGCCAAAACCAGTAACAATAATGGGTCTCATTCCCCTAACCATTGGGAAAGACAAGTAAGGAGAGGCTGCTAAAATCTCAGGGCTGGGACAAATGGAGACGTTACTGGTGCCCGCTGTGCCTGCGTCTGCCAGTGCCCATGAGTCCTTGGTGCTCGCCTGGTCTCTATGGAACCAGCCTCCTGCGGAAGGAAGCCCCTCTGGGAGAGTTCAGATGGGCCCTTAGCACAGAGACACATAGTCTGGGCCCCTGCTCTGGTAGTGGACACAGCGAGCGGGGGAGGGGAGGGCGGGACAGTCACTTCCACGATGATGGAGTTTTCTAGTGATTCGTTGATTCCCCTGATGCTGAGATGTGTGTGTGTGGGGCGGGGGGGAGTGTTCGGTGAACCCATTTTCGAGCCAGACTCCCGAGTTCTGATCCCAGCTCTGCCATTGGCTGTGTGGAGTCCTTCAGCAAATCATGTCCTTTTTGTGTGTGCCTTCAGTGTCCTCATGTATGAAGTGGGGGCATGGCCAGGGGTGTAGTTCAGGTGGCAGATCCCTGGGCTTGATCTCTGGCACTGCCTGCCCTGTCCCCAGCATTGCTGGGCATGGCCCTGGTGAGTCCCAGAAAAAGCGCTGTAGCACTGTCCTCCTGTTGTTCATCGATTTGCTCTAGCGGGCACCAGTAATGTCTCCATTGTGAGACTTGTTGTTACTGTTTTTGGCATATCGAATATGTCACGGGAAACTTGTCAGGCTCTTCGAGAGGGGCAGAGGAATCAAACCCAGGTCGGCCGTGTGCAAGGCAAACGCCCTACCTGCTATGCTATCACTCTGGCCCAGGGAAAAAAAATAATTAAAAAAAAGTAAAATGAGGGTATTAGGCTATTTTGGTCTTAAGTCTGTTGTCAAGGCTAAATGATAATACCAAGTGTTTGTGACTGTATTACTACAGGGTAGGTGCTTGCTAAATCAGCTCTAAAGGAACGGGGTTGGGGGTGTTGTCCTTAGTTATGTTCAAAGTAGTAGAACGTGGACAGTGCGATCTTAGTATCGAGAGGTAGACAGGCTGGTTTGTGTGTGCGTGTGAGGGTTATTTGTCTCTCGACGCCGAGAGTCACTTCCCTAGAGCTGTTTGTTTACTTCCTAGCTGTTTCAATTGCATGTGGGTGGGCTAGCATCATTCATGGAGGGAGATTGCCGTCACGGAACGTCCTTGTGACAAAACAGGGTAGCCTGTGTGCTTGTCACTGAAGTTGCTGGCTGAGGGTCAAGGGCCTCGGGGACACTTCCAGTGGCCTAGAGGAGTGCTGGAGCCACAGCACAGAGCGAACACTGTGAACGTGAGCAACAACCGACAACCACAGAACTAGAACCTCTGCCTGTCATGGTGGCCGGCTGGGTGGGTGAGAGGGAACTTGGGGCCAGGGTGGAGGGGAGTGGCCGCTGGGGTGGGAGGGACCCGTGGGATTGGTGTTGGAATATGATAGGCCTGCAGCTCAACTCTCAATAATGCCGTGAATCATACTTCTTTAATAAAAAATTGAAAAGTGTATTACTAATAAAGTCACATTTATTTCATTATCAAAAATGTGTATTGTACCTTGTTTTGGTCAGTTGCATTCTGACCAGTAAATCATAGCAGTTCAAAATGAAAAAAAAACAATAGGGTCATTGGTGACTCCACACCTGCATTCCCCAGACGATAAATCTGTCTCTGTCGCAAGCAAATGCTGGCATCCATCCGGGCCCTGGCACTCGACCCCCTCCCGGCTCAGAGTGGTGAAGCATTTCCTCCACTGCTTGTCTGCTCCTGGGTAGGAAGTGAACAAGTCTGAGTTCGTAACTTGTTCTTGAGACTGAAAGATGTGGGGCGGCGGGGTCAGGGATCACAAAGATGGTACCTTGGGATTTCTTGTACATGCTCTCAAATATGATGGAAAACTTGGCCGCACACGGAGGCTGGAGATTGGTGTCTGAGACTGGTTCCCCGTTCCCCCATCTTCCCTCCCCCCACTTTCCTTCATTCCTGCTTCTGTGTGCTGCTCTCTTCAGTTAGTCCTTTAAAATAAAGGCCCTCCCGTTGTTCGTCGATTTGCTCGAGCAGGCCCAGTAACGTCTCCATGGGAGACTTTGTTGTTACTGTGTCTGGCATATCGAATACGTCATGGGGAGCTTGCCAGGCTCTGCCGTGCGGGCGAGATACTCTCGATAGCTTGCTGGGCTCTCCGAGAGGGGCGGAGGAATCGAACTCGGGTCGGCCATGTTGGCTGCGTGCAAGGCAAAAGCCCTACCGCTGTGCTATCTAGACTGCAGAGGTAGTACAGTGGGTAAGGTGCTTGCCATTAGGGGTGATCTCTGGGCATAGAGCCAGATATAAGTCCTGAACACTGCTGGGTATGACTCCCCAAGCAAAATTTTAAAAAAATCATAGGTGGAAATGATTGATAAATAATGATGATAATAATTGCCCATAGTGTTTCAGTCCATGGTTTGTTCATATAGATGGTAGGTAGGTATTCAGGGGGGACGTAAGTGATTTTTTTTTTCCTTCCCTTGAAAAGTGAGAGCCAAATTAGTTTGGAAACCTCTGGCTTAAGAGTTTTATTTCAGAAAGCCTGTAGTGATACAGGCATTTTGTAATGATGAGAATGCAATTATAACAAAATAACGAATTTAGAGAGCATAGTACAAAAGTGTATATACAGTGTGAGGTCGATAATATAACGTTTAGCAATTTTTTTTTGCAGCATAATGTAAGTTATTAGGGGCCACACTGGTGGTGCTCAGGGCTTCTACCTGGCTCTGCGCTCAGGGGTCCTTCCTGGTGGGGCTCAGGGTACCATAGAAGAGTGCTGGGAATTGAACTCAGCTGGTGTCCTACCCACTCTACTCTCTCTCCAGCCCCCCACCCCCCTTACATAAATTAGGAACGGTTGCTATTTGGGTTGATAATATGATCGAATATATACACTGTGATCTGAAATCCACATTGGTGGCGATGTGTTCTGTTTTTAAGGGAAGCAAATCTTCCTGTGATGTCAAAGCAAATATTCTCTAGCAGTATCAGTTTTTTTAAGATCACTCACAGTGTGGTATTTGCTTGCCACACTTCCCGGCTGTTGCTCAGACATCGCCTTCCTCTGGCCGCAGACAGCATTTTCCCTGCCCTGGGAACTGTGATCTGGGAGCTGAGCTGGGAGCTGGCCCAGAGGGCTGGAGTATGTGCATGTGGGACCCCCCTGGTTGGATCCCCAGCACCACACAGCTGTCCTTCCTCCCCTTGCCCAAAACCGCAAAAGATGAGACTTTTTATCTGTCCTGAGAAGAATCCTGGGTATCTGTCATTGTATCACTGTCGTCTTGTTGTTCATCGATTTCCTCGAGCAGGCACCAGTAACGCCTCCTTTGTCCTAGCCCTGAGATTTTAGAAAGTGCCACATTCGAGGCTCTTTCAAGATCAGGAGAATGAGACCCATCATTGTTACTGGTTTTGGGCATATTGAATACGTCACGGGGAGTTTGCCAGACTCTGTCTTGCAGGCAGGATACTCTCGGTAGCCTGCCAGGTTCACCAGAGTAAGAACTAGATAAATAAGATGTCGTGGCCACACGCTTCTGGGAGCTGGATTTTATAGTCTCTGGGTCTTGGCCTCTGATGGGATTACATGGAACTGGGGGCAATTGGTGGGTCTAATGCCTACATACTGGAAGATGGGGGATCTGGGTGGAGGAGGCCCAGTTCCAATCCGAGCAGGCTTGGAGATCTATGTGCCCCAGGTAGATCTGTACACAGCCATACCCTTGCCCCTCACCCCGTCCTCGCCAGTGGCTTGCATCTACTTCTTTGTGTCTTTCTGGACCACTGACCCGTCCACGGCCCCGTCGGTGAACATCTCTGCACTGCAGGACTTTGGGGTCTCAGCACCTCTCCCCGGCAGCTCCCCTCCCTCTTTGCCCAAGAGATGGGATCGGTCACTTGGTCTGACATCTCATTTCCGCCCCCTTTGCTTCTAGAATTGGTCCCTTCAGTCATGAGCAACTCGCTGAATCCAGATGCCATCTTCTCCAACAACGAAGTCAGCCTGTCGGACATCGAGATCTACGGCTTCGACTACGATTACACGCTGGTGTTTTACTCCAAGCACCTGCACACGCTGATCTTTAATGCCGCCCGGGACCTTCTCATCAACGAGCACCGGGTGAGAGCTTGGCTCCCAACCCCGCCCGCCCACCCAGCCCGGGGCTGCTGGATGCGTAGGGAGGTTTTGTTCCATTCCAAGTGATGGTTGTTGTTTTGCTTAGCTTTCTTTGGGGGGAGAATGCTCACGGCTTACTTCGGGACTCTGTGTGGTTCTGGGGCTCTGTGCCAGTGGCAAGTAGCTTCACCCCTGCTCTATCTCTCTGGTTTATCTTTCTGAAAGATTTTTTTTTTCTTTGCTTTTCGCAGTTGCTTTATTGAGGCCTCACCAGCAGGCGGGAGGTTCCACATGTTGAATGTGGTGGCTCTCTTGGGTTTGACAGCAGGGCTGAATCCGTCACCTCCCAGAGTTTCCACATGTGCCCCCGTTCCTGTGTGTGTGTGGCATCCATGTGAAGAACTGATCTTTTGGTTCATTTGCAGGCCAAACCCAGCAGTGCTCAGAGCGTACTCTTGGCTGTGCACTCCAGAATCCCACTCCTGCTGCTGGTGCCCTGGGGGACCATCTGGGGTGCTGGGGATTGAACCTGGGTCAGCTGCATGCCAGGCATGCACCCCTACCCGCGGGACTATTTCTCCGGCTCCCTGATAGCCGATTCTGATGATGCAGTAGTAGCGTCTTTAACTCGGAGGACACTGGCTGTTCTCAGAGCACCCTCTGGCTGTCCCGAGGGATGGAGTTGGTATGACTGAGCCTGGAGACGCTGCGTCTCTCATTTCTCACTGAGCACAGATGTTGCTTCCCTGCAAAGCGTGGGGACGGGACAGCCTGCTAGACCCTGGGGAGAAGGGATCCTGCAAATGCGTGGTGGGATTTCTGGCGTCCCAACGAGCGTTGCTCTTAGATTAGGCTATCAGAGGACTGGAGGCATGACTCCTGTGACCAGGCATATACGAGGGTGTGTTAGACCTCGGGTGCCATGGCTCCTGGGCACTGCACCCCTTTCCTGCCACGTGTGCCCCCCCCACCCCTCCATCTCCCCAGCAGCCATATTCAGGGGAGTATCTGAATGTCTCCCGGTGAGAACCTGTAAGCAGGAGGGAACATTCAGGCATTTCCCCCCCTGCCCCGATATAACTGGAGGGAGTGGATTGGGAGTTTTCATGGGGTCAGGGGGTGCCGGGGGCATCATGGCCACAACCCCTGGAGCGGCCCACAAGGGGAAGCACATGACTCCCTCTGGGACAAGGGACAAGTCTGCTGTGTGTTTGCACCAGGTGCCCGTCTTCATTCCTTCACTCGTGCCCACCACCGCGGGCCTGCGGAGCTCAGAGCAGGGGAGGGGGGATGCGGAGAGAGCAGTAGCCAGGGCTGGCACCACCCAGAACCACCCTCTGGCGCGGGCATCTGACCCGGCCCTGACCCCCGCTTGTGGGTCAGTGGGCTGGCTGTGCGGGTCTGACCAGTGTCCTGCCCCGGGTCACTGCCTGTCCTTCCTTCAGCCCTTCCCCCTGGTCTTCGTTTCTGGTCTTTTCTGCTTCTTGGCCCCCTCCATTGAGCCTACCCTGGTCTTGCCCCAAGGCCCTGCACGGGGCCGCTTCCTGCCTTTTGTGCCGATGTGATGGTGATGTGATGGTGGAATGAGCACGAGATGTGAGGAAAACTCCATGCCGACTGCTCCCATGGTAGTTTCTCAGCTCATGGCAAATGCTGCAAGTAGACGTTTTGCTTTGCAGTTGAGAGAGCTGAAGGATTTTTTTTGGGGGGGAGGTGCAGTTGGGTTAGATTTTTGGGCCACACCCAGACATTCTCAGGGCTTAAATACTCTTGGCTCTGTGCTCAGGGATCACTCCTGGTGAGCTCAGGGGACCATAAGGGATTCCAGGGATCGAATGTAGGTCAGACACATGCAGGCAAGCGTGCTACCTGCTGTTTTATCACTCTGGCTGCCTCCTCAAGACTGACCCCTGGCTCTGTGCTCAGGGAGCACTCCTGGAGGTGCTCAGGGAGCACTCCTGGAAGTGCTCAGGAGACCATATGTGGTGCCCGGGATTGAACTAGCATCAGCCATGTGCAAGGCAAATGCCGTAACCCTTGTACTATTTCTCCAGCCCCCAAGGAAACAGGTTTACAGCGTTAAACTGACTGACGGTCAGTCGGGCAGAACCACAGTTTGAACTCGGGTCTGTTTCCAAGGCGCCTGCGAGTGCCGTGGCTCCTTTGACCCGGGGGTGGGTGGGGGGAGCAGCGCTTTCCCCCCTGTCCTTTGCTTCTTATTCAGGGGAAGATAAAATATTCAGAAAAATGAAAACCTCATGGAGATAAAAAAAAGTGCATGAAAGGTGGGTCAGAAGAAGATGAGATAGAGGGAGGGGGGAAAAATCACAATCCTTGTGGTTAGAGAAGCGTCTTCATTTAAGGTCATCGAAATTCATTCTCATTATATCTGTTTGTTGCTTTGGTAAAAGAAGTAGTCATAACACTAATTATATCAGGCGTATTAATAGAGGCAGTTGTGCCAGCACGAATTTCTCCCTTGCTCTGATGAAGCAGAATGATTATTCCAAGATGCCTGGGGGCTGGTACTGGTTCTCCTACCGAGTACGAAACTGAATGTACTTGGAGCTGGAGCGACATCTGCTCTGGGCTCAGTGGGCATGGGCCAGAAATGTGAAGTTCAGCATCTTCCCAAGGAGCAATTTGAAAGTTCCCAGTCCTTTTTCATGACTTTCTTTTTTTGTTTTTTCTTCCCTTTCTGGGTCACACCCAGCGATGCTCAGGGGTTACTCCTGGCTCTGTGCTCAGGAATTACTCCTGGCGGTACTTGGGGAACCATATGGGATGCTGGGAATCGAACCCGGGTCAGCCGTGTGCAAGGCAAATGCCCTACCCGCTGTGCTATCGCTCCAGCCTCAACACTGGTGTACTTTTTATTGTTTTGTTTATCAGTTTTACATCTCTGTATTGCACAGACAGATTTATTGGGTAAATTTGTCCCTCTCACTGTTCTATGCCCCCCTCAGCCTTTCTCCCTCCCCCTCCTCCTCCTCTTCCCCCTTCCCTCCTCCTCTCCCTCCCCTTCCCCTTCTCCCTCCTGCTTTTGGGCTGGAGTACCATCTTGACCTTCATGCCCTGTTAGCTAACAGCTTCCTCCCTCCCTTTCTAGTACCCTGCAGAAATCAGGAAGTATGAGTACGACCCCAATTTTGCAATCAGAGGGCTTCATTATGACGTGCAGCGGGTAAGTGTGATTCTGGGGTTTTTCCCCTGCCGTTGGGGTTGGATGGAATCTGGGGATTGAATGCCTCCCCGTGCTTCTCTGTGAACACGCAAACTGGCTTTAAGTTGCATTCTTTATGGGCTGCTGAGCCGAGTTATTCAGATGATCTTTTTTTTGTTTGTTCGTTTGTTCTTGGGGGGCTCCTCGCTCGGTACTTGGGGGTTATTCCTGTGGGTGTTCAGGGGCCTTCTGCAGTGCCGGTGGGAATCATCTTTACATAAAGTCTCTGTGTGTGTTGGGGGGAGGGGCTTCTAAGCATTGCTCAGGAGACTGGGAGGGGATGGAGCTGCAACATTCTGGGACACCTTGGACAGCTGGGCCCCCCCGTGGTTCAGTGCAAGTGTCAGAGGATGCAGCATGCTCAGATGGACCTGGTGGAGGACATGGTGCCGGGGAGGAAACTGGGATCAAGGCCTGCACCGTAAACCTCAGCACTGCCTCTCCCATCCCTGTAAAGTATTTTGGTTTTGGTTTGGGGGCCACACCCAGCAGTGCTCAGGGCTTATTCCTGGCTCTGCACTCAAGAATCACTTTTGGTGGTGCTCAGGGGACCCTATGGGATGCCGGAGATCAAACCCGGGTTGGCCGCCTGCAGGGTAAGCGCCCTCCCCTTTGTACTATCACTCTGGCCCCTTCTTCTTTTTTTTTTAATTGAAACTTATTTAGTTGTGAGAGGAGAGAAGGAGGTAATGTGTTCAACAGTGGACACGAGCAGCAGAGAAGCGTAGGGACAAGCAAGGGAGGTGCGTGTTCGAGGGGCAGCCGGCTGGGCCTGAAGAACAGCCCAGGAAAGCCTTTGTGGACAGGCGTGGCGACAGAAGAGCGTGGCGGTCTCCCCTGGGCCCGCTGCTGGGGCGGGAGGAGGAAGCAGGGTTCTGCCTTTTGGTTTCTCCCTCCCCCGGCCGCCAGCCTTTCCCCTTGAGAGTCCTCTTGACAGTGCTTAGGCAGCCATGCAGGCTCCCCCCACGTGTCTCCTCCCTCTTGCGGCACCCAAAGTGCCCAGACTCACTAACCACCTGTGGGCCCCAGTGAACGGGTTCCCATCTGTGCTTTTCCAGGCCGTGCTGATGAAGATCGACGCCTTCCACTACATCCAGCTCGGCACCGTCTACAGGTGAGAGCAGGAGGGGGAGACATCAGTCACCCCATGTCGCCTCGGGGCTTTGGGGTCCAGACCTGAGCCTGGTTTGTGAAGAGGAAGGCAGGTGGGATGTGTGTATGTGTGTGTGTGTGTTGAGTGAGTATATGTGTGTGTGAGTGTGTGAATGTATGAGTTGAATGTGTGAGTGTGTCAATGTGTGTGTGAGTGTGTGTATGTGTGTGTAGTGAGTGTGTGGTGTGTGTATGTGTGTGTAGTGAGTGTGTGGTGTGTGTGTATGTGTGTGTAGTGAGTGTGCGGTGTGTGTGTATGTGTAAGTATATGTGTGTGTGAGTGTGAGTGTCTATGTGTGAGTGTGTAGGTGTGTGTGGTGAGTATGTGACTGTGGTGGTTATGTGTGTGTGAGTGTGTTTGAATGTGAGAGTGTGTATATGTGTGAATATGTGAGTGTATGGGTGTGTATGAGTGTGAATGTGTGAGTGTGTGTGGTGTGTGTTGAGTGTGAGAGTGTGATGAGTGAGTGAGTGTGTGTGTGTGAGAGTGTGTGTGTGTGTGAGACATTTACCCAGGCCTCAGCCTCTGTTAGCACCAAGCACTAGTTTGACCCAAAGGGAGCCCTTTAAGAGCTCAGGGTGTCCATGGGAGTGGCACAGCCCCCCAGGGCTGCAGGCAAGGCCACAGTGGGCACGTCCCTGTTCTTTCCGCTTCCTTATTGTCCGTTCCGGCCCATGGTGCCCCAACTCTGTCCTCCAGGGAAGGTGGGAGAGGAGCACTCTGGACTCGGGTCCCAGGTGAGCAGCCAGGGCCAACACCCTGCTGCCTGAGCTGGGGACCCCGCGCCCCTCCCTCACAGCTCCTGGGGGACAGCAGAGGCAAAGGCAGGCTGGAAACTGCCCTTCATTGTCATGGGGCCAGCCCTGTGGGGGGGGGCACTGTCCGCTTCCTGTGACACTGGGTGTCAGGGTCTCTGTCCCCCACCTGCCTCATAAGGAGCCAAGTGCTTCTCTCATGGTGGAGTGTCAAGGGCAGGAGGACAACCAGGAGGAGGAGGAGGAGGGGGAGGAGGAAGATGGGGGGAGGGGGAAGGAGGAAAATTAGGAGGAGGACAGGGAGGAGAAGGGGAGGAGGAGGGTGTGGAAAGAGGGGGAGGGGGAGGGGGAAAGGAGGTGGAGGGGAAGGAGGATGGGGAGGATGAAGGGGAGGATGGGGAGGAAAGGAGGAAGAGGAGAGGAGGGAGAGGGTGGCGGCGGGCAGGAGGAGGAGGATGGGGAAGAGGAAGAGGAGGGTGAGGGAAGGGGAGTAGGAAGAAGTGGAAGGGGAGGGGAGGAGGGAGGAGGAGAGGGAGGAGGAGGATGGAGACTGGGCCCTGGAGGGGGGGGAGCTCCCTGGTAGTGAATCAGATAAACCCCAAACCCACCTGAAAACAAACCGAGGGGCGGCCATGCGCCCTGCAACAGTGCAGGGAGAGGGTCGGCACCAGAATCCCAGAAGGCCCAGGTGCCCATGGAGACCCAGGCGGAGAGCGCGCGCCGGCACGTATGGGGTCCCGGGCTCTGCTCCGGCCCACCCACCCCCTCTGCCGGGGCGACCTCGGGTGAGGTGCCTGCCCCTGCCCACCTGCAGATAAGATGGGAGAGTGACCGCGCCACCCGTGAGGGCCGTGGGGGACCAACCGAGGGACAGGGCACCCTGCGGGAGTGACTGGGCTGAGCATGTCTAACGGGGCTTCTCTGCTGCCCGGGCGCGGGCAGGGGCCTCAGTGTGGTCCCCGACGAGGAGGTCATCGAGATGTACGAGGGCTCCCACGTGCCGCTGGAGCAGATGAGCGACTTCTATGGGAAGGTGAGGAGCGCGCATCTCCCTGCTCCAGACCTGTCCACCTGGGAATCCCCGGGGGAGCCGGGACTCGGGGCCTCCCTGTCCACATGGGCCCTGCAGGTGGGGGATGGCGGTCCTGGGCCACACTGCCTGTCCCAGAGACGAGCAAGTGTGCGTCTCCCCACTGGTCGTCTGCCTGCGACCTTGCAAAGCCGCTGCCCCTCCCTCTACCCGGCCCCTCCTGGGGCCTGAACTTGGGGGGGAAGTGTGGTACCCTGGGGACTTGCCAGAGCAGGCCTGCAAGGTGGAGGGGGCCTGTTCCTTGCGTGGGTCCTCTGCCAGGCCTGGACGGAGAGAGTCAATGTTCTGTGTCTGGCCAGCCCGGGAGGTGCATAGTTCTAAATAGGCTTCCAGGGAGAGGCTCCCCCGAGCCCCGAGTGGCTTTTGTCTGTTTGGGAGCCATACCCAGTGGCACTCAGGGGTTACTTACTCTCTGCACTCGGGGATTACTTCTGGTGGTGTTTGGGGGACCCTATGGGGTGCCGGGGATCGCACTCCAGTTGGCTAGCACAAGGCAGACGCCCTCGCCGCTGTGCTATGGCCCCAGCCCTAATGTGGCTCTCTGTGCCTTGCCAGGGGCAGGACTCCATCGCTGCCTCTTCTTTCACTGGAGCAGGAGGTGGAGGTTGGAATGTGAAGGGGGCGGGGAGGGAGGGGAGGGCGGCTGGGCCTTCCCTGGACTCTGCCACTTAACACCTGGAGGCTGCTTTAGCCCCGCAGGGAGGGAGAGGCAGGTGAAGCTGTCATTGTCCTGCCAGGAGTGCACAAGAGTGAGTGTGCACCTGGATATGCACTCACATGCGTGTGTGCGTGGACATGCGTATGTGCACGCGTGCTCACTGGCTCTGCTCCTTCCCAGAGCTCTCACGGGAACACCATGAAGCAGTTCATGGACATCTTCTCGCTGCCAGAGATGACCCTCCTGTCCTGCGTGAACGAGTACTTCCTGAAGAACAACATCGACTACGAGCCTGTCCACCTCTACAAGGATGTCAAGGTCGTGTCACCCGGGCGAGCTCCTGCCTCGGCTGCTCCCTTAGCTGTGCTGGGCCCTTGCATCGGTGAAGGGAGGTGTTGCCGGGGCAGGGGGTGAGGGGGGACCCCTCAGCATAGCGCGATGCTGAGAGTGCGGCTTGGCCTCCTGAGGGTCCATCCGCCCCCCCACACCCCCTCTTTCCCAAGCTTGCCGCATTCACCAACCTGGGCGCCGATCCCACGGACACACGGACACAGTCTCGAACCCCTCTCTGTCTTTTTTTTTTTTTCCTTTTGGGTCACACCCAGCAATGCTCAAGGGGTCACTCCTGGCTCTGCACTCAGGAATTACTCCTGGCGGTGCTTGGGGGATGCTGTATGGGATACTGGGGATTGAACACAGGTTGGCCACGTGCAGGGCAAACGCCCTACCCGCTGTTCTATAGCTCCGGCCCGACCCCTCTCTGCCTTGATGTGACCCTCTGGGCCTCCAGGCTGGGGTGCAGAGCGGAGCACTGAGCCCCTCATCCAGGGGGCTTGGGGGTCCCATGCGGAGAACGCCGGTTCCACTCCAGGCTCGATTTGGACCCACTGGCACCCGGTCTCCTTCGGGCAACCCCTTAGAGAACTGCAGAGGAAGCTGCTGACCCCCTCCCCCATATCACCCTAAAGGGTCCCCCTTGCCCCAGGTGGGCCCAAGCACACATGGGCAGGGAGTGAGCTCTCACCGAGCGTGGGGGCAGCAGAGGGGCATTTGCAGGGAGGCGGCGGGCTGGCCTGAGCCGCTGACCGCCACACTCTTCTCCAGGATGCCATTCGGGACGTCCACATCAAAGGCATCATGTACCGAGCCATCGAAGCCGACATTGGTAGGGGCCGCCTTCCGCCTCCCCAGGGCCCACACTGGGACCCCTGTCCCTCACACCCTGGTGGCTGGGGGACAGTCCCTGTGGGCAAGAGTGCAGGGTCCCGAATCCTGGCCACAGAGGAGTCCCGCTCCCCTAGTCTTGGTCCTGACAGTTCTGAGACCCTGGACACCATGGTTAGACTGAGAAGGCCTCGGTTACTGACCCAGGGCACTGGCCCAGCACCTGAAATGACCCAAACTCCCTGGGTCACTGTATCCGTCCCCCGTGACCCGAGTTTCCTGGGCACCCGTAAGGCACGTGAACCAGTTGTCCTGGGTACCTGCATCACCCCAGAACAGAGTTTCCTTCACATTGACCCCCCACCCCCCAACCCCCAACCAAGCATCCCAGGCAGGGTGCAACTCACCCGCCCCTGTTCGTAAGTGTCCTCACTCTGCCCCCATATGCCGTTTCCTTGTAGAAAAGTACATCTGCTACGCCGAGCAGACCCGCGCCGTGCTGGCCAAACTGGCGGAGCACGGCAAGAAGATGTTTCTCATCACCAATAGCCCCAGCAGCTTCGTGTAAGTCAGTCGGTCCCGTGTGTGTCAACCAGCCCCCAGCCCTTCCGCTCGTTTCACAAGCAAGCTGGGAAGCAGTGGTGACCCTCAGTGGCTTTGATGCTGTTACACTCACCAGGGCCCATCTGTCACTTCCAGGGACAAAGGGATGCGGTACATCGTTGGGAAAGACTGGCGGGACCTGTTCGATGTGGTCATTGTTCAGGCCGAGAAGCCCAACTTCTTCAATGATAAGCGGAGGTGCGTGTCTGCCTTTCTCGGGGCGTAGAGACCCTTCACGTGCTGCCGGGACGGGTTGGGGTGATGGCGAGCGTCTTTGGTTAAACCTCGGTGGGATGTCCCAAGCAGCGGAGATGACAGGGTGGGATTCTGTTTTGTTTGGGGACCTTCTCCTGGCTCTGCACTCAGGGATCGCACCTGGAAGGCTCGGGGGATGCTGAGGGTTGACCCCACAGCGGCCATGCACATGGCAGTCCCCTCCCCACCATCTCCGCAGCTCCAGCTTGGGATGTTTCTGGAGGCAGTTGCCGGGAGGGTGAGCTTGGTACCGAGCAGATGGGTTATGCGTCACAGAGCGGCTGTCACCTCGGTCCTAATGAGTTAAACTTAAGAAAGCTACTGACAGCAGTGAAAAAATTCCAGCTTCATCCCATTCAGTGACTTAGATTCCTCCATGCACACACTTTGTGGCCCATGACAAAGCAGCAGTGACCACTGTCCTTTAAGGGCGGCTCTGATTAGGCACCCAAGGCTGCCACATGGGCCTTTAGTGCCTCAAGCCAGTGAATCACAATCAAGAGCGATGGGAATGTTTTCAGAACATCCCTGCAATAGTAACAGGGCATACTCGGCATTTGGGGGTCATGGGTCCTAAATTGTGGGGGGTGCGGGGGTCTGGGTTCTAAGAAAGCCTTTTAATGTGTGGGATAAACGTAGTCATTGAGAAGATATCCCCAGTGTCGATAGTGTCGGAGTTAATGCTCCAGAGTTATACAGATAATTGACGTTTATGTAATAATGGCCGACTTTGGGGCTCAGGGCTCGGGGAGGGGGGCTAGTACGGGGGTAAGAAGCTTGCCTTGCATGTGGCAGACCCGGGTTCGATCCCTAGCATCACACACGGTCCCTTGAGCCCCGTGAGAAATGCAGAGCCGGGACTAGAGCCCTGAGCACGTGCTGAGTATGGCCCAGCATGAAACAAGCAAAATCATGACCTGCTTTGGACTCTGCCCCACATCTGCCAGTTTACGGGACTGGTAGCCAGACAGCCTAATGCCCACCCTGCAGTGATTTATTTATTTTTAAATTTTATGGGAAGGACTTTATTTATTTGTTGCTTTTTTTGGGTCACACCCAGAGATGCTCAGGGGTTCCTCCTGGCTCTGCACTCAGGAATCACTCCTGGTGGTGCTCGGGGGACCACATGGGATGCTGGGAATCGAACCCGGGTCAGCCGCATCCAAGGCAAACGCCCTACCCCCTGTGCTATCTCTCCAGCCCCATCCCTGCAGTGATTTAAAGTACCCTATCAGGGCGTCCTGGAATAGCGCTGAACGCCTCCCCCTAGTGATGCTGAGATCCTTTTCCTTAAGGCCAGGGTTGTAAACCCATCCTCCACACACGGAGATGGAGAGCTCAGGAGCAGGAAGGGGAGGCTGGAGCTGGGACGGACGCCGCCGTGACCCCGCTTGCTGCTTGCCACCCCCCAGACACTACCTTGCATGCTCTTCTCCTGAATTTCAGGCTACAGCCCGTAGAGGTTGTCTCCGCTTCCTGGTCGCGCCTTGCAGAGCACTGTCCGAGGAGAGTAGCAGGCCCCAGACTGATCCCAGCTCTGTCCCTCAAGACACAGGTTTATTTTCAGTGTGCCTGGGAGAAGAGCTGGCTGACCTCCACCTCTGCTTGTTCCCAGGCACAGACAGAGGAGGAGGGGCCCTTAAGCACTGTTAAAGCACTCTAGACCCTTAAGCAGCATCTGGGATGCGACATGAAGACCCTTCTTAGGATAAAAGAGCTTTATACTTTTCTAGGACGATTCATATTTTTATATTACATTTTTCTGAATTCTTCTCACTAAATTTTACATTTGTTGGATTTATCTATTTCATACAAATTTTAAGGGGGGGTGCCAAGGGACAGTGGTAGAGGAAAGGGGACCTGGAGGAGGCCGTGGTGGCAGAACATTAACAGTATTCTAAATCTTCGTGCCTAAAAAGTACTAGCACAGAATTATTTACAGTGATATTTTTTAAGACCTATATACTGGTAAAAAGAGATTAAACAGTTAAAAATTCTTAATTTATCAATTATTGATTTAAAATTCTGTGGACCTTCAGGAGTGTAGCTCTCTTCATCTATATGTGTGTAGGTCACCTCCACAACAAATTATAGAGTGAACCTAATGAATAAATAGCTTTGTGGTCAAAAGGTGACAATACCTTCTTTTTTTGGGGGGGGGGGATTTTTGGGTCACACCCAGCAATGCTCAGGGATTACTCCTGGCTCTGCACTCAGGAATCACTCCTGGTGGTGCTCGGGGGACCATATGGGATGCTGGAAATCGAAGCCAGGTTGGCTGCATGCAAGGCAAACGCCCTACCCGCTGTGCTATCACTCCAGCCCCGACAATGCTTCTTAAGTAACAATATTAGAGCATTATTATTTTCTAAAAGGAAGGGTAGGCTTACCTTTGCAAAAAAGAATTAAAATAACCATTAGTGCCTGTTTCTGGATTTAAATTATAATTGCTAATTTAAATAATATTTTTTAAAAAATCACTAATTGTGTATATCAGTATTCCTTTTTTTTTTTTCTTTTTGGGTCACAGCTGGTTAGGCACAGGGGTTATTCCTGGCTCTCCACTCAGGAATTACTGCTGGCGGTGCTCAGGGGATCATATACGATGCTGGGGATCAAACCCGGATTGACTGCGTGCAAGGCAAACACCCTGCCTGCCGTGCTATCACTCCAGCCCCTCAGTATTTGTTTTTAAATTAGGATTCTGTATCCCTTTTACAATGTCACTGTCCTCCCATTGTTCATCAGTTTTGCTCGAGCGGGCCCAGTAACGTCTCCATTGGAGACTTTGTTGTTACTGTGTTTGGCATATCGAATACATCATGGGTAGCTTGCCAGGCTCTGCCCTGCGGGCGAGATACTCTCGGTAGCTTGCCAGGCTCTCCGAGAGGGGCGGAAGAATCAAACTCGGGTCGACCATGTTGGCTGCGTGCAAGGCAAACGCCCTACTACTGTGCTATCGCTCCAGCCCTTTTACAATGATTTTTGTTTTATGTGAATAATATATATAAATATAATGTTTTTCTATTTTAAAGAAAAAAGCTACCTGAAAATTGATGTGTCTTGGGAAAAAGGGCAGTGAGCTTGTTTTCTGAAGGTAAAGAATGGATAAAGAATATACAGTCATGGATGAAGAGATACAGAGTGGGTAGGGCACTTGCCTTGCACGTGGCCAACTTGGGTTCAATCCCTGGCATCCCCTGTGGTCCCCTAAGCACCACCAGAAATGATCTATGAGCACCACCAGGTGTGGCTCAAAGCACAAACACACATAATGGATTTTGGTGTTAGTGGCAGCGCATTACTCATATCCCAAAAGCAGAAACATTAAAAATATTGTTAAAAAAAAAGTACATAGGAATTTGCTCCACGTCATTAGAGGACAGAAGGTCACAAATCAGTATAGACAAAACAATTCTCGTCGATTTGCTCGAGCGGGCCCAGTAACATCTCCATTGGAGACTTTTGTTGTTACTGTGTCTGGCATATCGAATATTCTTGGTAGCTTGCCGGGCTCTCCGAGAGGGGCGGAGGAATCGAACTCGGGTCGGCCATGTTGGCCGCTTGTAAGGCGAACGTCCTACCCGCTGTGCTATCGCTCCAGCCCCCGCCCCCCCAGAATAAAAAAAAAAAAAGAACAATTCTCATTTTGTATTAACCAGAGGATAATAGATGTACAAAGACCAAGAAACATTTGGGGGTAATTTCTCTTTATTTTTTTTTCTTCTGTGAATTTATATTTTTCAAATCAGATAAAAAGAGTTTCTTTGAAAAGGGGAAGGCAAACAGTTTATCTTTGCTTTGGACTAACACTCCCGAGTAAGGAATGGGCTTTGTTTTAATTTCCTATCATAAAATTGCAGTCCTGGCTTTCTGATTTTTTTTTTTTTAATAACCCGAGTGGCTGAACTTCAAGTTCCAATGCTGAGTAAATAAATGTACTTAGGAAGTTAGATATCCCCACAAGCTTTTTCTTTTTTAATTAAACAGCCTTCTGCATGTGGCAGAGCTGAGCTAAAGAAAGCTGCTTTATGGAGGGACCAGAGGATTGTACAGTGGCCAGGCCACTTGCCTTGCATGTGGCTGTTGGTTGTGCTATACATAGGGTCCCCTGAGCACTGCCAGGAGCAACCCCTGAACACCGCTGGGTGTGACCCAAAAACAAACAAAACTTTTATGGAGCCAATTTCCGGTCTGCCTAAGAGGGACCTGTCTACCCTCTTATTGATGGTATTGGTATTTTCTGAGTTGCTCTCACCCCAGAATGCTTTTTTCTCTACACCTCGTTCGTTGCATGCTGGGGCCGCAGTGTGGGAGGGTTTGCATGAGGGGCCTGGCCCGTGCTTGTGGTGTTCGGTTTCCAGGGCCTTTTCAGGTTTGAGGAGCTCCTTCCTGTGTCCAGCGGGCAGCTAGGCAGTCATTCCCGAGCAGCCAGCCTGGACGGCCTCTACATGTCATGATGTTTCTCGTTTCTATTGTTAGACCTTTCCGAAAGGTGAACGAGAAAGGTGTCTTACTCTGGGATAAAATCCACAAGTTGCAGAAAGGCCAGATTTACAAGCAGGTACCTTGTGACCAATTTGTCCTTCTCGCTTTGCTTTGCAGTCTGTGTTAGAGATGATGGCACCCTTCTGGCCAGGCTCTCCCAGGCTAAGAGGCAGAATGGAAGCTGGAGCCAGTAGCTTTTCAGTCGGCTCGGCCTGAAAGAACTCAGAACAGAACTCAGTCTTAAAAACTAAATTTAAAGCTCAAAGGATCAAAGATGCCAGCAGTCTCGGACATTCCTCTTTAAAAAAAAAATTCTTTTAAATTCTATTTTATTTTTAAAAAGTTGTTCACAATAATTTATTACATTCAGTATTCCAACAGCAATCCCACCACCATTACACTTTCCCACAACCATATTTCAAATTTTTTCCACCCCAACACCCAAAGCCTGCCCCCAAAGCAGGGCCTAAATAAGTTATTTTGTGTTGCTTATTATGAATAATCTACTAAAAATGATCCAAAAAAAGTTTCCTGAGAGGAAGGTGTGTGAAGATTGTTGTATTTCATCCTGGAGCCATTAAGCCCTTGTATAAGAGATTACTAACATGTTGTTAAAGGTTGAGCCTTGTGTGCTAAAATACACAATTATTTTTATTATTATTTTTTTGAGATTGGTCGCCTTCTAGTTTACACCCCATCAAATGTGGTGTGCTACTCTTGGCACATCATGGTATGAGATGTCATGTGGCCACATTTGTGACTGCGTGCTCCAGGAATTCTAAAATTTTAAATTGGGTGATACCACTGAAGTTAATTTAATTTTTTTCTTTTTCCAACTGGATGGTGACTTTGGGGATGGACATTCTTCTTTCAAGAAGCATTTAGCCCTCCATGACATAGTCTTCATTCTGGTGGCTATTTCTGGATGCGCTGTTTTATATTTTATTTCTACTTTATGGATGTAATGTAACCAGTCCTTTTAACAAGACTAGAAAATATTTTATAAACAATTGAGCTGGCGGCTTTTTACCATGTTGCTGAAATTAGTTTGTTTGTTTTAAAGATTCCCAACCCATTTCTGAGTCTATCACATCTGGCGCAGTTCAACATGTTTTTTCTGTTTCCTTGAAAACTAGCTTCTTATAGCCATGAGATTTCTAGGAAGCCAGCTAAGAAAATTACTAAGCCGTCATGAAAAGTGCCTTGCCTCAGGACTGTTTCTCATGAAGTTACTTGCTAAATAGATAACAGAGTAAATGGTAGCCACAAACAGACACAGCAGCAGGGAGTGGGAGGGATGAATCACGGTACTTTTTGGCAACTTAATTGACTTAGAGGAGTATTTGACATGAAATGATGCTGACTATATGTTAAGTATTAAAAAGCCTATTACCACGAGGTCTATAAAGTTGACTCCTTCTGGAAAGTGCATCTGACTTAGAGCTGAAAGGGTGCATACAAAGAGGATCTAATCTGTATATTTTGACATTTAAAATAAATTGTAGAAGCAAAGATAAAAAAACATTATTTTTTTAAGTTGTAGATATGTTGGTCCAAGGGCCATAAAGATCTCTGTCATAGGATATAATATTTCTAGTTTTCTCTTTTTGCAGGGCAATTTGTATGAATTTTTGAAGCTTACTGGCTGGAGAGGATCCAAAGTGTTGTATTTTGGTGACCACATATACAGTGACCTGGCGGTAAGGAGTCTTTTTTTTACCTGTTTCTTTATTGGGGTGGGATGAGTTAGTCCTTCGTGAGCAGTTTCTCTCTTGACTTAAGCATTTTCCTAAAGCTTTTAGAAATGAAGAAGAGGTGACATTTAAAAAAAAAAAAAGTCTTATTTCCTACAGAACCCAAAGGGCCTGAGTCTTGAAAAAGAGAGATTTTTTTTTCTTTTTTTTGCTTTTGGGGTCACACCTGGCAGTGCACAGGAGTTACTCCTGGCTCTGCACTCAGGAATTACTCCCGGCAGTGCTCAGGGGACCATATGGGATGTTGGGGATCGAACCTGGATCGGCCATGTGCAAGGCAAACACCCTACCCGCTGTGCTATCTCTCCAGCCCAAAAAAGAGATGTTCTTGTGAAAATTAGCCACTTATTCAAATTTACCAGGGAAATTTCCACTTCGGTAATTAAGGAATACACCACAATGGCCTAATGCTAAGAAATGAATCTAGACAGTGCGTTCTTTCCGTTCCCTCTGGTTAAGTCTGAGGAATACAAATACAAGTCACTCAGAAGACAGATTGCTTTCTCCAGCCAGTCACCTCGAAAGCGCTCAAGTGTGACATTTCTGGCAAACTGTGCAAAGAGGGAGTCTTCTCATGTCCCCTGGGATGCTGGCATTCATTTCTCTCCAGTCGCGAAGAACACAAGGACTGGGCCACGCTGGGAGGATTAGTGGCAGTATTGCCAAGCTGGGTTCCCCATAGGATGTCTTTGCCAGGTGATGCTGGCGTTGGCTGCCCCTGGGTCCATTGTGCAAAACCTCAGTGAAGCTCAGTATTGGGGGTAGCAAGAGTGAGTGGGCCGCTGACTCCGTCACTGGGGTCGCAGTCACGCTGTTTGGGGCCTCGTGTGTACCCATGTGTCAGTCTCACCTCTCTGGCGTCTGCCGGCCTTGGTAGCTCCATGTTCTAGCTGGCTGCCGCCACCCACAACCTTCTTGAAAGTGTCCATTTACACTGTGGACTGGGGCAAACAGGAATGTTTCCAGGCAGAAATGAGCTGGTTTCTTTATAAGAAGCCTCCATGTCAGCAGTTTGTGCAAAAGAACCACGCCAGGGCGAGCACTTTCCCAGACTGGCGGGGGATCCTAAGCAAGCTGCCAGCGGCCCCCCGAGATGGGTGGTTTGGCAGCCAGTGCTTTTGAGCGTGCCTGCTCTCTGGGACTTCCTTAATCAAGCTCAGATTTTATTGATCATGTTAAAAAACCCACTTTGGCATTCATGGATTTTTTTTTAAATTTTTATTAGTGAGACACCATGAGGTACAGTTGTAGACTTACAAATTTTTGTGCTTGGGTTTCAATTATACAGTGATCAAATACCCATCCCTCCACTAATGCCCATTTCCCACCACCACGGATCCCAGTATCCCTCCCACCCCTCCATCCTCCCCATCCACCCTGCCTCTGTGTGTCTCTTTTGTTCTCTCTCTCCTACTGGGTGTTGTGGTTTGCAAAAGAGGCAATGAGTGGCAATCATGTTTGGTCTATAGTCTACTTTCAGCATGTTTCTCCCATCCTGGGAGGATCCTCCATGGATTTTTCCTTAGTCTTTCTATTGTGCTTTCTTTCTCTCTGTTCTCATCTTTATTATTTCCTTTGTTCTCTTGATTTGTTCTTTCTCTGGTTCCTTAAGCTGTGTGTACATGGCGGCCAGTTGACTTGAGACCCTTCCTTTAAACTCTTATTGTACCAAGCGCTTGAGAGAGCACTGAGTCGCCTCCTGCCCCAAGCTCCTTTTTCTCAAAGGGGCTCTGTAGTGATGCATTTCCTCCTTAGCCCAATTTTTGCTGCACCCCACAGTTGTGGCATGTTGCATTTACATTTTAATTGGTTCCAAGACAATATAAACTTCCTCTATACCTTCTCTTCTTTTTTCGTGGGTGTCCAGCATATTAGGTTTTCACATTTTAAGGAAATTTCCAGTTTTTCCTTTTGCAGTTGCATTCTAGAAAAGAGACTTTGTATGCTTGGAATCCTTTTGAATGTATTAAGGCCACTGCTATTGAGTATTTAGCTACATGTGGCCTGTATTTCCCCCAGGGCTGGGGCTGATGAGCTCTTGTCCATTACTTTATTGTCAGGATCTTGAAAGGGCTTGGAGGATAATAGTTGATAAATACCTGCCAAGTGAGAGGTTGGAGCAATAGTTCAGTCAGGAGGGCGCTTGCCTTGCACACGGCCGACCTGGCTTGATCCCCGGCATCCCATCTAGTCCCTCAAGCATCACCAGGAGTAATTCTTGAGTGCAGATCCAGGAAGAATCTCTGAGCATTGCCAGCTGAGTGACCCTCCCCAGCCTCCAAAAAAAAAAAAATGATTTTCCAAGTGAGAAAAGGAAGTCAGTGCCTGGGGTTGTGCATATTAGACTTTCCAGGACATAAGTGATATCCGATACTTAGGCTTGTTGTCAGGTACCTACTGTGAAAACTGAAGTCACATACTTTTGTGCAGTGTGACCCAGAGTCCAGCTTCTCACAAGTCACAGGCCCTGACACTCCATAGGCGCTCCCCAGTGGTCTGGAAGAAGGAAAGGGAGCACTTCCGGGGTGCTTTGGGTGAACCTCTTTCTGCGCGACCAGATTGCTGCTTTACAGTCCATGGTTAATGACTCCAGACCCCGGGGCCGCAAGCGCACTGTCCGGTGCAACCCAAACTGAACAAACTAAAAGCTGTGGCCAGTGGAAATCAGCACTGATTTCCAGAAACGTCCACTTGGGCTGAGACGGTCAACAGCCTGGCATTTTAATTAAATGTCATTCCTTGAATCCGGCCGGGTTCACCCCCAGCCCTGACCGCCGGAAAAGAATTCGAGGGAAGCGGGCGGCCTGGGGCAGGGTGGGCCAGTGACTGATGGGGACACTCTGCCCCTGCGGCCAGGACCTGACCCTGAAGCACGGCTGGCGCACGGGCGCCATCATCCCGGAGCTGCGTTCTGAGCTGCGGATCATGAACACGGAGCAGTATGTCCAGACCATGACGTGGCTGCAGACGCTGACCGGCTTGCTGGAGCAGATGCAGGTTTGATGTCACTTCTCTCTGGGGCTTGCCTTAGCCCCAGTTCAGTCCACTGGGCAAAGCTGTGGCCAGTGGGGGGGCCAGGGGTGGGGGTGGAGGCTGGATTAGAGGCACTTGCCTTGCATGGGGCCGACCTGAGTTCTATTTCTGGGACCCCATAGGGTACCCCCCTCCCCTGAAGCACCAGCAGGAGTAAATTCTGAGTACAGAGCCAGGAGTGAGAGCCCCGAGCGCACTGTCGGGCGTGACCCAGACTCAACAAACAAAAAGCTGTGGCCAAGTGCTGTTGGTTCTGTTCTGTCCCGGGAAGCAAGTTTCCCTCGCACATTGACTAGACCAGACGTGAGGAAGCAAATGCAGGGTCCCTTTACTGCTAGCTCGAGCTAGGGTCCGAGTCTCATCCAACTCAGTGGACCCCGACTCCCAATTCTGAGCAGTTTATATGGGGTTTGGTTACATAATAGCACTTTCCCAGGAACTGACAATATGTTTCCAGTTCTGGTCCCAGTCTGTCAGTGACTCCAGGGATCAGGACTGTGTTTCCAATTCGTGGTCCCAGTCCTATCCCACACCCTCAGCCCTCTCTGCTTGGCTGGGCGCCACTGCACATGCCCCCAATTCTGATAGGCTGTTCCCACGGGGCGGTTTATCTGCCCAGGGTGACACTGTTTTCTGAGAAGTCGGGACTTTCTGATGGGGGAAACCGAGACGTAGGCCTGCTGAGTTTCTGTCTCAAAGTGGAGCCTGTCATGGCTCCACTTCAGCCTCACAGTTCCATTGCGCAGTTTAACTACTGGGGTTTCCCTGTCTGGGAGAGTGTACCCTGAAGACTCTACCGCAGGGGTCCCCGAAAGCTGCGTGGCCCTGTGGGGGCAGGCGAGTGTGGCTGTGTCCCACATGTGGACACCGACATCCCCTGCCCAGCGGCCCCCTGGGGCCAGAGCCTGTGTCATCGGGGCTCCTTGGGGACCCTCTGGCCATGAGCGGGTCCAGTCCTGGCACTGCTATCACCTGGCCATTGGACTGCTGGGCTGTGCCTCAGTTTCCCCATCTGTAAAACGAAGGGTCCTGGGGAGGGGGGGGGTGACTACTTCAGCCAGGCACCAGGGCTAGGCAGGGGTGGGGGGCGAGGGTGGACTGGGCGGCGACACCCCACGGCTGGGCTGGAGCTGGGCAGCGGCTGTGTTTCCCTCCTGTCAGCATGGACTGTGGACGCCGTTCCTCTGTGGCCACTGTGCTCCCTCCTGGGTCTCCCCGTTTCCTCAAGGGCTCCCCGGGGCACTGATGCCATATTCCCAGCTGAGGCACGGCTGCCAGGCTCCTTCCGGAATCGGCAGGGCCAGCTGGCAGAAGCTTGGGCTGAGCTGCGAGAAGGGGGTGCACCCCTACACACACACACTCCCCCCCCCTCCCCCCCCCCCCCCCCCCCCCGCAGGGCACTTGCTGCCCTGAGCCCTGGCCCGGCTCTGGTCTGACGACCTCACACTGCGGCCCTGCTGTGCCCGAGTGCCAGACGCTGTGCTAAAAATAAAAGGCCCCCTTCAGGGCTGACGTGGGCCCGAGGTCATGAGTAATAATAGCTCTTCTCCACTCACGCTTGATCGGTCGCTCTCAGGTGGAGCCCCAGCCGCTCCAACTGTCTGCGTCCCAACAAGAAGACAGGATGTGGAGAGCTCAGGGGATGGGTCTGAGGCTGCATGTCTGGGCTGTGTGACGATGCCAGAGTGACAGTTCCGCTGCAGTTCTGACAGTCACAGACACACACACGTCCACACACGTGCACACAGAAGCAAACACACACATCACACGTGCAAATCAGACATGCACACGTGCACACATGTGTGATCCTCATGTGGATAGGAGTTTCTCCCAGCTCTGAGGAGAGCATGCATTTCCCTCACTATTAAAAACTTGGTGGTGGGCTGGCGTGATAGTACAGTGGGGGAGGGCATTATTTGCCTTGCATGCAGACAACCCAGGTTCGATCCCCAGCATCCCACATGGTCCCCCGAGTATCACCAGGATGATCCCTGGCTGCAGAGCCAGGAAGTAACCTCTAAGCATTTCTAGGTGTGGCCCCAGAATAAAAACAAAAAATTTCTCGTGGTAAAGGAGTGCACAGTTTTGAGGGTGGAGGTGCTGAAAAGGATGGAAGTGTGGATTATAGATTCCCTCACACAGGAGCCAGGATGAAAAGATTGCTAGCGTATCTCTCGCCCAGGCCCATGGGTCAGGAGTGGTCACTGAGAATCAGCCCCTCCCTTAGAGCTCCAGGGACAGCTATTGGGGCTGAGAACCTGCCCGAGTGCCTGGCAAGTTCATTTCATTCTCACGGCTCTTCCTGGCAGGGGTGTAGAGCAGGGAAGGCTGTGGGCCACACCAGACACCTGGTGGTACTTGGGGCTCACACCAGGCTCTGTGTTCAGGGGTCTCCTCTGGTGGTCCAATGAGATCACTGCTCTCAAGTGGGGGAACCATTTGAAGGGCTGGACATTCAACCAGGGTCACTCTTTGCAAGGCAAGCACCATAACTCCTGCATCATTCCTCTGCCCCCTCTTCTGTTTTTTGGGGGAAAAAAAGTTATCAAAATCTCATTGATCTAGAATATATAATCTAGGGCTGGAACTACAGTACAGTGGGTAAGGCACTTTCCAGGAGTGATTTCCTGAGTGCAGAGCCAGGAGAAACCCCTGAGCTATCGCCAGATGTGGTCCCCAAACAAACAAATCTGGATGTGACCCCCCCCCCCCCAACAAAAACAAATGTAGGTTCCAGGTGTGTGGCAGGATATCTGGTATCTGTCTAGCCTCCTTAGAGAACACCCCCAAAGTCTTGTCCCCACCCACCTCCGTACAGACGCCTAGTGGCCTGTTCTCCTCTCTCCTTCCTCCTTCCTGGCGAGCACCATTATTTCCAGTTCTTTGCTTGGCTTTTCTGCCTCTTTATCCTTCCACAGAGAGAAGAAAGAGAACTAGCTCTTACAGCATCTGTCTAGTCCGACCCCATAGGCTGGCTGTGAGCTCCTCAGGGCGCATCTGTGCTATTGCACAGGCAGAATTTCCTGCCGGAAATAGGCTCTGACCTCATCCTGATGCCTAATTCACCTGCCCCAGGTCCTGCAGACTGCCACTCCCCACCCCCCACCCCCCACAGGTGTTAGCTGTTTGAATTTTCCTCTGGTTCCTCAGCTGCCTGCCTTTCCTCCCCACCCCCCATAACTGTAGTTGCAGGGAGCCTTGCTTATTTCTTTGACCAGAACCCCCTTCATGACCCCCACCACACACACACACACACACACACACACACATACACACACACACACACGCTGCCTGACCCTAAAAGCCTGTGCCCTGGAGGGTGGGGGTTGGGGGTCCTTTTGGCTTTTTTTTTTGGCTTATACCCAGCTATGTTCAGGGCTTACTCCTCACTCAGGAATTACTCCTGGTGGTACTCATGAGACCATATGGGATGCCGGGGCTCAAACCCAGGTCAGTCGCGTGCAAGGCAAATGCCCTATCTGTTCTAGCACTCCAGCCCCCCTTTTTGCTTCTTACTCCTCTGTCAGCCCAGGAAGCAGAAAATTCTCTCCCTTCCCATTGGTTTGAGGTGGTTCTTCTGCTTTCTTGTCTTTTACAAAAACATCCCCTTCACCCCCCCCCCCCCCACACACACACACTTAAATACTTTAAAAGAGGGCCTGGAGAGATAGCACAGTGGGCAGGGCACTTGTCTGGCATGTGGCTGAGCCTGGTTCAAAAACCCTGGCACCACCAACGGTTCCCTGAGCCCTGCCAGGAGTGATTCCTGAGCACAAAGCCAGGAGTAAGCTATGAGCACCACCGGGCCTGGCCCCCAAATGAAAGAAATACTTTACAATAGAATGCAGTGTTGGGGGGGGGGGAATTAAGTCAATTTTAATTCTGCTGCCTCTGCACACATGAATAGACCACGCCTGTGTTGCTGAGTGCCCTGAATGTCTGCACCCCCCCAGTATTTGGGGCCAAGCTGGTGCATCCTGGCACATATGCTTAGGCCTGGGGCTGTGTCTCTGGGCCAGCCCCCGCGTCTGGTCACGTGATTCTCTCACACATGCTCCTGGGGCCTGCCTGACGCACACAGACTTTAGTATTTCCTTGACTGGTTCAGGCATGCTGCAGGCTGGCCTCAGTCTACCGTCCTGGCCTGTGCCACTGGGTGAAGCGGTGTTGGCAAGGAGGGCGGCTGCGGCTGGGAGTCGAGCCGGGTCCCGAGCTAGAAAGGGGGCGGGTTGGCGCAGTGGCAGGGCCTGGAGCCGTCAGCATGCCCTCCTCCCGTATATTCACCCTCCTGGACCATCACAGCAGCCACTTGGGTCCGTCCTACAGGTGCACAGAGACCCAGAGTCACAGCTGGTCCTGCAGGAGTGGAAAAAGGAGAGGAAGGAGATGAGGTAAGAGTGGCCACTCTGAGCAGTGAGTTCTTCCTCCTGAACCCTGCAGACCCCTTTCCTAACCCTGGCCTTCTCCAAGGCAGGCAGTGACCCCATCCCTCCTGGCCTTGCCGTGTGATGTCACGGAGGAAGGACCCATTCCTTCCCGTCCCTCCCCTTCCCTTTCCTCTCCCTGATGGCCTTGCACGCTGCCCTTGCACGGGGCCGACCCGGCTTCGATCCTGACATTCTATAGGGTTTCCCCCAAGCAGCCGCCAGGAATGATTCCTGAGCACAAAGCCAGGAGTCACCCCTGAGCATCTCCGGGTGCAGCCATCCCCCCTCCCAAAAAAAAAAAAAAGGCAATGGTGGCATTCTCCCTGGGTTCACGCCCCGTCCCTCCTCTCTTGCCCTGCCCCTCCAGGGAGATGACCAAGGGCTTCTTCAACGCCCAGTTCGGCAGCCTGTTCCGCACCGACCAGAACCCCACCTACTTCCTGCGGCGCCTGTCCCGCTTCGCCGACATCTACATGGCCTCGCTGAGCTGCCTGCTCAACTACGACGTCAGCCACACCTTCTACCCGCGCAGGACTCCGCTGCAGCACGAGCTCCCCGCCTGGGCCGACGGGCCCCCCACCTTCCGGCTCCCGCTCCTGCAGGCCGCGCAGGCCAAGTAGCCAGCCGGGCGGGCGGAGAGCAGAGCCGGGCCCCGGGGGGTGGGGAAGAGGCGCATGTGATGTCTCACGTGATGTGCATTTGCTCCCGCGCCTCCGCCTGGGATGCAGACAGGAGCGGGCGCCCCTCTGCATCAGCACCACCTGGCAGCCCTTTGATGCTTCCTTGCGGTTCCCCGAGAGACTCAGGGGCGCCACCTGTCGGCAGCAGCGGGAACGCGCGCGCTCGCCCGCATGCGCGCCCGCCAGGCTCCAGCTGGCTGAGGGTCCAGCCCTGGCCTTTGGGTTCTGCCCTGCGGGAGCCTTCCTCTGACTCCCCTGCACGCGCGCCTGTCGGTCCCCAGTGCCCGCTGCAGGAATGAGCGCGATGCAGCTTCCCGACGGCTGTGTGTGGGGGGGCGGGTTGGAGCCTGTTGCACCCCTAGGCCTGGGTCCAGCGGGCACATGTCCCCTTTGGCATGGACAGACCTGGGGGGGTCTAGATATCAGCGGGGAGGCGCCCCTGCAGCTCTGCCCTCTGCGACCCTCTCTCCACCTCCAGCTTTCCTGCAGGAGTGCCAGTCGGGGTTCTGGGTCGGGAGGGCGGGCCATTGGGGTGGGTTTTTTTAGAGGGGAGTGCAGACCCTGTGGAAATGAAGAGAAAAGGAAATGACCCTGCTGAGAATTTCTCTGTTTTCCTGAGGCCGATGCAGGTGACCTACGCCCGCCCGTGGGCCCAACACAGCAAGGGGCAGGTTGGGGGGCTGGAGCGCGTGACCCCCGTACCCCCCACCAGCACCATCAGTGTTTCATGGCTGCAGCCGCAGCAGAAGCATCTCTTGGCCCCTGGGGCTGTTCGTAGCTGGGCCCAGCTGGCGTTATCCTTGGCTCTGCTGTGTGTTAGGGTGGGGTTTGATGTGGGACTCTTGATTGTATTGAACGAGTGTGGTACAGTGACCCCTTATGGCCCAGAAGACCCCCCCCCCCCCAGGCCTCCACCACCACCACCCCCAACTTTTGTTACAGACAAAACCCCCTCCCTCCCAGCTGGGTGTTTCTTTTTTTTCTTTTTTCTTTGGCTGAGCACTCGCTCCCGGGTGCTTGGAGCGTCCTGCTCCAGACTCCTCACGGCTCTCTCCTCTGCGCCCAGTTTGAATTTCTGCTTTGGGGAAACTGGGCGAGCGAGCGGGAATGGTTCAACCAAGAATTCCAGGCAGCCTGCATCCTCGATGCCCGTTCCCGGGGCTCTGGACTGGAGAATGAAGCGGCATTTGGGCAACTTGCTTTCCCGATGTCCAGATGAGGGGACCCCAAAGGGGGAGGAAGTCCGCTTCCCCTGGAAAAGGGAATGGGGGTGCAGGTGAGGGACAGTGACCGCTGCCCATCCGCTGCTGCCTGGGGCTTAGGACCCTGCGCCCTGGAGCCGCCAAGTATGGGCGGAAGCTTGGCCTGTGTCCCTGTAGATGGTCCCTGGGCCCAGCTAGAAGTACAGGTGAGGACGGCCACCTCCGCTCATAGGGTCCAGAACCAGCATGTCCCAGCTGATCTCATTGTGTGACTGCAGATTCTAGAAGTCCATGCAGCACGCCACAGACCACATGTTCCCCAGGGGGGAAGGGGGGGGCACACCGCTGGCTTCTCCAGACCAAGCTTGAAAAAGTGTTCTGGAGCTCGAACCCCTCTCCCGGAAGCCTCGCGGGGCCCCCCTGCGGAGCCTCTCCAGGAATGCTGACACCAGACTTCGGAACAGAAACCCCCTGTTACTGATGCGGCCCACTGCAGACAAAATTGCTAGTTGCTTTGACTGCCGAGGCCCTCTTAATTAAGGCGGGGGGAGGGATGAATTGTCCTCTCTCCCCCCTCCTCACGGGAGCTTCTGCCTGGCCTTTCAGCGGGGGGAGCGTCAAGTAGGGAGAATGGGGCCTTTCCCACCCGGACCAGGGGCCCTTGTCCCTCCCGCTGAGCAGCTGTCCCTGATTGCGCTATTCTGCTCTGGGAGCTGCTGTGTTTTCTGCTCTTAGAATTCCCTTGGGTACCAATTCCCTTCTCTTCCTCCTTCCCTGTGGGGACGGGGTGTCCCTTACCCCCGAATTGGAGGAAGGCTGCTCTGTCGGCCTGTCACCTCGGCACCTTTCCTGGAGAGACCCTCCACGGCCCCTTTCCAGTGGCCAGCCCCACCAGGATGGGGCACTGTGACCTTAGCGGGCATTTAGCTGAGGCCAGGCTTGGCCCTGGGACCCGAGCTCACCCCCCCTCCACCCTTGCTGGGATAGTGCTGCAGTGCGGGGTGACCAGCCCTGGCCAGACATCTGGGACGCTCAGGTCAGGTGCAGACAGCAGAGAGAAGGTGCCTGGGCCGGGTGGGCATCTCTTGGGAGCTGCTGTCTCAGCCAAGTCACTCGGCCCGTGGCAAGTGACTTTCTGAGCACAAGCCATCTTGCATCATGGCCACTTCGGGGCACTGGTCCTATGGACGTGTCCTGTGGAGTGCCCTCACCGTGAGCTTGGCCCTGGGATGACCTTGGAGGACCCAGGGATGATTCCTCCATTACTGCCATGGTGGCAGCTGTCAGCCCAAGACCGGGCCCCACAACTCAGAGCTGTCACCTGTCAACCTAGCGGGACTGTCCCAGCTCCAGGGCTAGGGAGTGGGGAGCTGGAGGGGGGTCCCTAGGGCCCCTCTGCCCCGCCTGCCTTCCCCAGGAGGGGATCCAGGAACCCTCTGGGCGCCTCCTGCACATGGATCTCCAGCTCACCCGATCACCAAAGTTGCAGCGAACCCAACCCAGCAGCAAAGCTTTGACCCTATTCTGGGGCCTCGGGCGTGACCCCTGGACTCAGGAGACCTTTTCTGATTGTTGAGCAGAAGGACAAACCATACCCCAAGCAAGGGCGGCACAGTGAATCCAGATTCCTCGCAGTAGATGCGTTATTTATTCTGAATGTGAATTTGCTATTTATTCCAAATGGTGATTTTATGTGATCTGATCATACATGGATTGCCCAATAAAAGTTTGGTTTTGTTCAGCCCGTTGTAAACTAGCCTGTCTCGGAGCCCACGGGGTCCCCACCCAGCATCCCCGAGGGAACGGGGAAGGCGCCTGCTACTTCTCCCCACCCACCTCCCGGCCCCCAGCACGGAGCCTGAAGCGTGTGGACTTCAGCCACGAAGGGAAGTTTGGGGCCGACCTCGCCGTGAGTGGCAGCCGGCACTGTGCCCCAGAGACCCCTCCTGAGTTGGCAATTCGGAGGTGAGGAAAATCTGGAAATGCAAACCAAGATCTTGGAAAATATAGGCACCAAATCAGGAGCCATTCACTACTCGGTGCCGCATAAACTTATAAATAGTTTGGGCTTATTTTTAAACACACACATGCGTCTGTTCAGCACCATCGGTGTCCCTGTGCCTTGAACCTCTCTGGGTGCGCCCCCTCAGACTCGCTCACCCCTGTCGGTTTTTCCCCTCTCCCCTTGCCTTTTTGTGCCCATGAAGGTGTTTGGCAGACTCATTAGCCATGCTGCCCCCCGACTCTGGCCCCTCATTTGGAGGGGCGGCTTCTGGAGAGATGGCCAGAGCCCTTTCTCACCACGTCAGCTGCCAGCACCTGCGAGCCCCTCTGCTGGAGGCTGGAGGGTCCCCTGGAGCCCCCAAACAGCTCCAAGACAACCTGGGGCTGGTTTGGATGCGACTCGGCTGAGCCCCGATGGTGTGGAGTCAAGAGGCTGGGTCACAAAGAAGGGATCTGCGGCCTGTGCTTTGCTCTACCTCTGTCTAGCTGGAATCTCAAGCCTGGCCAGAGCCTTCCCCAGAGACAGTTTGGAAACCAAAGTGTGTTTTCTGTGTGTGTGTGTGTGTGTGTGTGTGTGTATTGGGGCCCTGACCATTTGGAAACCAAAGTGTGTTTTCCGTGTGTGTATGTTTGTGTGTGTGTGTGTGTGTGTGTGTGTGTGTGTGTTTCTGTTGGGGCCCTGGTCATTTGGAAACCAAAGTGTGTTTTCTGTGTGTGTGTGTGTGTGCACACGGGCGCACACGCGCGCATGTGTGTGGGTTGGCGCCCAGGCAGGGAGGGGGTTGGGGAAGGTAGATGAGAGCACTTTGGCCTTATGCTGGGCTCACACAGTCTTCAGAGTACCACTGTCATTGGTGAGGGTAGAAATTCTATTTCCGGGCTAGAGACATAATAGTACAGTGGGTCGGGCACCTGATTTGCACACAGCCAACTCAGGTTCGGACCCCAGCATCTCACATGGTTCCCCGAGGACCTCCAGGAATGATTCCTGAGCGCAGAACCTGGAGGAACCTGGCTATTGGGCAATGCCAGGTATGGCCTCAAACAAACAAACAAACAAACAAACAAAAACGGACAAAGGAAACTATTTCTGCCATGAGAATCTTTGCAGGCCATCTAGTCATAGGCTGAACTTTCCAGAAGTGCAGCGATGTTTGAATCAAGAGATGCTTGACTTTTCCTTGTTGGGAATTTGGTAAAGAACCCCAGATCACATCAGGATAGCACGTTCTCCATCCCTTCCTTCCCCTCCCTTTCCTTCCTCCCCTTTCCCATCCTTCTCCTCCCCTCCCCTCCCCCACCCCTTTCCCTCCCCTCCTCATCCCTGATGTTGTCCCTTCTGGGCATCACATTCTGGCCAGGCCCCAGGTGGGTGCTGCGCCCAGGGCTGACAGGTCCGGGGCCTTCGCGGCTGTGTGGTATGCCTTGTTTGTACCTCAGCCCCTGTTCTTCCGTGGGCAGCTTTTCGAAAAGTTCTGTCCCGTCACCTGACAGAGCTGCCTTTCACGGTTGAGGCACTGCCACAAAGGCTCCCCCAGCACCCTCAAATATGGGGGTTTCTTAGTTTCCACATGCTTGTCACCCGGCTATTGCCATCTTATTTTGGGGGAGGGGTGAGAGCAACACCTGGCAGTGCTCAGGTGTCACCCCTGCCAGAGGCAGAACCAAGACTACATGGGCATCAGCGGTGTGCAACACAAGCGCCTTCCCTGCTGGCCCATCTCTCTGCCCTCGCTCTTCCTTTTGATGGCATCCAGCTGGGTGGGCATGAGGGGTGTCCCTGATGGTGGCCAACCAACAAAGGACACGGCAGTGAGGGCTTTGCAGGTGCGATGCTGGCCCATGGAACAGGCTCCGGCTGGCCCTGGGGAGATGCTTTTACCGTTGAAAGAGACAGGACCACAGCAACCCCAGACTGCACTTTGTGCCTCAGGGTCATGAGTTTACCACCTAGTAAGGAAACCTCACCAGACCCCCAGGGGCGTGGACATAAATGCCTACACCTCTGACCGCAGAAAATAAGGATGATCCAAGGGAATGTAAGGAGATGTGTTCACAGTTCTGGTTCAGTTCTGTACCCTCCACTTGCTGGATCGAGGCCGTGAGAATGCACCTGGCAGGGGGCACCCAGACACGTAGACAGGCACCCAGGCATGCAGGCAGGTGGGCATTGGGCTTAAAACCCTCTCCCTGGGGCCAGAGCGACAGCACAGTGGTTAGGGCGTTTGCTTTGCATGTGGCTTGATCCCCGGCATCCCATATGGTCCCCTGACCAACCAGGAGTAGTTCCTGAGTGCAGAGCCAGGAGTAACTCCTAAGCATCGCTGGGTGTGATGCAAAAAGCAAAAAAAATTTTTCCTTCCAGTTGGTGTTGTGTATTTTTGTTTACCAAATACTCTATAGCTTTGGGACTTTGAAATGGTAAATATTCATGGTATATAAAGAAGCATGATACATACACATATGATCTTAATAACATAATGGATGATTAGTTGTGTAGGTAAACAGGACCTAGGACATGTCAGACATGCATGTAATTGTGGATGACCATTCTTTACTTCTTTTTCCTGTTTCCTATTCACATGTTAACTTCGAAAAAATAAATATTTTATAAATATTTTGAAAACCTGAAAAAAAAAACCAACAACAATAACAACAACAAAAACCACCTCTCCCTGAGGGCAATCAGTTTTTTTTTTTTGCTCTTTGCTTTTTGGGTCACACCCGGCTGTGCACAGGGGTTACTCCTGGCTCTGCACTCAGGAATTACTCCTGGCGGTGCTCAGGGGACCATATGTATGGGATGCTGGGAATCAAACCGAGGTCGGCTGCATGCAAGGCAAACGCCCTACCTGCTGTGCTATCACGCCAGCCCAGGACAATCAGTTTCAAAGCCTGGGGAGTGGTCCCAGCTTGCAAACCCTCAGCCCTTATATGAACGTGGGGGGGGGGTGTGAATGTGAATGAAACCTTGAGAAATCTGTCCTGTCTCCGTGTGTCTCCGTTGGCAGCTGAGCTCAGACTAGTGGTCACTTAACATCTGGCCACCAAGATCTCTGGCCACCCAACACCATGTTGGCCCCTCCCAGCGGGCACCCAACCGTTGTCTCCCCAAACACACGAGACGTATTCTGTGGACACTTCCCACTCCATCTGTGTTTATTGAGCCCATTTTCTGCTTTGGACCTTGGGCTAGAAAGAAAAAGGTGGACAGGACACGAGTCCTCCTGTGGGGTCTGATGGGTGGGTTGGCAGGGCCAGGTCACGGCTGGTGGGGCAGGAGGTCCTAAGAGCCATCGTCAGGGACCCCGGGACACTCCTGAGGGGGCAGACCCAGCCCAGTCAGAGACATGAGGTAAAGCTCCTGAGTGGCCCCGCTCGGTGCTGAGGACTCAGTTGGCACATTTCTGCAGTGGGGGTGATGGTGGTGGTGGTAGTGGTGGTGGACAGCCCGGCGGGGGCTCACAGTGCCCCTAGGGGGTCAGCACTGTCCAGCTGCTGCTCGTCCTAGAAGAGAGAGAATGGTGAGACACTGGACAGTGGCCCTCCCCCACCTCTGCCTCCTTCACAGCCTGGAGTGGCGGGGGGAGTCGAGAAAAGCTGATAATAATGAAAAGAAATAAAGAAAATAAAGAAATAAAATAAAGAATATAAAATAAAGAAAATAAAATAAAGAATAAAATACTTTTATTTAAATAAATTAAAATTAATAAAAAATAAAATAATTTTCTTTAAATAAAAATAAAATAAAGAAAACCTTTGTGGTTCTCGGGTTCTGTGACCCCACTGATGACACCTTCACATAGTATATTTTGTTTAAACAAACAAGGACCCAAACCCTCAAACCAAGGTGATTACAGGAGAGAGCTCCAAGCCCAGTGCTCCTGACAGGCATGTGTGAGGTCTTGAGTTGGATCCTGGGTCTGTGTGGCCCTCGGCAGCACCCCAGGATAACCTCTGCTGACCCCCGTCTCCGAGCACTGCACCCTGCAGGCCGGGGAACAAGCGTGGCTGGAAAGGGCCAGGCAGCTCCCGCCCTCCAGAATATCCCCTTCTGGAGCAGGAGGGTGAAGATGGATGAAAGCAGTGCAATCTGCTACCATGTAAGCAGAATTCGAAGATTTTATGTAGAGCCAAGTGAGTCAAGGCAGACTGGGACACTCAGAGTGCAGCCATCCTTCGGTGTCTAACCCTGTGTGTCCATCCTGGTGCATCGGTTCCCAGGTGTCCACCCTTGTGCTTTCATTGCCGTGCGTCTGTCATTATGCATCCATCCTTGGGTGTCCATCCTTCTGCATCTGTCCCTGTGCGTCTGTGCTTGTGCACCTATACTCACATGTCCATCCTAATGAACCCACCTTATGTGTCTGTCGTAAGTAGGTGTCCACATGAATCCAGCCTTATGTGTCTGTCTGTCTCTGTGCGTCCATCCCTATATGTCTGTCCATCCTTATGCTCCCATCCCTGTGTGTCCATTGCTGTGCATCTGTCCCCGTGCCTTTATCATTTTGAGTCATTATACATCTGCATACATATACATATGCAATATGTCTAATACATTATACATATACATGTATAATGTAATATAATGCAATACATTATACATATACATGTATAATGTAATATAATGCAATACATTATACATGCTCGAGCGGGCCCAGTAAAGTCTCCATTGGAGACTTTGTTGTTACTGTGTCTGGCATATCGAATACTCTTGGTAGCTTGCCGGGCTCTCCGAGAGGGGCGGAGGAATTGAACTCGGGTCGGCCATGTTGGCCGCTTGTAAGGCGAACGCCCTACCCGCTGTGCTATTGCTCCAGCCCTTACATATGCATATAATATGTATATTATACATACACAGCAGAGCCTGGCAAGCTACCCGTGGCGTATTCAATATGCCCAAAACAATAACAATAATGGGTCTCATTCCCCTGACCCTGAAAGAGCCTTCAATACGGCAGCTTTGGGAAGGATGAGTAAGGAGACGCTGTTAAAATCTCAGGGCTGTCCTTTTGGAAAACAGTATGGATGATTCTCAAAAAATTAGAAATTGAGCTCCCATTTGACCTAGCAATACCACTCCTGGGAATATATCCTGGAGAGGCAAAAAAGTACAATCGAAATGACATCTGCACTTGTATGTTCATTGCTGCACTGTTCACAATAGCCAAAATCTGGAAAAACCCCAAGTGCCCGAGAACAGATGACTGGTTAAAGAAACTTTGGTACATCTACACAATGGAATACTATGCAGCTGTTAGAAAAGATGAAGTCATGAAATTTACATACAAGTCGTTCTACATGGAAAGTATCATGCTAAGTGAAATGAGTCAGAAAGAGAGGAACAGACATAGAAAGACTTCACTCATCTGGGGAATATAAAGTAACAGAATGGGAGACGAACACCCAAGAATAGTTGAGATAAGTACCAGGAGGTCTGCTCCACGACTTGGAAGCCAGCCGCACATGCTGGGGGAAAAGGCAGCTCAGACAGAGAAGAGACCACCAAGTAAAGGGTGTTTGGAGGATTTGCTTGGGATGAAAGGAATGTGCTGAAAGTAGACTATAGACCGAACACGATGGCTACTCAATACCTCTATTGCAAACCACAACACCCTAAAGGAAAGAGAAAGCAAAAGGGAATTCCCTGCCACAGAGGCTGGATAAGGTGGGGGAATGGGGGTGGGTGGGAGGGCTACTGGGATCATTGGTGGTGGAGAATGGGCACTGGTGGAGGGATGGTACTCGATCATTGTATAACTGAAACCCAAGCACGAAAGTTTGTAAGTCTACAACTGTACCTCATGGTGTTTCACTAATAAAAAAATAATAATAAAAAATTTTTAAAAAATCTCAGGACTGAGACAAATGGGAACATTACTGGTGCCTGCTCTAGCAAATCGATGAACAACGGGACAACAGTGATACATTTGCATGGTGCATCTGTTGTTGTATGGTCATCACCCTGCGTCTGTCCATATGCATCTGTGGCTATGGTCTTTCCCTATGTGTCCATCCCTTTGCATTCATTCTTATGCATCTATCACCTGTCTTTATGTATCCACCCCTATATGTCCACCAGCATGTCTGATGTCTGTCCCCATCATCTATTCCCGTGTCTTTATCGCCACGTGTCCATACCCGGGCCTTTGTCGCTTTGAGTCCATCTGTATGAGTCATCCTTCTGCCTATGCATCTGTCCTTAAGCATCTGTTGCTGTCTGTCTGTCCTTATGTCCCCACCACTATGTGTCCATCTTCATGGGTTTGTTTTATGCAACCACTGCTATGGCCTGTCCTCGTGTGTCCACTCCTCTGCACCCATCACCACATACCACATACCCATCTGCATGCAGCCATCAGCAGCCACCATCATTATGTGTCCACCCCCAAGCACCCATCAGCCTGTGTCCACTGTCATGTATTTGTTCCTGAATGTCCATCCTAATTCATCTGTCACCCTGGGTTTGTCCCTGTGTGTCCATCCTTACGCGTCTGTCCCAGTGTGTCCCTCCCATGCATCCTTCCCAGTGTGTTTGCTCCCGCATGTCCACACCCAGGTGTCCTTCATGATGTGTTCGACCCTACTCGTCCGTCCTCACACATCCCTTGTCCAGTGTTTGTCCTTTGAGTCCACTGCCATGTTTTCGTTCTCATGGGTCTGCTCTTGTGTGTTTGCCACTATCGTCCGACTCTCGTCTGTGTTCATCCTTCTGCATCTGGATCTGTGCATCCAACCTAATGGGTCCATCGCCATATATCCACAGGTCCCCTCCTGGACAACCCTCTGGCTCCCTTCACATGCATTTCCAGCCCTTAGACGCCTGACTCCAAACCCCTCCTCCAAGTGCGCTTTCCCGCCTGGGAAGCATTCATCTCATACACGCAGGAAGTCATCGCTGTTCTCTGCACCCCACGTGAGCCTGATCCCGCAGGAAAGCACCAACTCACCATGAAGGGGTCGTAGCAAGGCTCCGGGCGTGCTGAGGTCGTGTTCTCATACGTGGGGTTCACGATATTCTCAGACTCCTGCTTCTTGCCAAGAGCTGAGACATCAATATCCTCTTCAGACTGCTCAGGAGAACAAGCCCCAACAGGACAGGATCAGCTCGGTGGCAGGAGAGTCATACCAGCCCCGCCTCTCCTCACTCCTCACTCCCGATTCCCCTTCCTCTTCCTTCCACACTGTCATTTCTTTCTTTATTTGTTTTTCCACACCCGCCATGCTCAGAGGTTACTCCTGCATCTGGAATCACTCCTGGCAGCGCTTGGGGACCATGTGGGATGCCAGGAATCGAACCCAGGTTGGCCACGTGCAAGGCAAGTGCCCTACCCACTGTACTATCTCTCTGGCCCTCTCTCTCTCTTTTATTTTTCCATAACATGACCCTGAGCTGCAATTTGTGTGAATTAAGTTACAGCCAAGTGAGAGTCACTGGTGTCACTTGCTAGCCTGTGTCAACGTGTTCAATTTTTCCTTCTGCCTTCCTCCCACACCTCTCTCTTGCCAGCTGCTTTTTTGCTTGTTTAACAGCCTTCTTAAAACAAATAAAAAATTCACTAATTTAACAGCTTAACAGCTCTTCTTAAAGCAAATTAAAAAATCACTCATTTAAAAAATATTGCTTAGGAACTTGTTTTTATCTAAATTTTTTCTGTTTGTTTTTGGGCCACGCCCAGCAGTGCTCAGTTACTCCTGACTCTGTGCTCAGGACTCTCAAACTCCTGGCGGGGTTTGAGAAATCAGATGGGAACCCGGGGATCGAACCTGATCGCCCTCATGTAAGACAAGCTGCTTATCCTCTGTACTCTCTCTTCGGTCTTTCTCTCATACAATATTTTGTATGTAGACGTTACCTGGTTAAAAATATGGTTCTCCAAGAATCAGTTTCTATTGTTTTGGATTTTTGTGTCAGACCCGGCGACGCAGAGGGATTACTCCTGGCTTTGCACTCAGAATTACTCCTGGCGGTGCTCAGGGGACCATATGGGATGCTGGGAATCGAACCCGGGTTGGCCGCGTGCAAGGCAAACACTCTACCTGCTGTACTATCACTCCAGCCCAAGAATCAGTCTCTTCTCTGTTCAAAGTATCTTGTCCTTGTGATAAGAACCTTTTAATCGGTGGTGACCTGGGTTTGCATCATTCTGCCTGGGTTTTAGGTGTGCACCTGTCTGGATCCATGCCGGGCTCTGGGACATTCGAGCCTCTGCCCACTGCCCTCCATTGGCCCTTTTCCCTCTGCGCCCTTCCTTCAGAGAACTCTGATTCCACCCAGAAACCTTGTTTTCTTCCTGAGTTCTGATGCTCCATACCCACTGCGGTGTTCTGCCAGAGATGCATTCCCCAACCCACCAGCCTTCACCTCAGCACACAGGGGCCCCCACTCGCCCCTTATCCCATCCTGGGAGCTGCAGTCAGTTCTGACTTTGACCTATTCAGGGGTGGCCTTGCCTGGAGGGGCAGTGGGTTCAAAGGACCCAGGGCCGGTTGTCTGGAGCTCTGCCCCGGAGCTAATGATAGGCAGGTTATCTGCTGTAACTGGGGGCTCAGCAACTCTTCCTTGAGTGCCCTCTTCCTGGAGGCACACACACACACACGTGTGTGTGTGTGTGGTATGCTTGTGTGTGGGGGGTGTGTGATGTGTGTGGTGTGTGTGGTGTGTGTGTGGTATGTGTGGTGTGTGTGTATGATGTGTGTGGTTGTGTGGTGTGTATGTGTGTGGTGTGTGTGTGGTGTGTGTGGTGTGTATGTGTGTGGTGTGTGTGGGGTGTGTGTGGTGTGTATGTGTAGTGTGTATGTGTGGTGTGTGGTGTGTGTGGGGTGTGTGTGGTGTGTGTGTATGATGTGTGTGTGGTGTGTGTGGTGTGTATGTATGATGTGTGTGTGTGGTGTGTGTGGTGTGTATGTGTGTGGTGTGTGGGGTGTGGTGTGTGTGGGGTGTGTGGGGTGTGTGTGTGGTGTGTGTGATGTGTGTGGTGTGTGTGGTGTGTGTGGGGTATGTGTGGTGTGTGTGTATGATGTGTGTGGTGTGTGTGGTGTGTATATGTGTGGTGTGTGGTGTGTGTGTGTGGTGTGTGTGATGTGTGTAGTGTGTGTGGTGTGTGTGATGTGTGTGGTGTGTGTGGTGTGTGTGTGTGGTGTGTGTGGTGTGTATGTGTGTGGTGTGTGTGGTGTGTGTGTATGATATGTGTGTGGTGTGTGTGGTGTGTATGTGTGTGGTGTGTGTGGTGTGTGTGTATGATATGTGTGTGGTGTGTGTGGTGTGTATGTGTGTGGTGTGTGGTGTGTGTGGGGTGTGTGTGGTGTGTATGTGTGTGGTGTGTGTGGTGTGTGTGGGGTGTGTGTGGTGTGTGGTGTGTGTAGTGTGTGTGGTGTGTGTGTATGATGTGTGTGGTGTGTGTGCTGTGCATGTGTGTGGTGTGTGGTGCGTGTGGTGTGTGTGTGGTGTGTGTGGTGTGTGTGAGGTGTGTGTGGTGTGTGTAGTGTGTGTGTGGTGTGTGTATGATATGTGTGGTGTGTGTGGTGTGTATGTGTGTGGTGTGTGGTGTGTGTGGTGCGTATGTGGTGTATGGTGTGTATGTAGTGTGTGTGTGGTGTGTGTAGTGTGTGGTGTGTGTGTGGTGTGTGTGGTGTGTGTGTATGATGTGTGTGTGGTGTGTGTGGTGTGTGTGTGTGTGGTGTGTGATGTGTGGTGTGTGTGTGTGTGTGTGTGTTTGGGGTGGGGTCTCCGTTACCGTGGCCCCACTCAGATCCAGGCCTTGTGCCAGCCCCCCACTTGCCCCTCTCACCTCAAAGTGCTGGAAGCCGATGGTTCTCCGGTTGAGTCTGAAGTAAGAGTACGCAGCCAAAGCGACAGCGCCGATGACCAGGAGGATGGCGAAGAAAATACCCATCCCCAGGCCAGCGTGTCCTGCGTGCTGCAAGAGGGGGAGGGCCTGAGAGAGGACAGTGATGGCCCGAAGAGGGTGCTCATGGCAGCTCAGCCCCCTCGCACTGGCCCTGGCCTCCATCAGCTGCTAATGGAGACCGCATCTGAGGCCTTGTGACTTCCGTCTTTCACCACCCACCCCCACCTGGTCATTATCATCATCATCATGTCCAGCTGTCAAATGTCCTATTGGTGACCCATTAGCCTGTCCATGGTTCCAATGGGGATCACTACTATTATTCCTGATTTTTTTTGTTTTTGTTTTTTGGGTCACACCTGGCAATGCACAGGGGTTACTCCTGGCTCATGCACTCAGGAATCACTCCTGGCGGTGCTCAGGGGACCATGTGGGATGCTGGGAATCGAACCCGGGTCGGCAGTGTGCAAGGCAAACACCCTACCCGCTGTGCTATCGCTCCAAGACCCTATTTATTCCTGTTTTTAGACGGCAGGGGCTGAGGCACGCAAAGGGTCAGTGCTTGCCGGAGGTCATCCAGCCGAAGTGGCAGGGGTGGGCATTGGAGCCCCCTGAACTATGGAGCCTCTTTGCCACCAGCTGTGCTTGTCCCGTGCTTAGGACCCCTGTAGAACCGTCACACTGCTGGCCAGACCCGGCCAGCACTCGGTGCCAGGGACTGTCCGAAGTGCTGGACCTTAGTGACCTCATCATCCTCCAAGAGGCGGGAGAGGGAGCCCCCATTGCTCCCCCTTTGGCAGGTCAGACAAACGGAGCACCATGGTGATGTGGACATGCCCGGAGTCAGCCTGGCTGCCACCTCCAGCGGGCTGGCCCCATCTCCCCAGCTTCTGCTCAGCGAACACCAGCAGTGATGGGGGTCACGTCACTAAAGATGCAGAGTGAGGGGGGGCTGATGTAGTGCACACCACACGTCCTGGCTGTCCCAAGGGGCATCTGCAAAGGGCCCTGGGGAGTGGACACCGGGGCTCCTCCTGGATACTCACCGCTGGGGCTGGGGGCGCTATTAAAGGGCCAGAAATGATGTGAATGATCCCATTGGAGGCAATGTGGTCCCACTGCACAATGGCTCTCCCGTCCACAAACCGGGTCTCCTGCGGAAAGGAGCAGTGCAGATGGAGGGCGCCCGCCTGCACCCCAGGGAGGGAAGGGCCCATTCCCCAGGGCCTCCCGCCACCCCCCACCCCCAGGCCTCTGCGTGATAGTAGTTCTTGGCCAGCAAGTTCAGAGCAGAAGAGGAACCTTGAGTGGTCAATGTGCCCAGCCTCCCTGAGTGACCAGGGGAGACTTTGGGGGAAATGGCTCATCCCTGATTTCCCAGCTAGTGAGGGCCAAGCCCAGGCCAGCTCTGAACCTTCCCCAAAACTGTTGGTTTATTTTGTTTTCTTGTTTATTTGTTTTTGTTTGTTTTTGAGAGGGGCCAGCTATACCAGGTGGTTCTCAGGGGTCACTCCTGGCTCTGAACTCAGGAATTGCTCCTAGCAGGCTCGGGGGACCGGCTGGGGTGCCTGGGAATCGGGGGACTGAACCTGAGTTGGCCACGGGCGAAGCGGATGGCCGACTCACTGAACTATCTCTCCTTTCCCCACCTCCAGACTGTTGGAAAAGTGACTTTCTGGTTTTCCCCCAGCTCAGTGGTTACTCCCAGCAGTGCTGGGGGACCCTGCAGTGCAGGGCACCGAACCTGGGCCTCCAACCCTGTGAGACCCAGAAGAGAGTGAGTCTTGGGTGTTTTCAGTCCTTGCTAATCTACTCGGACTCTGCAGCTGCTGGCCAGGCCAGTGCCTGGGAATCAGCGGTTGGGGCTGGCGGCTCTCCCGGGGCTTGTTCTGAGCAAACCATCAGGGGTTCAGCCATGCCATCAAGTGGGCAAGCGCCGGTCTGACGTGCGAGTTCCATACAGGAAGCCATCTAAGCTGTAGAAACGATGCACTTCCCGGTGGCCATGCAGCTTAATGGGCAGAGCTCACTTGTGCAAGGCCCCAGAATCCCATCCCCTACCCTCATTTGGCCCCCAAGCACTGCTGGGGTCATCCTGGAGACTCTGATTCTTGAGCACTGCCAGCCATGTGTGCCCCACTGGGAAATCCCCCACGTCCCACTGAGAGGTCCCCTAGGCCAAACCGTCTGCCTGCCCCCAACTGAGCATGGCCAGGATTGACCTGGGTACCAGGAACATGGCGGGGTGGAGCCCCTATGAAAGTATAAAAAGAAAAACCATCATTCTCAACCCCTCAATGTGTTTCTGGTTCTATTCTCATATATCACAAATATACACTGTCACTGTCACTGTCCTCCCGTTCATCGATTTGCTTGAGCGGGCCCAGTAACATCTCCATTGTGACACTTGTTACTGTGTTTGGCATATTGAATACGTCATGGGGGAGCTTGCCAGGCTTTGCTGCATGGGCGAGGGATACAAGAGCCTCCAAATTAAAAAAAACAACAACAATTTTTTTTGTGTGTGTGTGTATGTGGGGGTGGCCATACCTAGTGGTGTTCAGGGCTTACTCCTGACTCTGAGCTCAGGGATCAACTCTGGCGGGGCTGAGGGGGACCATATGGGATACTGGGGGTCCAGCCTGGGTCAGCTGCATGCAAGGCCCTTTAGGAGACCCCACCCGGTACTATGGCTCCGGCCCCAGAGCCTCTGTTTTCGACCTGACGGCTGTCAACGTCCCCTGTAGCACCATTACTTCTAGTACCGTCCTCACTGCCCTCGGCCATACCACCACCATCAGCACCACCAAGGTAATGTCCCTGATGGCATCCCAGTCACTGCACTAGTGCGGTAACCACCACATCTCCAGCCTCCCCCACTGGCAGGAGAGGGACCTGGAGCAGCAAGATGACCTTCATCCAGCCAAGGGGTGGGGACAGGAGAGGCTCACTGGGTCGAGCCTGGCGTGTCCGGGTGATGGGCCTGAGTGAAGGCAGGGGCTCTGTGACATGCCCAGCTGTCAGCCGTCAGCAACCCTGCCGTCTGACACTCCCTCTCAAGCTCACACCAGGGCTGACTCCGCCCTCCTGGCAAGCCCCTGGGGGGGGGGGGGTGTGTGTCCTGTACCTGCTGCTGCTGGTCCTGGCTGGATGTGATGTGGAGCTGACTGCCCAGTCGAGTCTTCAGCGTGGAGCCATTGACCAGGTCATTGTAAAATAAGACGTTGACGTTGGTGAGGTGGTGCTCGATGTCTCTTCCCGACAGCCTCTGAGAGCAAAGGGCAAATACAAGAAGCCATCCTCATCTCTGCCTCTGTCTCTGCTTGTCCATGTCTCTGCCCGTCTCTGTCTCTGCCTGTCCCATCTCTGCCCATCTCTCTTTCTCTGCAGAGCCAGGATGAGAATCCGGGGTCTCACCCTTCCAAGGCGGACGCTCTTCCACTGAGACTCCCCTGGAGTCTCCAGTATCTTTTTTTGTTTGTTTTTTTGTTTTCCTTTCTTTTTTGGCTCATACCTGGTAGCGCTCAGAGCTGACTCCTGGCTCTGTGCTCAGGTATCACTCCTGGCAGGGCTCGGGGGACCATAGAAGGTGCCGGGGGTAGGACCCGGGCTGACTGCATGCAGGGCAAGCACCCGTCCCGCTGTCATATTGCTCTGAGACCCCCGCCCTGCCCCACTCCCTCACTGTATTTCCTTCTTAAGGCTCAGGAGCACACAGAAGGAGCAACCCCCTTCTCCTGCCCTGGCCCATCTGTCTCTGTGGCATGCCAGGCTCGTCTTTTGGCTCTCTGCCAAGCCTGGCCTCCAGCGAGGTGAAAGACCGAGCATCATCTCTAGGTTCTAGCACCCCACAGACTTGGGAACTGTGGGGATAATGATGATGCTGATGCTGATGCTGATGATGATGATGATGATAATGATGATGATGATTGTTAATATTCTGGTTGGGGGGTGGGCTTTATGGCCACATCTGGCTTAGCTCAGGGCTTACTCCTGGCTCTGTGCTCATGGATGGCTCCTGGCAGGGCTTCGGAGGCCAAATATGATGCTGGGGGTGGAACTGAGGTCACCGCAGCAGATCTAGGGCTGACACCCTGGCTGGTGAGCGGAGAGAGCCCTCCAACACGGCCAGGCTGGGGGTCTCCAAAGCCCGCAGTGACTTGGCTGGAGCAATACAGTCCAGTCCCTCCCGCCAGGCCATGGGGCTGGCAACTGTGGCCGGGGGAGGGCACCAGTGGCCTCACCTCCACCTCCTGGATGGTGACCCTTAGTGACCCTGAATCATGATCCTGAACACATGCCCACATGCATGTGTTCGTGACACGGCCCCACATGCCTCCCATGCTCACTTTGGCTCTGGTCACGTGATGGGGGCCAGTGGCCTGTCAGCAAATGGGGCGATGCAGAGGGCTTGACAGATGCTGGCAGACCTGGACCGGCTCTCCCCACTTCCGGGGCCTCAGCTGGGCCGGCCCTGCCCAGAGCAGCTGGCATTGAGTCCCTCTCACGCACGGGCGCTCAGAGCTGCCAGCTCATCTGCAGCTGCGTGAGCCTCGGAAATGTGCGGCTGCCGAGATTGCAGTGTTGGGGGACAGAGCACTGGGGCGGGGAGAGAGAACAGTCGGAAATGTTTCTAAAGCCCCCACTCACCTTATCTCCCTGGAGCCCGTCGTTCTGTGGCACAAAGAGGGTGCCCCGGATGGACAGGTCAGCCAGGTGCTTCAGGAAGGCCTGGCCCCGGGACGAGCTGTTGGAATAGGCCAGCACCTCCTGGGGACACGAAAGAAGAGGTCAGTGGGCGGCCCAGGGGTGGGTGCTGGTGGCCGCCATCACCTCCTTCTCCCGAATGCCACCTTAAAAGACCTGCAGGTAACTACAACACCCTAAAGGAAAGAGAGAGCAAAAGGGAATGCCCTGCCAAAGAGGCGGGGTGGGGTGGGGGGATGGGGTGGGAGGTGGGAGGGCTACTGGGATCATTGGTGGTGGAGAATGGGCACTGGTGGGGGGATGGGTACTCAAGCATTGTATATCTGAAACCCAAGCATGAAAGTTTGTAAGTCTACAACTGTACCTCATGGAGTTTCACTAATAAAAATAAATAAATAAAGGCATGAAAAATAAATAAATAAATAAATAGTGGGGAAAAAAAGAAAAGAAAACATTATCCACATTCTTTGGGATAACATTGTAGCACTTTAAAAACAAACATTGTTTATTAAGCCTATTCCACTCCTTTATAGCCAAACTTCCTCATGATTGACTTTGTATACCTGTGATTCTCTTTACATTTTTAGATGTTTCTTTTTCAGAAATTTTAAGAAAGTAGTAAATAAAAATATATGGAAGAAAAAAATAGAGAGAGAAGAAAAAAATAAAATAAAAAAGGCAAAAAAAAAATTTAAAAAAGACCTGCAGGAACTCAAACATGAAAGCTCGTAACTGTATCTCATGGTGATTCAATAAAAAAAAAAAGTAAACTCAAATGTACAAATTCCCCCCACACACACACCCCCAAATAAAGACTTGCAGGACTTTCCCTCGGCATGACCCATGTCCCTAAGCCCTGCCTACGGTGTGGACCTTCATACCATGGCCGCCGCATAGCTCAACTTTGAGCTGAAACCCTGCAGCGGCCACTGATCATGCAAGGAAGAGTCAACGTTCTTCCAAGGAGCCCCCGGACTCTGCCGCCCCTGGACCCCGGGCCCTACTGTCCTCTCTCCAGCCCACTTTGCTCTGGTTGTGCCAACTCCACACTCTTCCAGCTTGCTGCCTGCTGGTCCTTCACCCCGTGCCTGCTGTTCATGCTACCTGGAATATTCTTCCCCCGCCTCTGTGCAGCCAACTTCCTCTGCTCTGTTCACTCTGTTTTTTCTTTTTTTTGGGGGGGGGTGGGCGGGGAGTCACACCTGGCGATGCACAGGGGTAACTCCTGGCTCTGCACTCAGGAATTACCCCTGGCGGTGCTCAGGGGACCATATGGGATGCTGGGAATCGAACCCGGATTGGCCGTGTGCAAGGCAAACGCCTGACCCACTGTGCTATTGCTCCAGCCCCTGCTCCATTCACTCTGGACTCACTACGCTCTCCCCTTGTCCCTCTGCAAACTGGGAGCCCCACACTGTGCCTCCCTCCCCTGCCCCTGCCTTCCCTCCCGTGCTGGAGAGCATCTTCGAGTGTGAGGCCTGTTCCCTTGCTGGGCTTCCTGTCCTCTCTGAGGCACACAGCAGAGCTTGGTAGATGCATGTGGAAGGTGGGGAGGATGTGGAACTATGACAGTGCCCGACTTCACTCTGCTCCGTTATAGCCAGGGTTGCTGAAGTCCAGAGAAGTGAGGGACTTTGTCGAAGGCTTCACAGCCGTGGGGTTTGCTCTGATATCATCGCTTTGTGGAAGATCGTGCTCACACATAGAGAAATCACAGGTCACAGGGTGCCAGTCATCAGTCTGCTTATGGAAACCCAGATTTTTACTTTGGGTACTTTTGGTCAGGACTTGCTCTTTTGAGATCCCTGATTTAACATCTGCCGGATTCTCTGAGCCCAGTACTGAAGCCCTGTCCCTTCTCTTTGACTCTGTTGACCTTGCTGAACCTCCATCTCCTTAATTACAAAACAAAATCAATAGCAAAAGTGACCTCATAAGGCTGCATGAGGATTTCTTCCTTCTACTAATTCTATTATTTATTGAGCATATACGATGTGCCTGCAACAAGATGGAGACCACCTGTTGGCTTTCCCTCTGGAACTTCCAACCTATGGATGGAGTAAAAAATGCTTAGAGGAGTATTTGAAGTACTTGAGGTACCTAGTGCAGTGCTTCAATTCTCAGTCCACACCCCCATAGCTGTACCTCAAACTCAAACTTGTAGTACTCAGTGTAGTAAAATCAGTACTCAGTCCAGTCCCTGGTGCAAAGTAAAGGTTCAGAAGATATTAGCTACCATTGCTACAATTTTAGGTCAGTTCTTTGATAAGTCCCCACCAAATCTTTCTTTGCTTGGGCCTGTCTTCATTGTGCATTGTATGTAGCATGTTGAAACTCCTTTCAATGCCAAATGCAAGTTGATTTCTGCTGACAGTGGGCTGACCACCAGGTGGGCTTGGATCACGATGGTGCCCAGCCTGCCCACCAGGCCAGAGGAGCTGCTTTCACTCCTGCAGAAGCAAGTCAGATGCTTCTCTAGATGCGAAAAGCAATATTGTCACCAGAGGATTTCCCCTGGGCTGGCCAGAGGTCTGAGTGCTGTGCAAATATCAACTGGGTTAACGATCACAGTGACTCTTCAAGGCTGGCACTAACACCCTCTGCATCTTACAGATGAAGAAACTGAGACCCAGAGAGGGGAAGTTTTAAGGGAATGTGAAAAGGAAGAAATAAAGGAAGAAAGAAAGAAGGAAGGAAGGAAGGAAGGAAGGAAGGAAGGAAGGAAGGGGAAAGAAAAGCAGAAAAGAAAGAAGAAATAAAGAAAGAAAAGAAAAGAAAGAAAGAAAGAAAGGGAAGAATAAAAAAGTAGGAAGAAAGAAAGAGAAAGAAAGGAAGGGAGAGAGAGAGGAGGGAGAGGAGAGAGGAGAGAGAGAGAGAGAGAGAGAGAGAGAGAGAGAGAGAGAGAGAGAGAGAGAGAGAGAGAGAGAAATCCAAGCTCCAGAGTCAGGCTCTGCTGCTCTCCTTCCCTTGGTGGGGAACCTGTGTCCTCCCTCAGGGCCTCCCCTCTCCAGTCCCATCCCTCCTGGCCGCAGTGGCGGAGGCCCAGCAGAGTCCCTACCGTCAGGAAGTTAGTGAGCGAGGGGCGGGACATCAGGACCTGCAGCAGATTCCCGCTGCATGAGATGCCGTCTCCCACATAGCCCTCCTTGCAGGAGCAGTTCACATCTGGAAGGCACATGGGATTCTAGGTCTCGGAGGCCGGGTTGGGAGGCCCCAGCTCCCCTCCTCAGAAACTGGCCACAGCGGGCCCAGGCAGCTGAACCACAGCCGGGGAGGTGTGCCTGGCCATTCGTTACCTTTCATCCGGAAGCAGAAGACGTCCCACATTTCACTCTTGTTGTTCCTCGGTCCGTAGTCCACGATCCCCACCATCCCAGAGCCACACTTCTGGGAGGCGAAGGCTGTGGGGTAGGCGACACGCCCATCCTCCAGCCAGCCTGCTGAGCACAGGTGGTAATTGGCCTGTGGGGACACAAGATGTGGCCAGGATGAGCTGCAAAGTCCCATTGACCATGGGGTCCTTTGATCGATGTTTGAGTGCCTGATTAGGCTGGAAACGGTGGTCGGGCTTGTTTGACCAGTGGTGACCCTGCGCCTGGAACATAAGACAGACCCGACAGATTCTGTCAGTTGGGACACTGGAGGATGAGAGTGGACTGCTCTTCTTGCAGGCACCCGAGTTTTCCACCTGTTTCTATTCACTCTCGAGAAAGGATTTTTTTTCTCTCAGTCTTTTAGCCTTACCTGCAAATTCTTCTGCATACAGGTGGAGAGAATCTAACTGAACACGACACTCACTACTACCACAGTCCTCAACCAATCAACCACCACCTTCATCATCAGCACCATTATCACCATCATCTTCCTCATTACCACCATCATCAAATCACGACAATAATCATTTATCTCCATGGCCGTTATCAGCACCATCATCGCCGTGATCATGATGGTACCACCACAATCCTAAATTATCCCACTGATCATCATCATCTGCCAATAACCCACCACCAGCATCAACTCCATCATCATCATTGCCTCCTCCTCACCACCATCACCATCACTGTCACATGACCTTCACCCTGACAGAATCATTTCATCCCTTCCTCATCCCGTCATCTTTATAACGTCCTCCTCATCATTATAACCAGCATCACCACTACCATCACCATCACTACTGAATCATTGTTTTCTCATCCCAAACATCATCACCACCTTTGTTACGAGCTTTCCATGGACGAGGCTTTGTCACATTGTGTTCACATGGTCCGTGCTCACATCAGCCCCATGAAGTAGGAGCTTAAAAAAAAAATCCCAGTTGTGTTTTAGAGAAAGTTGAAGCAAAGAGGAGTTGGGTAGCTGGATTAGATGCACAGAGCCAACACACAGCTAGTCTGTGAGTCAAACCCTGGAAGTGTTCTCTGGGGTTTGTAACCTCGAGTACAGGGTTCCTCCTGGCCTCCAGTCACATAGGCTTTGATAGCATCAGTCACCAAGAACCACACGGCCAAAAGCAGAAATCCAGACCATCCGAGATATTGGGTCCAGGCATCCAAGGCTTTGCTCCAGGAAAGAAAAGTCAAGTTTGAGGATAGGTGAAAAGGCTTGGTGGTGCTATGGGTGGAAGAGAGACTCGAAGTTCACAGTGGGCCCTTGGCTCCTGGGCGGCAGTGAGCACTCGCCCAAGGCTTGTCCTGGGGCTGACCTTCCCTATGGGCAACTGGGTTTCACGGCCCAGAGTAGCCCGAGCCAGAGCCCTGTGTCCTACCTGGCTTTGACTAGGAGCTGGGGGACCCCACCAACTTCCTTCTCAGCTTCCCTGACCACAGAGGTCCCAGCTATGCGGCATTTATGGCAATTGAAATTTCCTTGTTTCTTCTTAATGCCTGTCTGGGTCTTGGCCTTGGCCACTGAGCATCGTGGTGGAGATCCGACTTTTGGAGTCTGACATTTGGAAAGTGGATCCCTCACCTTGTGGTCGGATGACACCGGGTATGTTGTTTATCTTTCAGAGTCTTTACAATCTTCCTCCTCCTCCTTCTCCTCTATCTCCTCCTTCTCTTTGTTTTCGGGTCACACCCAGTGGTACTCAGCACTCAGGGCTTACTCCTGGCTCTGTGCTCAGGGATCACTCCTGGCAGGCTCTGGGGACCATATGGGATGCTGGGGATCCAACCCAGGTTGGCCAAAGCAAGTACTCTCCCCGCTGTACTATAGCTCTGGCCCCATTGACTCTTGTATTCACAGGAGGGGAATAAATGGTAACCCCCACCACCAGGGTTCTCTTTCAGTTGGATAATAACATCCACAGAACACCGCCTGAGGGTCTGACACCAGATGCCCCCCAGATGTGCTGAGCCATGACAGCTCCCGTAAACACAGCAATGATCCTTCCCAGGAGACCTGGATGAGGGTTTTCCCCAGGGTTCAGAGACCACTTCCTCTCCTGCAGACACTGCATAGCATCTGGGTGGACGGAACCTACCTTCTGGGCATAGGAGAGCTGGTTGTAGGTGGCCACAGTGGCAGCCTCTCCTGCGCACGCCTCTCTGGCTTTGTCGAAGGTCAGCTTGTACTGGCCCTTCGGGGAGCGCAGGTGGAACACGCCCACTGTGGTGTCTGGAGAGGAAGGGAGGAGAGGGTGAGCCGCCAGCTGCTCTAGGGCCCATGGGAAGCCCACCACCCACCTTGGCATGACACAGAGGCATGTCTGTACAACTTTTCTTTCTTTTTTTGGGAGGGGTGGTGGACCACACTGGCCATGCTCAGGGGTTACTCCTGGCTCTGTACTCAGGAATCACTCCTGGCAGTGCTAGGGGGACCATTTGGGGTGCCAGGATTGAACCGTGGGGTCAGCTGTGTGCAAGGCAAACCCGCTATCCTATCGCTTGGGCCCCATATTTTCTTTCATGAGTATGAAAACAGCACTGGTTCAGAGCCATCTAGACAAAGAAACAAAATGGTCTATAATCCTTCTCCCTGGAAATTTTGATTCTGTAGCAGCTATTCGGGTGCACTTCCTTCCATAAATTTCGCTTTTATTTTACTTTTAATTGTCTTTATTTTTTGGAACTTTTGAGATGATTTCACATTTTTTTGCATTTTTTTTTCAGTTCGTGCGTCATGTATATTATAACTGTGGCATTGGGCATGGGTAGGTTTTAGGCTTCTTTTGTTTACTTGGGGGCCATGCCTGGCTGTGCCCACCGGCTACTCCTAGTGCTGTGCTCAGGGGTCACTCCTGCCAGTCAAGTGCCTTCAGCTGTGCAGCAATTCTCTGCCCTTGGAATTTCTCTTTTTTTTCTTTTTTTTTTTTTTGCTTTTTGGGTCACACCCGGCAATTGCTCAGGGGTTACTCCCGGCTTTGCACTCAGGAATTACTCCTGGCGGTGCTTGGGGACTCTATGGGATGCTGGGAATTGAACCCGGGTCAGCTGCTTGCAAGTCAAAGGCTCTACCCGCTGTGCTATTGCTCCAGCCCCGCCCTTGGACTTTCTATAACAAGATTAAATGACGATTATGTCCCAATGTATTTCTCTTGCAACTGGATGGATGACTCCCTCACTGATCCTTAAAACAGAATCGTTTCTAGGGCCCGAGAGGGGAAGAGAAGAGTTCAGAGGGCTGACAGAGTTCGGGCTACACATGTGGGAAGCCTAGATTCAATTCCTAGCACCTCACGGTCCCCTGAGGACAGATGGGGGGGTGATTCCTAAGTACAGAGCCAGGAATAGGACCCCAAGTTCTACCAGGTGTGGCCCAACCCTACCCTGAATCCCCGCTCCCCCGCTCCCCCCCCCCCCCCCCCCACACACACACAAAGAATAGCTTCTGTGAAATGTCTAGGAAGTGTCTGCGATCCCTCCTGGCCCAGAGGGGACTGGGGCATTTCTCCACCATGATTCAAGTAGCCTGTCCCCCGAGGCTCTGCCCTATGCACCCTTGCCCCGTGCTGTGTGGGACTGACATTAGTTCCACCTCTTTGGGACAGTACAACTGTCCCGGGAGACGGACGAGCTCTGTGCCCATTAGTGCACTAGCAGAGTCCTCCTGACCATGGCAGATGCCACCTTTTTGCTCTTCTGTACCCCAAACTCTGCCCCCAAGCTAGACAGGACTTCCAGGGGGCTCGAGGAAAGCAGTCAGCAGGCAAATTCATGCTGCAGGTGTGTGTGGAGAACCTCTTGGCTCCCTCTAGGTTCAGAGGTGACAAACGGAAGTGAACGGTGTGTCTCATTGCAGAAACCCCTGCCTGCATCAGACTGGCAGTGCCCGGCTGTTGGTGCCCGCCCACCATGTCTGACTGTATGTGTCCTCTGGCTCAGTCCTCGGCCCAGGCCTAGAGACTGGGGGTACCCGGGCCCGCCCCCAGCCTCACTCACCCTGGAAATGGAGGTCAGTGCAGTCGGCATCCGCATGGCACTGCCCGTGGTCCTGCAGGCAGCGGTCCAGGGGCAGCTGCTCGGGCTCACAGTCCAGCCCGTCGCCCACGTAATGAGGTTTGCATTGGCACCTCTGCTTGCCCTGGAGGGAGAATGTGTGAGGATTCGACAAAACTCAGCACCTTGCGCAGGGCCACAGAAGTCCCCGTGGGGGGTGTGGGGGGAGCAGGAGAGACGGTCAGTGGGACAGAGGGTCACAGCCCCAGTGGGGCCAGTGGGAATGGGAACCGCCACGGTGAGCCCAGGATGAAAGTTCAGCCTTGACATCTCGGCAGCCATGTGGCACCATCAGACACCCCCCCGCCCCGCTAAGGGAAGCAGCCCCCATCCCCCATTCCTTCCATCATGGGGGGCTTATTTGTGTTTTGCATGCCAGGAACGAAGAACATATTTCCACGCCGGGCACCGCCCCTCGTTCTGCGCATTCATCTATTCTGTTGCTATTTCCGGGACACCTATGACAACACCTGGTGGGTGCTGGGTGACCTCAGTGAGGAGCTCATTTCATCCCACCACCCACTTTATGGAGTCTACATTGGGAGCAGATCCACGGGTCTCAGAGAGATCAAGCAGCCCACCCAGAACCACACAGCATGAGTGTCCAGGTCGGGAGACTCAATCATAGACACCTTGAGTCTGAGCTTCCTCCCACCTTGGGCTCATCTCCCAACTTCCTCTCCTGCAGGCAGTGAGCGCCCATGCCGCAGCAACTCCTGCTGTTTCTTGTTTTTTTTTTTTCACCCCCTTTTTCTTTTGGGCCAAATCAGTGATGCTCAGGGCTTGCTGCTGGCTCTGTCTGCACCCAGGAGTCACTCCTGGCGGTGCTCGGGGGACCATCTAGGATGCCAGAGATTGAACCTGGGTCGGTTTCCTGCAAGGGCAACGCTCTCTCCACTGTGCTAGTGCTTCATCCCTGGTGCCTACCTTTCTTAGTTTTTCTTTTTCCTTTTCTTTTTCTTTTATTTATTTATTTATTTATTTTTGCTTTTTGGGTCACACCCGGCAATGCACAGGGGTTACTCCTGGCTCATGCACTCAGGAATTACTCCTGGCAGTGCTCGGAGGACCATATGGGATGCTGGGAATCGAACCCAGGTTGGCTGCGTGCAAGGCAAACGCCCTACCTGCTGTGCTATTGCTCCAGCCCCATTTTTTCTTTCTTATATTAAAAAAAATACATTGGGGTTTGGAAATATTTTAGATCTATTGAAGAGTTGCCAAGAGAAAGTCTCCAGGACCTTTTCACTGAGTTCTCTGCCCGCGGCCGTCTCCCAAGCTCATAGAACATGGGTCCAGATGCAGAGATTTACGTTGGTTCATCCCTGAGGTGGACAAGAGATTCCCCATGGGTCTCCCCCATGTCCCCCGTGTCCGTGGGGGACAGAGGGAGCAGCCCGGGCAGAGGCAGGACTGGGTGCATTGTGGAGAGGAGGGGAGTGGGACTCACCGGGCCCGTCATGGTGCAGGTGGCATGTTCGTGACAGCCGCCATTGAGGCCATCTGCACAGGGGTCGATCTCCGTGCAGCTGTGGCCATCGCCCATGTAGCCCTTGGGGCAGCTGCAGGATACCTTCGTGTCCTTCTGGGAGCACTTGGCTACTGTGGCACAGCCGCCGTTGCCCTGGGCGCAGAAATCCACCACTACAAGTGCAGGGAGAGGGAGGATGCCATCAGGCACAGTCACCACAGAACCCGGGGCACAGGGCGGGGTCACTGGGCACTCATCTCTCCTGGCCGTGCCGCCCTGAGCCCACCACAGCCCTGTCTGCACACGCTGATCTCTGGGCCCCTCAGAGCAGGTCAGCCTGTCCCCTCTGCACTGCTGTGTCACCGGTGGGGTCTGCTGTGGTGGCAGAATTGGGAGGATCTTTCACAAATGGGTAGTGTGTGGAGAAGCACATCCGGGAGTGCTGGGGGGTGATGGTCCCCCTCGTTTTCCGGGGGGACAGACAGAGTCCAGGGGGACTGAGCTCTGTCCTGGCTGGGACCACATAGAGAAAGAGGCTGGGCCGAAGCTTCCAACCGTAGAGGTGACGCTAAACCCCAGCTGGACCCTCTGGCTCAGACTTTTGCTTCTGCGACTTCCCACCTTCCAATGCAGGCATAGGTTGGGCTCCTGGCCACCCAACCAAAGACTACATTTCCCAGACTCCCTTGCAGCAATGTGTTGCCGGAGGGTGACGAACCAGCCAATGGGAGGGGAGGGGCGTGGTTTTAGAGGGCGTGTCCTTAAGGGGGGCGGGAAAGATGTTGAGCCCTCCTTCCAGCTCTTGGCTCTGCCCCCTGAGGTGTGTTGGCAGCCGCAGGAAGAGCTGCGGAGTCCTCCTGCGGAGTCCTCCTGCGGAGTCCTCCTGCCCGCCTGTGCCCACAGTCCCGAGGGAAGGAGAGTGGGGACGGGGGGGTGGGGGAGAGGGGGGTCTCGCCCGAAGGGGCCGGAGCAGAAAGACACCACTGGACCACTGGGCTCTTGGCTGGCATTGCTGACCCATTCCTGAACTGCCCCACGGTAGACCACAAGCCAGCAGGTATAAAAAAAGAAACAACCCAAATAAATGAAAGGCAATGAAGAAAGATGAGGGGCCAGAGAGATAGTATAGTGGGTAAGGCACGCGCTGACCCAGGCTGGATTCCTGGTACCCCACCTGGCACCCCACCTGGCACCCCTAAGCTGCCAGGGCTGATTCCTGAGTGCAGAGGCAGGAGTAAAACCCTGGTTGTGGTCCAAAGAACAAACAAGCTAAAAGAGAAAAACAGACAGACAGGGAAAAAAGGAAGGAAAAAATAAGTCAGGAGGTATTGGGTGATATCGTTTTTCTAAAGTAAGATTAACTTTCAAGGATGCTTATTCACAGAGGAGTGTCCTTTTGATAAGGAGTGTGGTGAAACTGATACATGTGGACAGGTGTGTGGCTGCACCTGGAGAATTTCACCATCCTGTAAATAAATTAGCTGTGAGCTTTTTTTTTGGGTGGGGGGGTCACACCCGGCGATGCTCAGGGGTTACTTCTGGCTCCGCACGCAGGAATTACTCCTGGTGGTGCTCAGGGGACCATATGGGATGCTGGGAATCGAACCAGCAAGGCAAGCGCCCTACCTGCTGTGCTATCGCTCCAGCCCCTGTATTTTTTTTTTAAAAGCACATTTACGTAGGGAATCAGTGAAAAATTCTATCTGACTGAGACAGCTTTCTCCAAGTACCTGTTAGTAAATGGAAAACAGGATTTTAGCGGGGTTCCTGGCTGCCCAAGCAAAGACTACATTTCCCACACTCCCTTGCAGCAAAGTGTTGCGGAGGGCGAGGCGCCAGCCAATGGGAGGGGAGGGGCGTGGTTTTAGGGGCGTGTCCTTAAGGTGGGAAACCCTTCCCACTCTCTGCTTCTGGAATGTGTTGACCCTGGATCCCTCCATCCAAACTGCACAGAAGACAGATCAGCAACTGCTTGCGCATTCCTGATTCATTCGACTGATTCTGCGGCTGAGCCTACGTCCTCAGTATTACAAAGTCATCACTGGGTCTCAAGGTCTCTCTACTCCTCTTATCCATGCAACATTTTAATTTTTATTATTATAGTTTTGGTTGGGGGCCATACCCAGTGGTGCTTGGAGAGCTAGTGCTCAAGGACCATTTCTTCCGGTACTCAGGGGACCATCCGGTATAGGGGATCAAACCTGGGGATCCTGTGAGCAAAATATGTGCTCCAGTCCTTTGGAGCACCTCCTCGAGTCTTTAAGCTCTAGCCTGGGTATTAGAATTTACTCCCTCCTTCTCCTCTTTGTTTTTCCTTTATTATTTTTTTTGATTAATGTCCAAGTCTAAGGGATCTGTGTGTCCACGGCTAGGTTTGTGTGTTCCTTGCAAGTTTCAGACCTGTGGCTCTCATGGTTACCCCCTTATAGGTCACTTAGATTACCTGTAGATAATTGTGGCCATCCCTCTGGAAGTCACCTTTTGCACTGGAATTCTATGCTCTCTCAACACTCCCAAAGGTTTTGGGATTTTGTTGTCACATAAAAGATTGTCAGGTGGGGGGTGGGGGTGATGGGAGGGAAACTAGGGACACTGGTGCTGGGAAGTGTACACTGGTAGAGGAATGGGTGTTGGAACACTGTATGACTGAAACCTAATCATGGACAGCTTTGTAAGATCTATCTCAAAGTGTCACTGTCACTGTCACTGTCCTCCCGTTGTTCATCGACTTACTCGAGCCGGCCCAGTAACGTCTCCATTTTGAGACTTGCTGTTACTGTTTTTGGCATATCGAATACGTCACGGGTATCTTGCCAAGCTTTGCTGTGCGGGCAAGATGCTCTCAGTAGCTTGCTGGGCTCTCCGAGAGGGGAGGAGGAATTGAACCCGGCTCGGCTGGGCTGGCTGTGTGCAAGGCAAACGCCCTACCGCTGTGCTTTCGCTCCAGCCCATCTCAAAGTGATTCAATAAAATATAATAATAATACTAAAGAGATTGTCATTGCTATACTTTGTTTGAAAAATTCCTTCGTGTTTCTATTGACTTTGTTGATAGTAAGAAAAGTGTTGTTCAAAAGTCCTGGTCCGGATGGATTCACTAGTGAATTCTTCCAAATCTTTAAAGAGGACTTACTCCCAATCCTCTTTAAGCTTTTCCACGAAATTGAAATATCAAAAACACTTCCAAACAGTTTCTACGAAGCAAATATCACACTGATACCAAAAGCATACAGAGATACCACAAAGAAAGAGAATTACAGACCGATATCCCTGATGAACACAGATGCAAAGATCCTCAACAAACTACTAGCAAATAGAATCCAACTACTCATCAAAAAGATCATACACCATGACCAAGTAGGATTCATCCCAGGGATGCAAGGATGGTTCAACATTCGGAAATCAATCAACATAATCCATCATATCAACAAAAGAAAAGATAAAAAGCATATGATTATATCAATAGATGCAGAGAAAGCATTTGACAAGATCCAGCACCCCTTTATGATGAAAACCCTAGCCAAAATGGGTATAGAGGGGACCTTCCTCAACATAATTAAAGCCATCTACCACAAGCCTACAGCAAGCATCATCCTCAATGGGGAAAAACTGAGAGCCTTCCCCCTAAGGTCAGGGACGAGACAAGGATGCCCACTCTCTCCACTGCTGTTCAATATAGTACTGGAAGTACTTGCAATAGCGATTAGGCAAGAAAAAGATATTAAGGGCATTCAGGTAGGAAAGGAAGAAATCAAGCTCTCACTATTCACAGATGATATGATACTATACTTAGAGAACCCAATAACCTCCACCAAAAAACTTCTAGAAACAATAGACTCGTATAGTAAAGTTGCAGGCTATAAAATCAATACCCAAAAGTCCATGGCATTCCTATATGCAAACAGTGAGAGAGAAGAAAGAAACATGAAAAAAAACAATCCCATTCACAATTGTGCCCCAGAAAATCAAGTACTTAGGAATCAGCTTAACTAAGGAAGTAAAGGAACTGTACAAAGAAAACTACAAAACGCTACTTCAGGAAATAAAATAGGACATGAGGAAATGGAAAGATATCCCCTGCTCAGGGGTCGGGAGACTTAACATTGTCAAAATGGCAATACTACCGAAAGCATTGTATAAATTCAATGCAATCCCTATAAGGATACCCACGACATTCTTCAAAGAAATGGAGCAAACACTCCTGAAATTTATATGGAACAATAAGCCCCCACGAATAGCTAAAGCAATTCTTGGGAAAAAGAAAATGGGAGGAATCAACCTCCCTAACCTCAAACTCTACTACAAAGCAGTAATAATTAAAACAGCATGGTACTGGAACAAAGGCAGAACTGCAGACCAATGGAACAGGGTTGAATACACTGACATCTCCCCTCAATCATATGATCATCTAATCTTTGATAAAGGTGCAAGTAATGTGAAGTGGAGTAAGGAAAGCCTCTTTAACAAATTGTTCTGGCATCACTGGACGGCTACATGCAAAAAAATGGGCTCAGAACTCTGCCTAACACCGTGTACAAAAGTAAGATCAAAATGGATTAAAGACCTCAACATCAGACCAGAAACCATAAGGTACATTGAAGACAAAGTTGGCAAAACCCTCCATGACATTGAAGCTAATGGTATCTTCAAAGATGCCACGCCACTGGCCGAGCAAGTGAAAACAGAGATAGATAAATGGGACTATCTTAAACTAAGAAGCTTCTGCACCTCCAAAGAAACAGTGACCAAATACAAAGACAGTCTACAGAATGGGAAAGGATATTCGCCGAATACACATCTGACAAGGGGTTGATATCCAGGATATACAAAATACTGGTTAAACTCCACAAGAAGAAAACATCCAACCCCATCCAAAAATGGGGCAATGAAATGAACAGAAACTTTCTCAAAGAAGAAATCCGAATGGCAAAAAAGCACATGAGAAAATGCTCTACATAATTAATCATCAGGGAGATGCAGATCAAAACCACAATGAGATACCATCTCACACCTCAGAGACTGGCCCACATTCAAAAGAACAAAAGCAACCGATGCTGGCGCGGATGTGGCGAGAAAGGGACACTCCTTCACTGTTGGTGGGAATGTCCACTGGTTCAGCCCTTCTGGAAAACAGTATGGACGATTCTCAAAAAATTAGAAATTGAGCTCCCATTTGACCCAGCAATATCACTCCTGGGAATATATCCCAGAGAGGCAAAAATGTATAGTCGAAGTGACATCTGCACTTGTTTGTTCATTGCAGCACTCTTTACAATAGCCAGAAACTGGAAGAAACCTGAATGCCCAAGAACAGATGACTGGTTAAAGAAACTTTGGTACATCTACACAATGGAGTACTATGTAGCTCTTAGAAAAGATGAAGTCATGAAATTTACATACAAGTGGTACAACATGGAAAGTATCATGCTAAGCGAAATGAGTCAGAAAGAGAGGGATAGACATAGAAAGATTGCATTCATCTGGGGGATATAAAGTAACAAAATATGAGATTAATACCCAAGAATAGCTGAGATCAGCACCAGGAGGATTACTCCATAGCTTAGTGGCCAGTTGGGCATTCTAGAGGAAAGGGCAGCTCAGATAGAGAAGGGAATACCAAATAAAGGGTGTTTGGAGGACCCTCCCAGGAGGGAGGGGAGATGCATGTCGAAAGTGGACTATGGACTGAACATGTTTGCCACTCAATGCCTCTTTTGCAGACCACAACACCCAAAAGGAGAGAGAGAACACAGGGGATTGCCTTGCCACAGAGGCAGGGGGGGATGGGGGGATGGGGGTGGGGGGGATATTATCCATGGTGGTGGAAAATGGGCACTGGTGGAGGGATGGGTATCTGATCATTGCATAATCAAACCCAAGCACAAAAAATTGTAAATCTACAACTGTACCTCATGGTGTTTCACTAATAAAAAAAAAAGTGTTGTTTGGGCTGGAGCAATAGCACAGTGGGTAAGGTGTTTGCCTCGCATGCAGCCAACCTGGGTTCGATTCCTACCATCCAATATGGTCCCCTGAGCACCACCAGGAGTAATTTCTGAGTGCAGAGCCAGGAGTAACCCCTATGCATCACCGAGTGTGACCCAAAAAGCAAAAAAAAATGTGGTTGTTAATTGTAGATGTCTTAGGTACTTCAGGGGTACTCCACTGAGAGTTTTGTCTGATACTTTAAAATATAAAAAAAAAAATTTTAGTAATTAAGTTTTACATCAGACATTCCTTTGCAGTGGTTTGATGTTTGAAATTCTTTTGTGCCTTTTTTTAATTTAAATTTTATTTTAGTTTTATAAAGGTAAAGGCCCTCCCGTTGATCGTCGATTTGCTCGAGCGGGCCCAGTAACGTCTCCATTGGAGACTTTGTTGTTACTGTGTCTGGCATATCGAATACTCTCGGTAGCTTGCTGGGCTCTCCGAGAGGGGCGGAGGAATTGAACTCGGGTCGGCCATGTTGGCCGCTTGTAAGGCAAACGCCCTACCGCTGTGCTATCGCTTTTATAAAGTTGTTCACAATAATTTGTTACATTCAATATTCCAACACCAATCCCACTACCATTATACTTTCCCACCACCATTATTTCAAATTTTCCCACCACCATACAAGCCTGCCCCCAAAGCAGGCCCTAAATAATTTATTTTGTATTACTTCTTATGACTAATCTGCTAAAAAAATGATCCCCTAAAATTTTGGAGTAAGTGTTGAAATGTAGCAATAATGTCTTTTGAATATTCCCAAGCGCATGTAAAGTAAAGTAAAAGTAAAGGCCCTCCCGTTGATCATGGATTTGCTCGAGCGGGCCCAGTAACGTCTCCATTGGAGACTTTGTTGTTACTGTGTTTGGCATATCGAGTACGTCACGGGGAGCTTGCCAGGCTCTGCCGTGCAAACGCATGAGTCCTTGAAAATATTTTTTTTGTATATATGGTAAGTTTACGTGTAAATATATGTAAGCAGTACAAGTTTAAAGGATGTTAGTGATCCATTTTTTTTTGTTTGTTTTATTCCAGATAGGTTTTCAGTTGTTGACAGTGATGGAGAATTCTAATAAAAATGTAAATACATAAATAAATTTTAAAAAAGCAAACACGGGAGGCAATTTTCCCAATATTTTGGAGATGAGACCAGATCACTAGTCATGATACAATGAAGTGTGTCATGGTGTGTAGAGCAATTTCAAGACCAGGACTGATGGCAAAACCTAGTCACGAAGGGGCAGGGTAGGAGATTTCCCAAGTGACTTTCCGCGCCCCCCCCCCCCCCCCCCCCACCATCTGCTGCTGTTCCTGCTGCTGCTTCCAGTTCCCTTGAGGGCACCCACCTGTACACGTCACTCCGTCGCCTTCATAGTTCAGGCCACACTCGCATGTGTTGTTCTCCTTACAGGTGGCATGAATGGAGCAGGGAGGCGTGCACACAGGGGGCAGATCTGTGAGGAAAGAGGGGAGCGTTTCTTCACAGAGGCAAAGAGGCTTTCTGGCCTGCCTCTGGCTTTTGAAAGTGCCTCGCCCCCACCTGCCCCCACCCCCCGGGAGATAGGGCTGTCTTTTTTTTTTTTTTAATGTAGGAGTACTGCTATTTTTTTGTTTGTTTGCTTTTGCTTTTTGGGTCACACCCAGCGATGCTCAGGAGTTACTCCTGGTGGTGCTCAGGGGGCCATATGGGATGCTGGGAATCGAACCCAGGTCGGCCGCGTGCAAGGCAAACACCCTACCGCTGTGCTATTGCTCTAGCCCCGAGATAGGGCTGTCTGATAGGGGTCCTACCCAGGCTGGAGTGACCGAGGTTCTGGAATTCCTCTGTTAAACCTACCTGACCTCCACCATTTCATTAATCTAGATTAAGATGCAGACATTTGACCTCATGAAAGCTTTTTGCTTTTTTTTTTTTTTTGCCATTGGTTTTGCTGGGGATTGCACCCAGGGTCTATAGCCTATATGCGTGCAAGGCATTTGCTTTTCCCACGGAGCCCCCAACCTTGACACCTCTGCATAGCAGAGATGGATTTGATGAAGGATTCACAATGGTGACATTGGAGGAGGGTTACCAGTGTGCTGGGGAAAGTCTGGGACTCAGAGGTCACCAGAAAGCTTGGGACAAGCCTGGGGTTCTGGAGCATGGGGTTCATGGGGTGAGGGCCCAGCGGACTGCGAGACTGGGGGAAGGGGCGGGGAGGAAAGGGACGGAAGCTAAGGGGGTGGTGGAATCTGGAATTTCTGGGGTCCAAAGCCCGTAGGCCGAGTTTAATCAGCGACTCTGACCCCCAGGAGGATGAAAGGACAGTGAACCCCACCGGCTGCCCCAGCCCGCGTAGACCTGCCTGCGAGGGCCCGAGGGAGCCCATGGAACTTGATTCCCGAGGAGCGTGCACCCACTGGGCTCTTCGCCCCTGTGGCCTGCCCGGCTTCAGTCCTGGTTTTCAAAGGAGCTGCCCGAATGTTCCTTACGGCTCAGGGGGGCCGCACAGCTGGGACCACTCACTCACCTCGCCAGGGCCAGGCTCAGGTGGCCCAACTCAAAAGACTGCATCTGCTAGACGTTCACACACTCTGGGGGTGTGGGTGCGTGTGGACGCCACGTGGGACATGCCTGTCCATCCCATTTCCCTTAATTTTTCTGCATAGGGGGGGTCTTTCTCTGGGCCCAAGCATGTGTGTGCGTATAAGCGTGTGTTTGTATGTGTGTGTGTATGTGCAAAAGTGTGTATGTGTGTAATATGTGTGCACTTATGTGTGGACATGTACATGTGTTTATGTAAGTATATGTGTATGTGAGTGTGTATAAGTGTAAGTGTGTGTGTAGTGAGTGCATGTATGTGCATAAGTGTGTGTAGGTGTGTAAGTGTGGAGTGCGTATGTGTGTATATGTGTAAGTGTGTATAAGTGTGTATGTGTGTATGTGTAAGTGTGTGTAGTGAGTATATAAGTGTGTGTAGGTGTGTCTGTAGGTGTGTAAGTGTGTGTTGTGTGTGAGTGTATGTGTGTGTAGTGAGTGTATGTACGTGCATGCATGTAGGTGTGTATGTAGGTGTGTGTAGTGCGCATGAGTATATGAGTAAGTGTGTGTATGTGTATGTATGCTTGTGTAGTGAGTGCATGCATGTGTAAAAGTGAGTGTAGGTATGTAAAGTGTGTGTCGTTTGTATGTGTGTGAGTGTGTATATGTGTAAGTGTATGTGTATAATGAGTGCATGTATATGCATAAGTGTGTAGGTGTGTGTGGAGTGTGTATGTGTGTATATGAGAGTGTAAGTGTGTATAAGTGTGTATATGTGTGTAATGAGTATATATGTATAAGTGTGTAGGTGTGTCTGTAGGTGTGTAAGTGTGTGTAGTGTGTGAGTGTATGTGTGTGTAGTGAGTGTATGTATGTGCATAAGTGTGTAGGTGTGTCTGTAGGTGTGTGTAGTGTGTATGAGTATATGTGTAAGTGTGTTTATGTGTGTGTATGCATGTGTGTAGTGAGTGCATGCATGTGTAAAAGTGTGTAGGCATGTAAGTGTGTGTAGTTTGTATGTGTGTGAGTGTGTATTTGTATAAGTGTATGTGTATGTATTTGTGTGTAGTGAGTGAGTGTATGTGCATAAGTGTGTGTAGGTGTCTATGTAGGTGTGTACATGTGCATAGTGTGTATGAGTGTATGTGTGTGTATATGTATGTGTGTAGTGTGTATGCATGTGCAAGTGTGTAAGTGTATAAGTATGTGCATGTGCATATGTGTGAGTGTGCATGTGTGTGTGTGCATGTGTGTGAGTGTGCATGTCTGTGGGTGTGTGCTTGTTTCTGGGGTGTGTGGGGCCCTTCTCATCCCATTGCCTGGGTCCTTCCATGTCACTCTGGCCCTCACTGCCCTCATGGCTGGATTCAGTCTCCTCTGGTTTTCCCTCTAGTCGCCAGCCCTGGCCCCTGCGTCACAGAGCCCCTCAGGGCCCTTCCCACTGGCAGAGGCCAGAGCCCCTGGATGCCACCGTGCCTCGGCCTCCCCCTGCACCCGCCCACGGGGGGGGGGGGCATGCTCAGAGCACTCCCGGCCCACGACTCACCTAGCTGAGTGTCGCAGAAGCGGCCGGTCCAGCCTGTCTCGCAGAGGCACTGCCCTGAGCCCGTGATGCCCTCGTCACACTGACCGTGGCTGGAACAGCTACAGGCTGGGATGGGCGGGGGGCATCAGGGGGGGATCAGGCATTGGTGCCCAGGGACCGGCCCCGAGGCTGTGTGTGTGTGTGTGTGAGAGAGAGAGAGAGAGAGAGAGAGAGAGAGAGAGAGAGAGAGAGAGTGTGGTGGGGGGTGGTGTTGGCTGCTGTGGCCACACATTCAGCCATGTCAAAGAACCGCTGAGTCAGGGGTGGAAGGTACCAGGCCCAGAGGTGTGGAGCAGAGAGACATTGTCCCTGTTCCCATAGTGTGTAGTGCTGGGTGGGGTGTGTCTGTGTGACAGGTACAGTCTGAAGGCAGGACAGGGCCTGGACAAGAAAGGAGAGAGAGAGAGAGAGAGAGAGAGAGAGAGAGAGAGAGAGAGAGAGAGAGAGAGAGACAGAGACAGACAGAGACAGACAGAGATAGAGACAGAGAGACAGAGCCTTACCTCTACTGTGCAGCCCAAACTTGAAACTCCGCACCGACTTCCCTGCTAGCTACTGCCCTCTCCAGCCCCTGCCTTAGTGGGGTCTGCCCTCTGCGGTGGCCGTCATGCCCCCTGCACTCTGCTCTCGTGCTCCCACTGTGCTCCCAGGGGCGGCTGGTGCCCGCCTCCATCAAGGGGCTCAGGCCTCTCCTCCTTTGCCCCGCCCCTGCCCCATCCACCCATCACGTTGGGACTCAAGGCCCAAAGCTCTCCTGCGGCCGAGCAGCTCCCGTGGGCTCTGGTCGTGGCCACCTCCAGCGTCCCCTTCCTTCCTCTCCCCTCTCTGTCTACCCTGCTCAGTGCCGTGTGACCTTTATGCTGCCCCCTCCCTGCCTGTCCAGCCCACTCCTGCCTTGGGCTACTGCATGCATGTCCCCTCTCTGTGCCAGGACCACCAACACACACGGGCCGGTACTGTGGTCGCTCCCCAGCCAGCGTTGCGCCCACTGAACCTGACGGAAGGACTCAGCTCCTCAGTCACAGTTTTGCATCTTCCAGGGTCACGTGTGGCATGTGGCTCCCAGAGCATCTCCTGCAATGGCCAAGCCTCCTGGGACACGGAGCTGGCCCCTGCTTCCAGCCCCTCTGGAGCAGCCAGTGCGGACCACACACAGACCTCCAGATCAGAACAATTCCTACTTTGGACCCAATCACGTGGCCTCTCTGTCTTCATCCCCCACCCCATCTCCCTTCTGCTCAGCAGAGGGAAGATTTGCAGGGTCTGCGGCCTGCACCCCATAAACGCTTGCAAGCACATAGGGGATGAGGCTGGCACATGGATGGAATGAAGCCCACACCAGTCCTGTGGGCCTCAGTAGCTCCAGGCATGTGTGTGAGGGGGCTCCTTGGTTGGGAAGTGGGGGTCTGCCGGGAGGGGACAGCATGGGATGGGGGAACAGGCAGAGGGGAGGCAGCTGGCGGACCCTGCTCCCAGGAGGATGGGGGTATACGTACGCTGACAGTCTGGCCCGAATCTCCCGGGCCAGCACAGCTCACACGCCGTTCCGTTGAAGCCCGTGTTGCACTGACACTCTCCCTGGTCGAGGCAGATGCCCCGGTTGTTGCATGGAGTATCCGGGCCTCCAGGGCAGGCTGGAAAGAGAAGAAAGTGCGGGGACTCAGCCACTGTCCCAGACACACTGGCCTGTCCTCAGCTCCGGGCCTGCCTGTGGCCACTGGGCTGGTGTTTTGGGTGTACTGCAAAGTCTGTTAGGACGTGACTTCACCCGTATCTGACAGAGCTCGGTCCCAGGAACTGCTCTATTGGGGGGCTCAAATATGTGGATTGGGATTGATCTGGGGTGGGTGAGGAGCTTGTTTTGAGCTTTGGTATCTGCTGAGAGGAGAGTGATGATGATGATGGTGGTGGTGATCATGGGCCAGTGCTGCTGATGGTGGTGGTGCTGATGATGCTGATGATAATGGTGGTGGTGCTGATGATGGTGCTGATGATGGTGATCATGATGGTGGTGGTGCTATGATGGTGATGATGGTAGTGATGGTGCTGATGATGGTGATGATGATAATGACAGTGGTGATGATGAGATGATGGTGATGGTGGTGATGTTTTGTTTTTGGAGCTACATCTCTTGGTATTCAGGGCTGTGTGCTCAGTGCTCACTTTTGGCAGTGCTTAGGGGGTCATAAGAGGGAGGGGACCAAACTGGGTTTGGCCATGCTCAAGGTAGTGCCTTAATCCCTGTACTATCTCTCCGGACCATATCCTCCCTCCCTTCCCCTCTCTTCTCTCTCCTCTCTTTTCCCTCCCCTCATTCTCTTTCTATCCCTTTCTTTCTCCCTCTCCTTCCTTCCTTCCTTCCTTCCTTCCTTCCTTCCTTCCTTCCTTCCTTCCTTCCTTCCATCCTTCCCTCCTTTCTTCCTCACACTCAGTCTTCCCACACACTACACCCCCTGCCTCTGTGCCTGTTTCCTCTTCTATAAAGCAGGACTAACATGTGGTGACCATCTTCAGGTACAGGTTGAATAGGCTGATCTCTTCAAAGTCCCACTCAATAACTGGACTGACCTTAGGGGCCTGAGTGATAGAGCAGTGGGTAGGGTGTTTGCTTTGCACACAGCTGACCTGAGTTTGATCCCGGGCATCCTATACAATCCTCTAAGCCTGCCTGACCAAGGGTTTCAGGATGGGCCTCAAAGTCGTCTGGCAAGGAGTCAGGCAAAATACGGGGTGTGTGTGTGTGTGTGTGTGTGTGTGTGTGTGTGTGTCTTCTTTAAGGGGGCCAGGGGGCCCAGGAAACCCCTACAGAGGTTAGTATACCCTGCCAAAACAGAAGTCCATTAGGTGCACTTAAATCCAGGTGCTTCCCAGTAAGGTGGACTTCAAAGCTGGAAGATGGTGTTTCTAGCCCTTGGCGGGGGATTGTTCTGCTACAAAGTTAAATAAGCAAAGATGCAGGAGACACTGTTATGACATCGGCACAGTCTGAAGCTCAATTCTGCCCAAACCGAAAGAAAGCAGTAGGAGGGTGAGCTTCTCGGAGCAAACGCCTTTGGACCTTAGTGCAGCCCTTGGGAATCACGCACGCCTCCCGCCGCGCGCAGTGGACCCGAGCGCCCTGTGCAACGGTGCCAAGTGATGGTGCAATCGCCGGGAAGGAAGAGGCGCCCTCACCCTGGCAGTCCGGGCCGAAGTAACCGCTGCAGCACCTGCGGACCGGGATCACCAGGGTGCACTGGTTCTGACAGCCGTCCAGATTCACGGTCCGCCGGTAGCTCGGGCTGTACTGACAGCGGTGCTTCACGCCCTAGAGCGAGAGGAGGGAGAGGGAGCGCGGGCTCGTGCCTGCCCCCTCGTGGACAGTGCGCGGAACTGCCCAAGTGAGACCCAAGTCGCGGCTTTTGGAAACTATCTTAGGTGGGGATGGAGGTGGGGGAGGGGGTGGGACGTGTAAAGAGGCGAATATATGGGGGAGGGGGAAGAACCACAGTCAAAAAAAAAAAGAGGGTTGCCCCACAGTTTGGGAGAAAGGGGCCGGGGGGAGAAACGCATTTTGAAGCCTAGATCAGTGGCAAGGCTCCAAAATTATTATAGAGAGGACCTGAGTTACCTTTTTGATTGGCGGGTATTTTTGTGAAGGGAGGATTGTAGATATGGGGCACACATATGGGCACGTGCTCTGCCACTGAACCACCTGCCAGGCCCCAGAGCTAGCCTGATAGTGGAACAGAGAACTTGGCTTTGGAAGAAAGAGTGAAACTAATTTTTAATGAGTGCGTACTATGTGCCAGGTTGCTTATCTACATTTAAAAACAGACATTCCATGATTGCCACAACACTGGCTTTTCCCTAATAGCCACAACCCAGAATTGTAGTATTAGCTCTGTTTTTTTTTTTTTTTCCCCCTGCAGAAGCAAGAAAGTATAGATGATGTGATCGGCTGAAGACTCTCTGAGGGCACTTGGCCCCTTGTCTGTGGAGGCCAAATTCCACTGGCTCTGCTGTTGCTCTTCCATTGCTCTCTGGGCTCCAGTCCTAGTCTCACACCTTCCTAGCTCTGTGGTCTTAAAATGATCCCTCACCCTTGCTGAGAGGCATTTTTCTGTCAATAGACATAGTAGCTTCCTACGAGTGTTCAAATGAGAAAACGGATACTCTGTATGTGTGTGTGTGTGTGTGTTTGTGTGTGTGTGTAGATACACACAAAGAGAATCCAGCATAGAACCAAGGACATGAACAACAGCCAACAAGGTGCAGCTAGCTTTTTCATCACTTAATCACCTTCAAAGTCCATTCAAGGTCCACAGACCCAGGATTTTTCTAGGAGTTCTAGAAGATGGGTAGAAGTGGGACTGGAGACAGACCTCCTGGCTAAGTATATTCTGCTCTCATTCCGTTTGCTTGGTTGTTAAAAGAACATGACTGAGAGGTAGACCTCCTTCCGCAACCCCCCCCCCCCCACCCACACACACATTCACATCAGTCCGAAGACGCGGGGGTGGGAAGGGGTGTGTGTGTGTGTGTGTGTGTGTGTGTGTGTGTGTGTGTGTGTGTCTGGTGGTGAAGCAGAGCTACGCTTTTCCAACTCCATCCACACCGTGTGCGCGGTTACCTTCGATTTACTCCACCGCGGGCAGCTGGGAGTATTGAAACAGCTCCCACAGTTGCCCTAAATGCAAGCAAAGACAGAAATTCAAAACCAAGAATGTTGGGAGGCAAAAGGCAGAGACAGGGGTGCATTAATGCCTTGATGTGCAAACTGAAGGCTTACTTCGCTCAGATTGACATTCTGCCTCTAATCACAGATTTAAAAAAGCAAGCACCCCGCAGCAGGCAGGAGCGAGAGGACAGTGGGTCCTAGTGGCCCACTGTTGGCCCCGCAGGCGTTGGACTCGGGTTCCATCCCCGGCACCCTTTATGGTCCCCTGAGCCCCACCAGGAGTCATCCCTGAGCTCAGAGCCAGGAGTAAGCCCTGAGCATTGCTGGGTGTGGCCCCCAAACAAAACAAACAAAGACAAATGCCCCGCAATTCTCCCAGGGGAACATTCTGCAGGGCTGCCTGGTGGGCAGGTTGAGGGAGGGGTCTTCTAGAGCACTAGGCAGGAGTCCTAGGGGGTGCAGTGGGGGGCATGGACACAGCTGCCTCCTCCCCGCATCCACCATCATCCTTAGTCCCCTGGTCTCTGAAGCTGGGGTTCTAATGGCAGCTGCCGGTTCTCCAGCAGAGGAGGAGGACGATGAGGCGGGCAGGTGTCTGCCTACCTGCTGGAGGTGAAGGCACAGGGCACAGTCTCCCGGGCAGGAAACACTGGGTTTCCACCTCCCACAATGATGAGTGCGGGAGAGTTTGGGCAGAGCGGGAGGAACAGCTGGTGAAAAGTGCCCAACAGCTGTTTCCGTTACGGCGAGCGGGGCCGTGCGGGGTTTCTCTGCAAGGAAGGGGCTTGGCACGCAGACGGGCAGGTCCCGGGTTCACGGAGAACGAGCCTTGGGGGAATTGCAGCCCACTGGCTCCATTTTTTTTGGGGGGGGGAATCACACCTGGCGGTGCTCAGGGCTGACTCCTGGCTCTGCACTCGGGGATCACTCCTGGTGGGGCTTGGGAGACCCTACGCGGTCCCGCGGACGGAACCCGGGTTGGCGGCATGCCAAGCAGCGCCCTCCCCACTGTGCTCACTCTCCAGCCTCACTGGCCCCTCAGGGCTGTCCCTCCGCCCCCCCCCCCACCCCGCCACAGCTCTTAGCACTGACCGAGACATCGAAGGTGGAGAAGCTGTCGCAGCGGCCCCCCAGTGTGGGGTCCATCAGGAGACAGTCAATGCCATAGACCAAGCCGAGGTCGAACGGGATCTGACGCTGCACAATCCTGCAGTTTTGGTCATTGAGGAAGAGCTCGCCCTGGGGGTGGGGGCGGGGTAGGGACGTGGGGGAGAGAGAGAGAAAAAGAGAGAGAGAGAGAGAGACAGAGAGAGACAGAGAGAGATAGAAACAAGGAGAGACAGACAGGGACAGAGTCAGAGAGAGATAGAGACAGAGAAAGACAGAGATAGAGTCAGAGAGAGACAGAGACAAAGAGAGACAGAGAGACAGAGAGATAGACAGAGAGAGACAGAGATAGAGAGAGATAGAGACAGAGATGACAGAGAGAGAACCATCCTTTTTTAGACATTTCTTCTTCTGGGCTGGACCCTGGCCCAGGACCTGCCCGCGACGGGTGCCCCGCTCCCAGATTAGCACACGCACACAGACGTGAGCAGAGAGCGGCAGACGCCAGCAGGTGGTCTGCGCCGCCCTGCTTGGGCCACGCAGACTCTTCCGGTCCGGTTCTCGTGTCTCTAGAGCGTAGTTACTACTTCGAGGGTTCCCAAATGCAGATGAGGAAACTGAGGCTGGGGAGGCGGAGTAGCTTCCCGAGGTCAGGGGCCACGGATAGGAGAGGCTCCTGCCAGGAGGTCAGCCTCAGAGACCCCGCTCAGCCCCTCTGCACCCCGAGGTAGCAAAGAGGAAACAGCGTCCTTGGAGGAGGCAGGACGGGCAGGGATGGCCACGTGGGGCTCAGACTCAGGGTGTGGTGCGGCCACTGCACACTTGGGCACCAATGTCCTTCCTCCCTCCCTCCCTCCCTCCCTCCCTCCCTTCCTTCCTTCTTTCTTTCTTTTGGTTTTTAGGTCACAGCCGGCCATGCTCAGAGGTTAGTCCTGGCTCTGCACTCAGGAATTACTCCTGGTGGTGATTAGGAAACTTTAAGGGATGCTGGGGATCAAACTCCGGGTCAGTTATGTGCAAGGCAGGCACCCTACCCTCTGGGCTATCTCTTTGGTCCCTCCCCGCTGGACTATCTCTCTGCCCCCCCAGCCCCCTCTGCCCCCCCCCCCCCCCCCCCCGTCATTTTCTTACTGAATGCAGGAGCCTAAGAAAATGCTGGGGGCGACTTTCCCCCCAGGACAAATGAGTACTGGGCTGTCGCTTCAAATTAAGAACAGTCACCTGGATGACCCGAGCAGCCAAGGAGAGGTGGACGTGTCTGTCCCTTCCTGGTCCACTGCCAGACCCCAGGACTCCCAGGGCCTTCCACGGGAATATAAGGGTTTCCCTGGGCTGGAGGTGCCCCACCTCTGGGTCAAAATTGTGCATTTGTTGCATTTTAAAAATTCTTACTATTGCACAATTGCGGGCTTTGGTCCCTAGGGTCTACCCAGCCATTAAGTGGATGAGCAGGTCTTCCCCCTCCCAGAAGCAAAATGCTTTTAGAAAGTTCATGAAAAAAAGAAAAGGAAACTGTTAGCTTCCACTGATGCCCTGGGCAGAGTGTGATGCAGTAAGGCTCCGAACCAGAACTATGAAGCTCTGGACACGGGTTAAATCCTCCAACATCTACTAATGCACAGGGGGACTGGGACAGCCAGGGGCCGAGGCCTGTTGGGATCACTTTGAACCAGGTTAAGGAATGGTTCCCTTCAACAGGGCGCTTCCAACAATCAAACAGAACAACACGTTACAAAGCTCTGGAAGCCCTAAGGTGCCCAGAACAGGAAGTGACGTGTGCTCCTTTGGCTTCTGTGACGGGGGCCCCAAGTGGTTGGGAGGGGTGGCAAGACGGTTGGTTAAGGAGAAGCACGCTGGGGTCACCTCCCAGAACGTGGAGTGGAAGGGATGGATGTGGGGGTTCATGTTCCGATGGGCATTCAACGCAATTCCAGTGACCTATCAAGGGCATTCTGACGGGGCAGGAGACGTACACAGAACGACCTTCTCAGGAGGCTCCCTGCAGGGAATCAGCTCTTCCAGAAGCTTCCTCCCTTTACCCTTCTCCTCCTTCCTGCCTGGAGAGTGGATGCAGTGGCTGGTGCCCTGGCAGCCCTTAGGACCTGGAGGTCACTATGAGGCTGAAAGCATGCCGCGGGGCGGAATGGAGTAAGAGGCTCTCCACCTCAGGTCAGCACCGAGCAGGCCATTTCCATTATTTCTTTTATCAAGACAGACGAATCCTTCGATAATTGTTTCAGGCCCTGCCACCGGAAACTTTTCGTTCTATTCAGGATGGAGATCGTAGGGACTAACCTATCAGCCTCACTCGTCAAATGGGATGACGGGGAAGGCGCTGATGGGGAAGGGGATGGTCACAGGCTTGGGGGTGGTCACAGGCTTCCTCTGCGGGCTAAGGGTGGGACAGGGCCAGCCCTGCTGGGCAGAAGAGCTCTGGATGAGCAGCCTTGGAGGACGGGAAGGGAAGGCCAGGGCCAGCCCTGAGCTTTCCTGCTGGCGGGAAGCATCTCCTGGGGGTAGAGAGTTGCTACAAATAAAAGAAATATACGGGCCTGAGTGGGGCCCAGTAAAGTCTCCATTGTGAGACTTGTTACTTTTGCCGGCTAAAGTAAATGGATGAACAACGCGAGGTGCTACAGTGCTATACACTGCTATTGGCCTGAAGCTATAGCACAACAGATACAGCGTTGGTCTTTTATGCTGTAGACCCAGGTTCCATCCCCGGCCTCCCACAGGGTCCCCTGAGCACCACCAGGTGTAATTTCCTGAGTGCGGAGCCAGGAATGACCCCTGAGCGTGGCTGGGTGTGTCCCCTCAACAGAAAATAAACAAATTAATAAATAAAGAAAAACTAAAAGAAGAAAGAAAACATGGTGGGCAATGAGGTAATACGGGGTGAGGGCATGTCCCTGACCAGGTCTGATTCCTAAAGTCCAGTGTCCAGCACTGAGATGGCCAGAGAGTCCCCCCATACCGTGGGGGTACTCAGAGCAGCACCACACCTGAGCGGTCCCTGGGTTCCCCTGAGCACCTCTTGGGAGGCCCCCCGATCCCCACCCAGCTTGCCCCAATCCAAAGCTGCTTGGTTCGCCCTGATTGGGGAGGGCGGTGGATTCTCCATCCCTGGTCCCTGCTGTCTGGCCTGTGGTCGGGGTGGGGAGGTGTGTGTGTGGGGGCAGTACTCACCAGGTGACCACTCCCTCCGCATTTCACTCTCAGGTCTGACCCCTGCAGCGTCTTCCAGGCGGTTGCCTGGGGCAGATTCGCAGCGAGAATCTGGGGGAGTGATGGGCACATGTCCAGACCCCCAGGCCGGGCTGGGCAGGGGGGTGAGGGGACTTTGCCAGGCCCTGGATTTACTGACCCGGTTTGCAAGGACACAGGACTGGCCTGCAGGCTGGAAACCCTCTGTGAGGAGGGAGCTGGCTCGGGTCTGCTTTCTCCCACCCTTCCATCCCCAGAGACCCTGGGAGGGGCCGTCTTGGGGTGGGGAGCCCCTGGCTGGGGAAAGGGTCCCGGGCTTGGGCTGCGTGTCCTTGTCCAGACTCTACAGCTCATAAGTGGAGGTGGATGATAGGATGGGTTGGGATGGGGTTATGGCGGTGTGGGGGGGGAGGCCCTCACCCCGTGTGATATAAGAAATGAGGGGAGGAGGGACGGAGGGTTGGGACAGGGGTCAGGCACTCGCTGTGATTGGCTCCTTCAAACCCTGGCACGCCAGGCCAGCTGAACCAGGAAGAGTTCTGGGGGGGGGGGGGCACTGCCAGGTGTGGACCCTTAACCTCTGTAAGGGCAAAACTGACGCTAATGACAGGTGGCAGAAAGTGAGAAAAAATCAGGTAGGCCTCAGTTTCAGTTCCTGGAACTGAAAAAGATTCAGTTTCCCAGCAATGCCTAAAGAGCCAACCTGAACCCACCTGGGAAGTTCCTGGGCCCAAATAAAGGGGCTCAATCAATCACAATGCCTCAAGTTAAAATGCCCCAGAAACGATCTTTGGTTAACGGTAAGGAATGAGTAGCTTATGTAACCATAAACTGTTACTAGAAATTATTGTTTAACTATGGCCTGACCACTGTTGCCCTAGACACTTGCTAAAATGCCTTTGTTTCGTAACTAAGCTTTTTTTTTTTTATGAAACAATAAGGCATGTCTTGCTTATGTAATCAAACTATATAAACTGCTTGCACTTGGAGTCCGGGGTCGCTATCAAGAGACCACTCTGTGGGTGAGAGAGTTGACCCCAGCTAACTGAAATAAAACTCCTACTGCTACTGCTTATAGTGTGAATGTCTCTGTCCGGCTCACTATTTGGGAACTTCTAGTTCCTGGGGTTAACACCTTCACCCAGCAAATAGAAAACAAAGCAAGTAGGAAGAGCTGCCGAGTGGACCTCAGGTAGAGGACAGCTGGACAGTGTGTGGGACCCAATTCAACCAACAGTTTCTGCCGGAGATGCTGAGGGAACTTGGCCCTGGGCTAATGCTGCCTTTTCCTACAAAGCTGCAGTCCTACCCTGGCGATCCCCGCCCCTGAGAACTGTATCAGGCTGAGCAGTTGCAGGAAGACCCCCTTCACCCAGAAACTCTCAGTCCCCAAGGAAAGCGGCCATGGGACCAGGGGAGACCCGGCGAGGCCCGATTTCTCCATGGTGCTGGGGAGAGAGGAGGAAGCTGGGACAGATGGAGGTTCCAGTCAGAGAAATGGAGGCACACTGGAGGGACGGAGCGGGGGCAGAGGTGGACACCGCCCGCTCCTGATACAGAGCCTCCTGCCCCCCACCTGACCCCCGAGTCGGCTGGGAGCTGGCACCTTGGCATCGCGGATCACGTGGAATTTCAGATACTCCTTCAGCTTGTCTTTGTTGATGGGGTTGAACAGGAAATCCCGCTTCTCGGTGGGCAGGGTGTCCAGGGTGCGGTCACTGGGCCACAGGAGGGTGACCGGGGTGTGGATGGGGTCAGTGATGAGCCCCAACAGGCCGGCGTCCTGCAAGGAGGCAGCCGTCAGGGTGGATCTCTGTGCCTACACTGGGCCCGTGTTTATTTTTGTAGCGGGGGCCATGTGTAGCAGTGTTCAGGGACTACTCCTGGAATCCAGTCAGCTGGGCAGTGCTGGCAAGGTGTGTGTGTGTGTGGCGGGGGGTGGACACGACCATGCAGTGCTGAGCCTTGAACCCAGGGCTCCTGCATGAATTCACCCCACGGCCTGTCTACACTGGGTTGTGATGGAACCAAGATGGACTGTCTACACCGCGTTGTGATGGGACCAAGGTTGTGGGCCACACGACTGGAAACTAGGGGCCTGTCACAGTGTGGTTGTCACAAGTGTGCTTGTTTGTGTAACGAGTTGAAAGTCAAAAAGCTCCCGGAAGAGAGCGATGTATAATGTCCTGACCCCACACCAGGCTGTCTTCACCAGGGCAACTTGGAGGGGGTGGGTTGAATTTCCCTCCCCACTCCAGCAGAACCCGGCAGCTGAAAACCTCCAGAACCCAACTGCAGCCGTGCTCAAGGCTGCTCTCCACAGGCTCGAACGAGCCTCACCTATGAGGGAACCTGCAGAAAAACCCAGGTATGCGGGACTCGTGACTGAGATCTCTAAGCTCACTTGGAACGGGAATGGGCCTCCTTCCCCCTGCTCCCCAGTTTTCCGGTAGCTTGGCAGTCACACCCGCAAACTGCCTATGATCAATGGCCAAGATCCAGAAACTATGAAATAAGACCCCCAGAAGAGAGCGACAAAGAACATCCTGGAGTGCGCGGTCACGAATCAAATCATCCTCTGACCCACTGAAGTACCAAGAGTAGCTCACACTTGTTTGGGTTTAATGCACATGCTTGTGATCTCTTATACAAGGTACAAGGGCACAAATGGCTCCAGGATGCAATTCAACAATCTTCACACCCTTTCCTCTTATGGTGGTGCGAAGGTGCAATGTGGTGGGGTTGGTGTTTGAATACTATCTGTAGTGAACTATTGTGAATAACTTTATGAAAATAAAAGTTTAACAACAGCAACGACAACAAGAAGAATGGAAAGTCAAATCCTGGGCTCTTATTCAGAGGAAAATAAGAGCTGCTACTCCTGTCCCCCTGGTTTTAAATTTCTGGAGCATGTCCCCAGCATTTCCTGGTATTTCTTGAGGAGACTGAGATGGGTCCACTCTCTCATACGTTATTTATAAGCTTCCTGGATCACAGAGAAGTGAAGCTGACACTGCAGGATGAGTGCTGGCTGCATTGTGAGCTCTGTCCTACGGTTTCCTCCCTGGAAACCCCCTGAGGTCTCCAAGCCCCCCCCAGAGGCTGGTTTCCTGCAGTGCCTGTGCTCAGCAGTCCTGGCACCCAGGACTGGGGTTGCTCCAACGTTTGGAAACTACGATTCTCTGTCGTGTTGCTGGAGGGTCCCTTGAATGCCTGGAATACCCTGAAACTCCCATTTCTAAAGCATCTGGCGGGGATCCTGAGCCTCAGACTGTTCTAGTAACATCTGGTCTGCAGAGTCTTCTAGGCTGTGGAATGAGGGGCGAGTTGGGGGCAGGGTCTTTAGAACCCTCCAGGGACCCCCTGGAGCAGGTGGCGGATGAGGACCCCCAGGGGATCCTTCTCCCCCGACTCCCACTGTCCTCTGAAGTCTTGGTTTGAACCAGAAGCTTCTCTACTCCGATACTTTTCCAGTTTCTCCCAGTGTTGCCTCCCGACTACCCCCCCCTCGCTTTATGATGGTGGTATTTCATTTTGGGGGATGTTCATCCTAACTCCTCCCCTTTGCTCCAGCTTCAAATGCATCTGTTGGGACTCCACATGTGACCCAGTGACAGTGTGAAAAAAAGACAGTGGGGACTGTTTAGAGAAACAGAACTTGCCAGCACACAAAGGCCCAAGAGTATCCCCAAACCAAACCAGACAAAACCCCAACCCCCAAAATCCTCCAAGCAAACCTCTCTAGGTAGTGGATCCTCCTGGGGCAACTTTTCTTTGAGGATGCAAAAAATTTTTTTTTTTAAATTTTTTTGGGTTTGGTGTTTTGGGTCATACTTGGTGGCACTCAGAGGACCATGAAGTGTTGGGGGAATTAAGTCCGGCACCCCCAGCAAGCAAAGCACGTGCTCCGCCCTTTGAACTAACTCGCTGGCCCTTGCAGCTGATTTTACCTGAATTAACTTGCTGAATTTGGAGTAGCCGTAGTTGGTCGCCACTGTTGTAAGGTTCTGCTGCAAAGACAATAAGAATGGGAGTGAAGCCTTTCTTCCGCCAGTTCACCAACGCGTTTTAATTCTATTTTGGGGGGATTTTGGGTCATGCCTGGTGGTTCTTAGGGCTGACTCCTGGCTCTGTGCTCAGGGATCACCTCTAGCAGGGCTCAGGGGACTGTATGCAGTGCTGGGGACTGAGCCCAGGTCAGCTGCATGCAGGGCAAGTGCTTTATCCACGACACTCTCTCCAGACCTTACCAAGCACTTAATAAAAACGTCAGTGGAGTAAAAAACGAGGCCAGAAAATGCGACAGACGCTGTAGATTCCTTAGCTCTCCCTCTCCCTCTCCTTTATTCCCAGATCTCTCCATTACAGAGGCCGGAAGGCTGGGCATGCCTTCTCCCAGCATGCCTTGCAGCAGAGCCCCATGGAATACAGGATCCATGGAGCGGAAGTGGGGACAGGAGGGGGCAGTAGTGGCCACTGGCGGAAGTGGCTTCTAGCAAGCACGTGGAGGTGGTACTTGGGGTCCAGACTCTTGTCTGATGTCCTTGGTGTGTATGTGTGTGTGTGTGTGTGTGGAGCCAGGTGGCAGGAGCCGAGCTGCGATAGGGAAGCCCTGAAATGAGGTCACAGGGGAGGGTTTCCCCACTTTCTGCCCAGCTGTGTGGTATCTGAGTTAGGCTTTACAAGAGTGCTGATGTACTTCATATCCTCAGGGACCCCTTTGAGTTTATTATGTTTAGTGGTTTCTGCCATTTGCCACGGAAGAACCCCTGGTCAGCACTAACAATGATAAAAGTTACAAAGGTCTGATTGAGATGAAATTTCAGTTTTAGTGACATCTGTCATCCCATCCATCCACCCATCCATCCATCCATCCATCCATCCATCCATCCTTCCACCTGATCTGTTTAAATGTCATCTCCATTTTCCAAATCCATACAAGACACATACCCTTGTGGACACCAAAGTATAAAACTCATCTATTTGCAAGTAGACTTCTGTCTACTTCTTAAGAAGACTAACCAGGCTTTTAGTTGCTGCTCAAAATTAAAGCAGCACAAAGAAAAAAATGTCTCAATATGGGGTCTCCTAACCATACTTGCACACATTGATTCTGAGCACCCTGGTCCCTAGTGAGCTCACTCACCAGGATCTTTCCCGACTCATGTTTCAGGGTGATCAGCAAGTTTTGGGGAGTCAGCAGCTTGTCGATGATGTGTATGATTCCATTGGTGCTGATGATGTCACTGGACACAATCTTCGCGTTGTTGTTGATAAACACCATGCCCTGAAAAGCCCCGAAGAGAGACTGGGGGAGGGGCGTGAAACTGCTGCCCTCCAGACGGATGCTTCATGAATTTGGACTGAAGCAGAGCTGTGGGCTAGCCCTGAAGCTCCAAGTTACTGGAGCACAGTTCCCACCCACCCCAATGATGACAGTGAAAGGGAACCAGAGATAAGAGTGTAATTTTCATTCAGAGACATTACTAACCCAGAATCAATAGCCATTTGCACAGAACTAAAATAACAAGCAGATCAAAATTGGTTTCCCTTACACATGATAACCTCTCAGTACTTACATTGCAAACCATAATGCCCAGAAAGGTGGGGGGAGGGAGAGAGGGAGAGTGGGAGAGAGGAGAGGGAGAGAGAGAGAGAGAGAGCGCAGAGAGAGAGAGAGCGCGTGCAGAGAGAGAGAGGGAGGGGGAGAGAGAGAGAAGGAGGGAAGAAGGGATGGAGGGAGGGAGGGAAGAAGGGAGGGAGGGAGAGGGAGAGAGAGAGAGAGAGAGTGCCTTCCATAAAGGCAGGCTGAGCAGGGGGTGGGAAGTGGAGTGTAGGAAGGGAGGGTGGCAGGAGGGAACCTGGGGACATGGGTGGTGGGAAATGTACACTGGTGAAGGGACAGGTGTTAGACATTGTATGATTGAAACCCAATCATGAACAACCTTGTAACTGTGTATCTCACATTGATTCAATTAAAAAAAAAAAAACTAAGTGTCTCTCCGGCACAGCCATAACACCAGACGCACAGAAACCAATCTGGCAATTATCTGGCTTTTTGCAGAACTCCGAAATCACACAGCCGCAATAGCGGCCGCACGACATTATAGGATTCTCATAACCAGCTATAGAAAACAAAGTATTTCACAATGCCTTTTCAGCAATTATGATTGTTGGGGGGGGGGACAATAATGTTGCATCTTTTGTCAAAATAATCAATGTAGAGAATAGTTAAGTGGAAATAATTTGCCTCACAGGCATTGGGAGGGGTGGGAGGGGGGTATATTGGGGTTCTTGGTGGTGAAAAATGAGTACTGGTGAAGGGAGAGGTGTTTGATCATTGTATGACCGAGACTTAAAACTGAAAGCTTTGTAACTTTTCCCTTCTTAAATATAAGAAGAAAAAAACATAAATAAAATCATGAAAAAAAACTAAGTGTCAATATTAATGCAAGTTTGTTCTAGATAAATGATCCTAGTAATTGAAAAAAACGGCTTCCCTTTCACAATCATTGTCTGAACCTTCATTTTCTCCCTCTACTACTGGACTGTACACTTTACCCCATTTTGCTATAAATTCTAAAGTCGCCATTTGTTTCTCTGTTGTGGGGAGGAAGTGGGGGCAGGATTAAGTGCCTTAGATCAGAAGCCCTCCTTCTCCTTCTCCAGTTTCTTTTGTTTGTTTGGTTGGCCGGTTTTGGTTCCACACCCAGTGGTACTCAGGGCTTACTCCTGGTTGCGCTCAGGGATCCCTCCTGGTGGGGCTCTGGGGAGCCATATGGGATGACGGGGATAGAACCCAGGTCAGCTACATGCTAGGCGAGTGCCTACTCACTGTACTATCGCCCGGGCCCCTCCAGTTTCTGATCAGTGCTGCCAAAGGCAATTCTGACAGCCTCAGCGTCCTTGCTTCTGAGTTGGAAGTCCCTGTCTTGGATGTGTGGCCTGAGAAAAATGACTTCACCTCTCTGAGCTCAGTTTCCCGATGTGCAAATTGGGAAAACAAGAGTACTCATGCTCCTGGGTAATTTCGAGGATATAAGAGTGAGCACATGTAACTCCTCGGGCTGGCACTGGCGTACAGCACTCACTCACTGTGAGTACTCACAGTGGCTGGTTTTTGTGCGTTTTGCTGGTCAGGTGCTGGGGAGAGGAGGGCAGAGCCGGAGAGAAGAGGCTTCTTTCTGAGGTGGCCGCTCTTACCTGAGACTCGTGAAAGAACAAGGAGTCCCCGTGGAGGGAGGTGGCATTCCGGACCAGCTTTAGGGTTTCCAGGTTCAGCTGGTGGCAGCCAATCATGTGATACCGGAGAATCTGAGCCATCAGGCCCAGCCTGCTCCAGTCCTTAATCTGGAATAGAAGAGCAGAGGGTTCCAGCCAGCACCCTGCCCTCGCTTCAGTGCTCCCTCTGTGGTGCTCTCCCTGTCCTCACTGCAGTGCTCCCTCTGTGGTGCTCTCCCTGTCCTCACTGCAGTGCTCCCTCTGTGGTGCTCTCCCTGTCCTCACTGCAGTGCTCCCTCTGTGGTGCTCTCCCTGTCCTCACTGCAGTGCTCCCTCTGTGGTGCTCTCCCAGCCCTCATTGCAGTGCTCCCTCTGTGGTGCTCTCCCTGGCCTTTATTGCAGTGCTCCTTCTACGGTTCTCTCCCCAGCCCTTGCATCAGTGCTCCCTCTGTGGTGCTCTCCCTGGCCCTCGTTGCAGTGCTCCTCTATGGTGCTCTCCATTGCCCTTGTTGTAGTGCTCCCTCTGAGGCCCTCTCCCCGGTCCTCGCTCTAGTGCTCCCTCTGCAGTGCTCTCTTGCCCCTGGCCTCTCACAGAGCCCAGAAGCGGGCCGGCAGGCAGGCTTGTGGTCTGGATCCCCGGGTCGAGGTGTTCCAGACAAATGGGGGTGGGGTTGGGAAAGTCCATGCTTCCACCTGCTTCCACAGGCAAGAGTCCATGGAGAAGGTGGCCGGGGTCCTCCTGGGCCAGCACAAGTGCAGCACCCCAAATTCTGGGAGCTGCTACGTAAGAAATGAGTTCTCTTGTAAGGAGTACTGGGGATATTGTCTGGTCTGCCCCCTCTTGAGAGAGGCCGAGGCGAGACCCTGGGATATGGAAAGACAGCCAGGATTTAAGTCGGTAAATCAAAATGCTGCATCAACATCATCACCATCATCTTCGTCACCATCATAATCACCATTACCATCACCATCACCATCATCATCATCACCATCACCATCATCACCATCACCATCATCACCATCACCATCATCATTATCATCACCATCATCATCACTATCACCATCATCATCATCATCACCATCATCATCATCATCATTATCATCACCATCATCACTATCACCATTACCATCATCATCATCACCATCACCATCACCACCACCATCATCATCATCACCACCATCATCATCACCATCATCTTCATCAGCATCAGCATCACCATTATCATCACCATCACCGTCATTATCATCACCATCATCATCACGATCATCACCATCATCATCGTCACTATCATCATGACCATCATTATGTTTTGGATTTTAGGAGACATTTGCCTGTGCTCAGGGCTTCCTCCTGGCTCCATGTCCAGGGGTCACTCCTGGAAAGGTTCTGGGGACCACGGGCATTGCTGGAGATTGAACATACAAGACAAGCTCCTGAACTCCTGATCTGTCTCTCCAGCCCTCAAAACATTATTAACTGCTGGTAAGTAGATTTAAAAGACTGCAAGTTTCTAGTGTTTCACATAGCTCCTCAGAAGCTTTAAAAAAGGAGAAAAGCCAGCAATCAAATAACAAACTCTTTTTTTTTTGATATTTAACCACACCCGGTGGTGCTCAAGGCTTACTCCTGGGTCTGTGCTCAGGGGACCATACGAGGTAATGAGGATCAAACCTGTGTCAGCTGCGCGCTACCTGCTGTACTATTGCTCTGGACCCACAAATATCAATTCTTTCTTTCTTTCTTTCTTTCTTTCTTTCTTTCTTTCTTTCTTTCTCCTTCCTCCCTCCCTCCCTCCCTCCCTCCCTCCCTCCCTTCCTTCCTTCCTTCCTTCCTTCCCATGCTCAGGGGTTACTTCTGGCTATGCACTCAGGAATCACTCCTAGTGGTGCTCGGGGGACCATATGGGATGTAGGGAATCTAATCCAGGTCAGTCATGTGCAAGGCAAATGCCTTACCCGCTGTGCTATCGCTCTGCTTCTACCTCTCAAATTCTCTTAAATATTAGTTCTTGTTCCTGCTTTGCTGGTTTTGCTGATGTTCCAAATATCTGCCTAGACACACAATGTGTGCTGTGTCAGAGACCACAGGCTCCAGAGTCCACGTCTAACTGCACCCCAGTGGTTGGTCATGTGACTACACAAGTTACTGCTCTCAAAGCCCTGGACTGCAGAAACAGGATGCAAATAGCACTTGGGTCACAGGATTGTCATGGAGACAGAGTGGGTTCATCTCGGCCTGGATCTAGAAAGTGTACCTGGCACTGGATCTGGCACACTTACAAAAAATATTTGCCTTACTCTTACTAATGGGTAACCCAACACAAAAAGTCTCAGTTAATGTTATACAACAAAGTCTCTGATAAGTCCTGCAAAAATCAAATTGCCTATTTAGATGCCTTTGGCCCTCCCTCCTTCCCTCCCTCCCTCCCTCCCTCCCTCCTTCCCTCCCTCCCTCTTTCCTTCCCTCTCCTTTCTTTCCATTTATGGAAATTTTGGGTAACTGAAGAATTGTTGAACTTGTCTACCCCCTTGCCCTACTTTGTAATGTCCTTTAGAGGCTGCGTGACCAGTAGACACCCCAAATCCACTTGACTGTGCCCCCTAGCAGGGCCCCTATGCTGAGATCAGCCAGTTCCCTTGGAGCTCAGTGCTCGGAAGTCTCCTGCCCAGAAACATCTCCATTGCTGGCCCCCAGGGCAGTGCCTCCAGCCTGTCCCAGAACCAAACCTCGTCCACCTGCCCGCAGCTTCCGGCTTACCCTGGGCTCCTCGTCGAAGGCAGTCGACAAAGGCACAAAGACGGTGAAGGGGCCGGCTCCCACCAGATCTCTCACAGAGTGCTCCTGCAGGGGTGGTGATGGGGGGGGGAGGGAAGGGAGGGTTGTCAGTGGCTCAGGTCAGTGTAGACATGGCTCACAGAGATTGTGTTTCCAAGAGTCTCAGGCCTGACTGCATCAGATTGATTCGTTGGCACTGAATGTTTGCTCCTCTCTCTTTTTTCTTTTTGGGTCACACCTGGCGATGTACAGGGGTTACTCCTGGCTGTGCACTCAGGAATTAATCCTGGTGTATGGAGTAAACCATATGGGATGCTGGGAATCGAACCCAGGCCGGCCGCGTGCCAGGCAAATATCCTACCCACTGTACTATTGCTCACTGTACTATTGCTCTTTTTGTCTGTTTATGTGGGCTACACCCCGCGGTGCTTAGGGCTGACTCCTGGCTCTGTGGTCCTGCTGAGACTCAGGGGACTGTGTGCAGTGCCTGTGATCCAACTGTGTTGGCTGCAGGAAAGGCAAGTGCTCTCCTGCTGGACTATCTCTGACCCCAAGAGGGATTTCAAGGAAAGTCTTGCCATAAAATAAATTAGCTCTACTCTCTACTCCTTTAAAAGTTTCCCAGTTCTTGGTTGGGGGAACTAGCCAAGACCCTTGTCCTGTGCCATCCCCCTTGTGCCCACGCTAATAATACATGCAGCCTGAATATGTAAAAAAAAATTGGTTTATTCTAGTAAGTATCTCAAAGTACAGCATCTACCCATGATCTACACCTAGAAGCAACCCTCATGTTTCAAGGTTTCTTCCCTGGCATTGCGCTTACATCACACATTGATATAGCCGGGATAATAATGCTAATACAAATATTAGTAGTGTATCTCACTTTCATTTCTTTGGTTTTGGGGCCACCCCTAGCAATGCTCAGGCCTTACTCCTGGCTCTGCACTCAGGAATTACTTTTGGCAATGCTCAGGGAACCGTAAGGATGCCAAGGTTTGAACTTGGGGTTGGCCCTGTGTAAGGCAAATGCCCTACCCATTGTACTATCTCTCTGGCCCCAGTTAACCTCACTTGCCAACTGTTTTTTTTTGGGGGGTTGTCATACACAGCGATGCACAGGGGTTACTCCTGGTTCTGCACTTAGGAATTACCCCTGGTGGTGCTCAGGGGACCATATGGAATGCCGGGAATCGAACCCGGGTCAGCCACGTGCAAGGAAAACGCCCTACTTTCTGTGCTATCTCTCCAGCCCCTGTTTATTTATTTATTTTTTTAATCTTTTATAAAGGTTCTCCTGTCAAGGTAAAGATCATAGGAGTTATTTATACTTTTTTCTACATTTTACAATTCTGCTCTTTGGGATGGTTTTTTTTCCTTTATACATCAAAATATCTGAAATATATTCATTTGTATAAGAATTTATCTTAGTATTTTTTTCCTTGTTTTGATTTTGGGGGGCCTGGAGAGATAGCACAGCGGTAGGGCATTTGCCTTGTGCGCAGCCAGCCTGGCCAAGTTGGGTTCGATTCCTCCACCCCTCTCGGAGAGCCTGGCAAGCTAACGAGAGTATCTCGCCCGCACGGCAAAGCCTGGCAAGCTACCTGTGAAGTATCCAATATGCCAAACACCGTGAGGACCGTGACTGTGACTGGGCCCACTTGAGCAAAATCAATGAACAACGGGAGGACAGGGACAGTGACAGTGACAGTGATTTTGGGGGCTACACCCAGTGATGTTTAGGGCTTACTCCTTGCTCTGAGCTCAGGGCTCAGGGGACCATACGGGGTATGGGAGAGCACACCCAGTCTGCTTCGTGCAACACAAGCACCCTAGCTGCTCTACTATTGCTCTGGCCTTTATCTTAATATTTTCTTCCACAGATTTAGCCTTTTGCTCTAGTAATACTTCTTTCTACTTATCAATGGCCAGCCCATAGCACAGCAGGTAATGCATTTGCCTTGCACACGGCTGACCCAGGTTTGATTCCTCCACCCCTCTTGGAGAGCCCGGCAAGCTACCGAGAGTATCCTGCCCTGCACAGCAGAGCCTGGCAAGCTCCCCATGGCATATTCGATATGCCAAACACAGTAACAATAAATCTCAAAATGGAGACGCTACTGGTGTCCGCTTGAGCAAATAGATGAACAATGGGAGGACAGTGCTACAGTGCTACTTATCAATGGCAGCTAGATTTTATGATTGTTAAAACCATTGTTCATTATTTTGGAGGCCTCCAAGCAGAGCTCAGGGGACCCAGTGCCCAGTGATCCTGCCCTGGCCGGAGCCATGAGGGCCATAGCTGGCCGAGTCAGGGTTGAACCTGGGGCCTCCTACTTCCGGCCATGCCCTCCAATCCTCTGACCTATCATATCTGTTTGTTTGTTGGGCCACACCTGGCGGGGCTCAGGGCTTACTCTTGGCTCTATACTCAGGGACTGGTGGGTTCAGGGGACCATATGGGGTGCTGGGGATGGAACCGGGCGGGCCATACATGGCAAACACCCTGACCGCTGCACTATCCCCGCCCCCTCCCCTTCTGAGCTATCTTCCCGGCCCTCTAAGGGCAGGTTTTTTAATTTTTTATTTTATTTTATTTTTATTAGTGAGACACCATGAGGTACAGTTGTAGACTTACAATTTTTTGTGCTTGGGTTTCAATTATACAATGATCAAATACCCATCCCTCCACCAGTGCCCATTCTCCACCACCACTGATCCCAGTATCCCTCCCACCCGCCCATCCCCCCATTCCACCTTGCCTCTGTGGCAGGGCATTCCCTTTTGTTCTCTCTCCTTTTTTGGGTGCTGTGGTTTGCAAAAAAGGCATTGAGCGGCAATCATGTTCAGTCTATAGTCTACTTTCAGCATGCTTCTCCCACCCTGGGAGGATCCTCCCAACATCCTTTATTTGGTGCTCCCTTCTCTATCTGAGCTCTAAGGGCAGGTTTTTAATATACCATGTACTTGCTTGCACCACGGCCAGTGGACACTTAGCCCACACTCTCATGCTGTACTTACGAGGCTGGAGCAGCCCACCGAGGAGACCCCCACAGAGACTATTCCTGGGCTCCTCGGCTTCCCGAGGCTGCGGGGATTATCCTGCACCTCTGCCAGGCCACCCCCACCCCAACCTTCCCAGAAGAACACACACTTACCATCAACTGGAAGAAGTACTGGGAGGTTTTCGGATCCCTGGGGAGCTCCTGGAAGCAGAGATATGGGAAGATCACTTGGTGTTGTTTGGGGCGTCCCACCAGCATGGCGTGGGGTGCGGACGGCTGCTGGAGGCGGGGGTGCCCGGGCACTGCCCTGCTGGCACTGGAAGCTGCTCCCTGAGCCTTGCCCACTCCATCGGCAGGCCCACAACTGGGGTTCAGAGTGGCCAGAAGCCCCTCCTGTGCATTCCAAAAGCCTTCCCATGGTCACTATCCAGCTGACCAAAGAGAGGTGACCAGTCATTTCCGGAAGCTTTGGTGCCTGTGAAGTATTTTTATTTTCTAGTTTTCATTTTAGTATCTGGTCACTGCCACCAGTGTTCAGGATTGATTACTCCTGACTGCGTGCCCAGGAATCATTCCAGGTGGGGCTGGGGGTGTTGGGGATGGAACCCAGGTCAGGCACATGCAAGGCAAGCGCCTTACCCGCTGTCCACCGGCTCCAGCGGCTCCAGCTCTGTCCTTCACACCTTCATGTTGCTTCTCATATTCTGAAACGTGCCCCTCCCCTCGCTCGCTGCCTGCGTCCTGTGACTGCTCCCTGGACACGCGCCCCTCCTTACCTGGTAGATGTTACCCCGGCAGGTGAACCCATCCCCCACGTAGTTGGGCTTGCAAGTGCAGACCCGCTCCTCCAGCCCCGTGTGGTTGCAGGTCGCGAACTGACTGCAGCCGCCGTTATTCTACAACAGTCCCAGGGGGTGAGGGAGAGCAGGAGTCAGACGGATTTGCTGGCCAAGCGTCCGCAAGCAAGTCCACTTGGGAAGTGGATTTTTCACCTCCCGCTCCAACAGATGGTACCTGGCATTTTTTTTGTCCTTTTCCAGAATTTGCCTTCTACCCCCTAATAGTTACTGGGGACATTGCATTCCCCCATCCTTATCTCTCATGACAGTGCTTATTGGCTTGAAGCTCAGTGCCATATGGATGCACTCAGAGTTGGCATGTAGGCAGTGCCTTGGTCCCTGAGGGTTAGCTAGAAAGGCAGATCTTGTGGGAGACCGTCCCACCAACAAAAACCCAACCCCAGGGTGAGAGAATCCCCTATGACAAATGGCACAGTCTTAAAATAGAAACGGACTGTGAAGGGCTCCCGGGCAAGAATAGGATAAAGCAGCTTAGGGGGTCCTAGGTGGAGAACACAGGCAGAACTAGAACTGGAAACAGTTATAACTCTGCTGGTTGGCTCTGTGAAATGTCCCGGGCTCTGCTCTTCATGTGCCCATTGAGTTTTGATGTGCTGACTGATTGTTTTGTGTTTTTTGGGGGGGTTGGGGGGTCACACCTGGCAATGCTCAGGGGTTACTCCTGTTGACTGGTTATTCTTAATGTCTCTGTTGAATGATTTATTTATTTTTGCTTTTTGGGTCACACCTGGTGATGCTCAGGGGTTATTCCTGGCTCTGCACTCAGAAATCACTCCTGGCGGTGCTCAGGGGGCCATATGGGATGCTGGGAACTGAACCTGGGTCGGCCACGTGCAAAGTTAAGGCCCTAATGGCTGTGCTCCAGCCCCACATTGTTCCTCTTGCAAGCACCTAAACTCACTTTTTCTTGAAAGGAGGTCACTAACTCTACAGCGTGTGTGTGTGTGTGTGTGTGTGTGTGTGTGTATGTGTGTGTGTATTAAAAAGGGGTGCACTATAAGGATACCCATGACATTCTTCAAAGAAATGGAGCAAACACTCCTGAAATTTATATGGAACAATAAGCCCCCACGAATAGCTAAAGCAATTCTTGGGAAAAAGAAAATGGGAGGAATCAATCTCCCTAACTTCAAACTTTACTACAAAGCAGTAATAATCAAAACAGCATGGTACTGGAACAAAGGCAGAACTGCAGACCAATGGAACAGGGTTGATTACACCGACATCTCCCCTCAATCATATGATCATCTAATCTTTGATAAAGGTGCAAGAAATGTGAAGTGGAGTAAGGAAAGCCTCTTTAACAAATTGTGCTGGCATCACTTGATGGCTACATGCAAAAAAATGGGCTCAGAACTCTGCCTAACACCATGTACAAAAGTAAGATCAAAATGGATTAAAGACCTCAACATCAGACCAGAAACCATAAGGTACATTGAAGACAGAGTTGGCAAAACCCTCCATGACATTGAGGCTAATGATATTTTCAAAGACGCCATGCCACTGGCCGAACAAGTGAAAACAGAGATAGATAAATGGGACTATCTTAAACTAAGAAGCTTCTGCACCTCCAAAGAAACAGTGACCAAAATACAAAGACAGTCTACAGAATGGGAAAGAATATTCGCTGAATACACATCTGACAAGGGGTTGATATCAAGGATATACAAAGTACTGGTTGAACTCCACAAGAAGAAAACGTCCAACCCCATCCAAAAATGGGGCAATGAAATGAACAGAAACTTTCTCAAAGAAGAAATCCGAATGGCAATAAAGCACATGAGAAAATGTTCCACATCATTAATCACCAGGGAGATGCAGATCAAAACCACATTGAGATACCATCTCACACCGCAGAGACTGGCCCACATTCAAAAGAACAAAAGCAACCAATGCTGGTGCGGATGTGGCGAGAAAGGGACACTCCTTCACTGCTGGTGGGAATGCCGACTGGTTCAGCCCTTTTGGAAAACAGTATGGACGTTTCTCAAAAAATTAGAAATTGAGCTCCCATTTGACCCAGCAATACCACTCCTGGGAATATATCCCAGAGAGGCAAAAATGTATAGTCGAAGTGACATCTGCACTTGTTTGTTCATTGCAGCCCTCTTTACAATAGCCAGAAACTGGAAGAAACCTGAATGCCCAAGAACAGATGACTGGTTAAAGAAACTTTGGTACATCTACACAATGGAGTACTATGTAGCTCTTAGAAAAGATGAAGTCATGAAATTTACATACAAGTGGTACAATATGGAAAGTATCATGCTAAGCGAAATGAGTCAGAAAGAGAGGGATAGACATAGAAAGATTGCATTCATCTGGGGGATATAAAGTAACAAAGTATGAGATTAATACCCAAGAATAGCTGAGATCAGCACCAGGAGGATTACTCCATAACTTAGAGGCCAGCCGGGTATCCTAGAGGAAAGGGCTATTCAGATAGAGAAGGGAGCACCAAATAAAGGATGTTTGGAGGATCCTCCCAGGAGGGGAGATGCATGTCGAAAGTAGACTATGGACTGAACATGTTTGCCACTCAATGCCTCTTTTGCAGACCACAACACCCAAAAGGAGAGAGAGAACACAGGGGATTGCCCTGCCACAGAGACGGGGGGATGGGGGGATGGGGGTGGGAGGGATATTATCCATGGTGGTGGAAAATGGGCACTGGTGGAGGGATGGGTATCTGATCATTGTATAATTGAAACCAAAGCACAAAAAATTGTAAATCTACAACTTTAAAAAAAATAAAATAAAATAAAGGGAAAAAAAAAAAAAATTAGAAATTGAGCTCCCATTTGACCCAGCAATACCACTCCTGGGAATATATCCCAGAGAGGCAAAAATGTATAGTCGAAGTGACATCTGCACTTGTTTGTTCATTGCAGCACTCTTTACAATAGCCAGAAACTGGAAGAAACCTGAATGCCCAAGAACAGATGACTGGTTAAAGAAACTTTGGTACATCTACACAGTGGAATACTATGTAGCTGTCAGAAAGGATGAAGTCATGAAATTTACATACAAGTGGTACAATATGGAAAGTATCATGCTAAGCGAAATGAGTCAGAAAGAGAGGGATAGACATAGAAAGATTACATTCATCTGGGGGATATAAAATAACAAAATATGAGATTAATACCCAAGAATAGCTGAGATCAACACCAGGAGGATTACTCCATAGCTTAGAGGCCAGCCGGGTATTCTAGGGGAAAGGGCAGAGATAGAGAAGGGAGCACCAAATAAAGGGTGTTTGGAGGATCCTCCCAGGAGGGGAGATGCAGGTTGAAAGTAGACTATGGACTGAACATGTTTGCCACTCAATGCCTCTTTTGCTGACCACAACACCCAAAAGGAGAGAGAGAACAGGGGGAAATGCCCTGCCACAGTGGCAGGGTGGGATAGGGGGGATGGGGGGGGGAAGGATATTATCCATGGTGGTGGAAAATGGGCACTGGTGGAGGGATGTGTATTTGATCATTGTATAAACGAAACCCAAGCACAAAAATTTGTAAATCTACAACTGTACCTCATGGTGTTTCACTAAAAAAAAAGGGGGTGCAGTCATGAGTGAACAAGCACCTGGGGTGAGTACGGGGTCTTAGTTGACAAGAAGAGGGGGCTGTTTGAGAAGCAGTCTCTGGTGGAAAGGCCCCGGAAGATGGGCTGCTCACAGGATCTGGGGCCACAGCTCATGTTTCAGACCCTGAGCTTGCACCATCTCCCATCAAGTGTGTGTGTGAGACAGAGCTCAGTCCAGGGCTCCTTCAGTCTAAGGCTCTGGACCATTTAGGGTCTGCTCGTGGGGTCTCCTCTGGAGCCTCTGGGAGGGACAGGGAGGGACTATCCTTCCATCCTGCTCTGCCTGGGTGGCTCGCTGACCCCCAAAGGTGCATCCTCATCCTTCCCCGCGGACCTTGGGCAAATGCTCTCTGCCGATGGGATGAAGGAACTTTGGACCGTGCATCCCGGGTCAAAGGGACCCTTCCAGAAGAAAGTGAGCACAGTGCCCCCTATGCCCTCCCCTGCCCACTCCCACCCGGAAATCTTCCTTCTCTAAGCAAACAAAGAGAAAGTGGCCCCTTCCCCAATTGTATCTTGCACCGAGGTCACTAATGAGCCCCTCTGCCCCATCCCCCGGCCCCCATCATTCCTGGACCTCTGGGAAACACTGTCCTAGAGGAAGGTGGCGGCGGGGGTGGGGTGGGGTGGAGGGGGTGGGTGTGGGGGTCTCACTCACACACCTGCACAGTGAGATGCCGGCGGAGGGAGGCGCCCCCTGCCGGCGGCCCGCGGTACTCACCGTTAAGCAGCTGTTGATGAGCGTACAGGTGCGGCCATCCCCGGTGTACTTGGGCCTACAGTTACACACGGCCTGTAGGGGGCACAGACAGGAGGTTCTACAGGGCACTTCTGCTCTGGGGACAGTCCTCAGCTGCCCTCAGAACACGCTGGGCGCATCTCCCTGCAGCCCTGGGAGCACGCACACAGATCTAGCTTGGCGGCCCAGGAAAATTTATTTTCCAAATTAAGTTGCTAGGTTCTAAGGGGGCCTTTCTGGGCAGGCTCCTCTTTCCTCCCTGAGCAAGAAAGCCAAGCTCTGCCCCTCCCCTGCAGGCAGGGTTCTCTGCTGGCCCTGCCCAGGGGACGATGCTGGCCCGCACTAGACACTCAGATTAATTGCACCCAACAGTTAAGCCCACCGTTTGGCCAAGGAGGCAGGGTCCCTGGGGTGCGGGAGCTTCAGGGTGGCGGAGTGGACCTTGCTGGCAGGAAGCAGGGGACGGTCTGGTTCACCCTGTGTCCCACGTGCCCCAGCTGAGGGTGAGCTGGGCTGAAACTCAGCTTCACTCTCCCATGTCCAACCATACCACTTGATACTGACCCAGCCCGCCAGACCCCAGGACGGGTTTTCATTGTCCCTCAAACTCTCCCTCAATGTCTCTTGCGGGAGCTGAGCTCAGGGATCACTCCCAGCGGTGCTCTGGGGACAGACAGTGCGGGAGAGTGAACCCTGGCCTCCTGCCTGCACAGCTTGTGGCAGACTGCTGAGCTCCCTACTCTCTCTCTCCTGCTCCCGAGGTGCCACTCTCAGTGGACAGCTTTGTCAAGACTCCAGCCGGCCACAGCTCAGAGCCCAACCCTGTGACTGGCACTCGCTGCCTTGGAGGTCTGCGGGAGGAGTTTCAAGAACCAGCCCATGGTCAAACAAGAATTAGGGTGACTCCCAGACCATGGATGCAAAGAAATCTGACATTTTCTGCTCTGATGATGCCAGTGGGTGGACGCACACACACACACACACACATATATTCATACACACATTCACACACACTCATACACACATTCACACACACTCAAAGTCACACACAGTCACATACACTCATATTCACATATACTTACAAACACACTCATATACATACAGACTCATTTACACACACACTCACAAACATACTCACACACACATGCACTCACAAAGGACAGCTGTGGGCTTGTGGAGACCTCACAGATGCTCATGGGACCCTGCGGTGTTTGCATCTCAATCTGCCCCCTCCAGGGAGAGCTCCACTCTCTCTCTTTTTGTATTTTTCTTTGTGTTTGGGCCCAAACACAAACACCCAGCCATGCTCAGGGGTCACTCCTGGATCTGCACTCAGGCATCACTCCTGGCAGTGCTCCAGGGACCATATGGAATGCCGGGGATGAAACCCAGGTTGGTTACATGCCAGGCAAAGCGCCCTGCCTACTGTACTATCACTCTCTTAAATCCTCCTCACACCCCACTCCAACCCTGCTTCTGTCCTCAGTCCCAGAGAATAACCTCACACACACACACACACACACACACACACACACAGTCACACACACACTTACATACACACACGATCACGATCATGATCATCCTGTTGTTCGTCAATTTCCTCGAGCAGGCACCAGTGACGTCTCCTTCTTCCTAGCCCTGAGATTTTAAAAGAGCCATTTCAATGCTCTTTCAGGATTAGGAGAATGAGGCCCATCATTGTTACTGGTATTTGGCATATTGAGTACGACATGGGAAGTTTGCCAGACTCTGCCGTGCGGGCAGGATACTTTTGGTAGCCTGCCAAGTTCTCCAAAGGAAAAAAAATAAGATAATAAGATGTCACGCGGCCGCAAATGCAGCCGCGCTTCCAGGAGCTGGGTTTTATAGTCTCTGCGTCCTGGCTGTTGATGGGACCAACCTGGCGCTGGCGGCAACTGGGGGGTGTGACGCCTACCTACTGGAAGATAGGGGGTCTGGTTGGAGAAGGCCCAGTCCCAGTCCGAGTAGGCTTGGAGACCTCAGCCCCAGGACCCGCACGCCTGGGTTCCTCTGCCAGTTCTTTCATGCATGAGGCCCGTCTGGACGTGTGGAGAGTGATCCCAGCATGACCGTGGCTGGCTCTGGAGGTCCTCAGCTGCTGAGGACCTGCACACACTCACACACAAACACTCATGCACACATTCACACACACAAACTCACATACACACACTCACACACACACTCACACACACTCACACTCATACACACATTCACACATACTCACACTTACAAACACAAACACACTCACACATACACTCACACATTCATACATATTCACACAGTCACACACTCACTCACATACACAGACTCTTCCAGAATGCCCCTGAATATATTGATTTTTCAGGCCGGCTCCCTCGGCTTCCCTCGGGGACGCGTGGCTCACCTGGTTGGGCCCAGTCTGCGTGCACTCTGCGTTCTGGTGGCAGCCGCCATTGTTCTCCAGACAGGGGTTGATCTCTTTAAAACAAAACACCGAGTCCTGATAATGAGAACTAAGCCCGATTTTTGAGTAAAGACATCTTGAAGGACCAGCTGGGAGACCTAACAGAGCGGATCCAGCCAGTGTGGGGTGCGGTCCAGGGGGTTCGAGAGCTAGGACGGGGTTAAAGTGCTTATCTTGCACATGGTGACCCCAATTTCATCAATGGGACCATCTAGAGTCTCCTGAGCACTTCCAGGAGTGATGTGAGTCAGGAGTAAGTCCAGAGCACTATTGGGTATAGCCCCATAATACTCCTCCACACTTCCCCACTCCCCCACCAAAAAAAGAATCCAGACAAGTCCCACATGAAGGACGTGGCATCAAAGGAAGAAAGGTGGGGATGGTGTAGGATTCACCTAAAACGGCCATGGCATGAAAGGCCAGGCAAGGCTGAGGAACCATCCCTGATGAAGGGCCACTGAAGGGACAGCTACACATGACACTCAAGCCCCTCTGTGCTAGGCGCGAGCTGTCCAAGAAGGACATCAGAATCAGAATGCGAATAGCAGCGGAAGTACTATGGAATAGTAAACTCACTGATGCTTATAATTGTGCCATGGCTTTGTAAGGGCTAGTCTTCACCTCCAAAGTGTGCAAGTGTTTGAGGATAAAGAAGACATACAGGCACACGTCTATCGTTCTCTCAAAGAGATCCTTTTCTTTTTTTTTTAAATTTATTATTTATTTATTTATTTAATTTTTTACTTTTAGTGAAACACCATGAGGTACAGTTGTAGATTTACAATTTTTTTGTGCTTGGGTTTCGATTATACAATGATCAAATACCCATCCCTCCACCAGTGCCCATTTTCCACCACCATGGATAATATCCCTCCCAACCCCATCCCTCCCATCTCACCCTGCCTCTGTGGCAGGGCAATCCCTTGTGTTCTCTCCAAAGAGATCCTTTTCATACTTGCATTACAAGCAGCTAAAGAAGTCAGTGACCATCATAAAGTTTTGTTTCTTTGGTTTCGGGCCACACCTGGCAATGCTCAGGAATTACTGCCGGCTTTGCACTTAAGAATTACTTCTGGTAGCACTCAGGGGACTATAAAAGTTTGTCTGGATTTAGGCCCGGGTCAGTTGTATGTGAGGCAAGCACCCTACCTGTTGTACTATGTCTCTGGCCTCATCACTATCATAGAGTTTAACTGGAAAAAAATGTCCCCTTTTCTCCTGTCAGTGTGAATTTTGGACCTCCAGTACCTTAAGGTTTCTGAGCTCACACATCCACACCCTCATCCTTGCCTGCCCAGGTAAATGGAAGGGTGACCCCTGCCCTGCCCCATGTCTGGGTGGCAGGGCCCAGGGCTCTACTCTCCCCATTTGGCCCTCGGGGGGAGATAGACTCACCCAGGCACACGATACCATCTCCTGTGTAGCCTGCCTTGCACACACACACGCGGTTCCCTGGCGTGGTTCTCTTACAGACCGCCTTAGCAGAGCAGCCACCGTTGCTGGTCTCACAAGCATTGATTGCTGAAGAAGAGAGACACAGGGCAGGGAAGGGGCGACCAAGACACGTTTACTTAAGTCTGTGCAATGGGAATACTTCCAAATGGGACACAGAGCTAACTTGGGGGAAGCCAACAGAATGAAGACACTGGATGTTTCACTGGCGAATTTGACCGAACGATTGAGAAATACAAACATTTGTAAGATCACCTATGTAAAGCTTGAAGACATCCACATGCATTCTATGAGGCTAATATTAAAGAAGTATTACTAACGCAACAGGTTAAATCTTTGGAAAAAATATTAAGATAAGGGCCAGAGCAAGAGTACAGCAACTAGGCTAATATTACCCTGAGACCAAAGCATCATCATAAAAGAATTACCACAGAGAAATATCCTTTATGAATCCTTGAGAACCTACAGAAATCCTCAAATATTTGCCAAATAAGATTCAGCACTGTACTAAAAAGATCATATATTATAATCTGTGGGGTCTGCACAGGATCACCAGGGGGCTTAAGAGTCCCAAACTGATGAACATAAGCCAGTGTATCAATAGAATTAAACATCAAAATGATATAATTATCTCAATTGAGCAAAAGAATTTGAGAAAATTCACCCTATTTAATGAAAAGCTCTCAACTGACTGGAAATAGAAAGAAACCTCTGTATATATTCTATGTTCTATGAAATATATGAAATTCGATTCCATGCATAGGTATAGATATTCTATTTTATATGGAATGGAATTCCATGCATTATATATAACTAAGAGGTGGAAAGATGATGCAGAAAGCCATCAAGTGACTCCACTCAGACCCTCTGAGAGTTCTGAGTCTGCCGTGGGGCTGTGGGAACAGCGACAGTTTAGAGACCCAACCTGGATCATGCAGGTGGTGAGAGAAAAAACCGGAGCTCAAACCCTTTCCTATCCCATCTGTGTTGGTACTAAGTAATGACATTAGAATGAGTCTCTGGATGCTGCCCTGCAAGCAGGAAGCAGAACCGAGGCCCCACTTCACACTAAGTGGGCAAGCTAAACACTTGTGAGTCCAATGACCTGGAGGGGTACAGCATGCTCTCATACACCCACCTGGTCATGCACTATCCTGGCTGTACAAGGCAGCAGTTTCCCCCTGTCTTACACATCCTTAATCTGGGTTTACCTTCAAGTATCAGTATGAGCCTTCTCTTTGCCCTGTGTGTAACCAACAACCACAAGGATGTGGGGGACGTAATCTGTAGAGCCTACGTGTCCAGCTCCATATCTTCCTCTGACGTTTTGATCATGACAACATAGCTTTGACAAGATGATATATACCCTGATTTTTTTTTTTTGATGAATGCTCATCCTATCACTGTTTGTACTCTTGTTAGTGATTCTCTGTGATGAAGTCATTAGGATGTAACTGATAAAAAATAGAATAAAAGGAGTGTCTGGCAGTTGCTCTTCGCCTCGAGCCAGAATGAGCCTTGGCCCTCGGTGCTCTGTACATTCCTCTTGCGTGTCTTGTCTCTGTGTCTCTGACTGATTGATCGATCACTTCGTGCAACACATCCAAGTCACCAGGCCCAGGTTACACCCTCGAGTTTAAGTAAAGGATTGCTTCTTAGAGGGCTTCAGGTCACCTCAATGGTGGTCAAGCCTGTGACTCACTTCTTGGGGAAGAAAATGGGGTCAAGGTCTCTCCCACTCCCCAACCCGAAGGGGTGCAGAGTGGGGGGGTGTCCTGCCTGTGAGCTGGCACCACCAGCTGCTGGGGAACCCCAAGTTCACCTCTGCCCATTCTGGATGCTGGAAACTGTCGGCTGGGCCTCCACTGGCACCCATCCCCCACCCAGCCGATACCTCCCCCACTTGCCTTCGCAGGCTGTCCCGTTCCCACGGAACCCGGCTGCACACTGGCATGATGCCGTGCCGTCTGGTTTGAGAAGGCAGCTGAAAGGAGAAGCACAGATACTGTGGGTAGAAAGGCACCCACCAATCCCCCGGACATTCCCCTCCCCATCATGGAGCTCACTATCACCCCTTCCTCCCAGCAACCAGCTCCTATGCCCCAGGAGGCACTCAGGGGTCCTGTCTCAGGCCAGGAAGGAGTGTCCCAGACAAATCCAGCAGGAGTCACTAAAATGGCATAATTTTTTTGGCAGACAGGAGAGTGTGTACACGTGGTGGGTGTGTGGGTGTGAGTCTGGGAGTTAAAGGGTTTCCCCCTGTAAGACCAGGTGTTCCAGCAACACTTTCTGCAATCTACACAATTACCAATGTCTCTAGTCAGTAGAGGTGGTTCCTGTGCTCATTTGCAGATGGAGAAACCAAGGTTTAGGGAGTGTTCCCTGAAGTGGGGACACCACCCCCTGGAGACAGCTCTGGTGGGACAATCCAAACAAGCCAAAGGGAACGCTTGCAGCCTCAGGCGCAATTTTGGTGGTGGTTCCTGTTTGTTGGCTTAAAAAAATGTAGATTTTCCTCTATGTGCCTTATGGATTCATGTCTGATATTGAGGTCTTTAATCCACTTTGATCTGACTTTTGTGCCTGGCATTAGACAGGTACATAGAGGAAAATGTAGGGAGAACTCTCCACAACATTGAAGGTAAAAGCAACTTTAAGGATGAAACAGCACTGACCATGCAAGTGGAAGCAAATATAAACAAATGGGACTACATCAAACTAAGAAGCTTCTGCACTTCAAAAGAAACAGTGACCAAAATACAGAAAGAGACAACAGAATGGGAAAGAATATTTACCCAATACCCATCTGATAAGGGATTAATATCCAGGATATATAAGACACTAGTAGAATTGTACAAGAAAAAATCCTCCAACCCCATCAAAAAAATGGGGAAAAGAAATGAACAGAAGTTTCCTCAAAAAAGAAATACAAATGGCCAAAAGGCACATGAAAAAATGCTCCACATCGCTAGCCATCAAGGAGATGCAAATCAAAACAACAATGAGATATCATCTCACACTACAGAGACTGGCACACATTCAAAAGAACAAAAGCAACCAGTGCTGGCGTGCATGTGGTGGGGGGGAAAGGGACGCTTTTTCACTGTTGGTGGGAATGCCCACTAATCCAGCCTGTCTGGGAAACAATATGGATACTCCTTCAAAAACTAGAAATCGGGGCTGGAGCAATAGCACAGTGGGTAGGGTGTTTGCCTTGCATGTGGCTGACCCGGGTTCGATTTTCAGCATCCCATATGGTCCCCTGAGCACTGCCAGGAGTAATTCCTGAGTGCAGAGCCAGGAGTAATCCCTGTGCATATCTGGGTGTGACCCAAAAAGCAAAAAAAAAAAAAAAAAAAAAAAAACCAAAAACTAAAAACTAGAAATTGAGCTTCCATATGACCTCACAATACCACTTTTGGGAATATATCCTGAGGAGGCAAACAAGCACAGTAGAAACGACATCTGTGCCTATATGTTCATTGTAGCACTGTTCACAATAACCAAAATCTGGAAACAACCCAGTGCCCTAGAACAGAGGACTGGTTAAAGAAACTTTGCTACATCTACACAATGGAATACTATGCAGCTGTTAGGAGAGATGAAGTCATGAAATTTGCTTATAAATGGATAGACATGGAGAGTATCATGCTTAGTGAAATGAGTCAGAAAGAGAGGGACAGACATAGAAGGACTGCACTCATTTGTGGAGTATAAAACAACATAACATGAGGCTGACACCTAAGGATAGTAGATACACGGGACAGGTAGATTGCTCCATAGCTGGAAGCCTGCCTCATGAGCAAAGGGAAAAGGCAGCTGGAATAGAGAAGGGATCACTAAGAAAATGATGGGCTGAGGAACTGGTCGGGATGGGAGATGTGTGCTGAAAGTAGATAAAGGGCCAAACATGATAGCCTCTCAGTGTCTGTATTGCAAACCATCATGCCCCAAAGTAGAGAGAGTGTGGGGAATCATATCTGCCATGGAGGCAGAGGGAGGGTGGGATGGGGGCGGGGGCTATACCACGGATATTGATGGTGGGGAATGTGCACTGGTAGAGGGATGGGTGTTTGATCATAGTGTGATTGTAACTCAAACATGAAAGCTTGTAACTATCTCATGGTGATTCAATAAAATTTAAAAAAAAATGTAGATTTTGCCAGAGAGATAGTGCAGCACGGAAGGCGCTTGCCTTGTATAAGCTGACACGTGTTTGATCCCTGGCATCCATAGGGTCCCCTGAGTACCGCCAGGAGTGATTTCTGAGTGCATGAAGCCAGGAGTTACCCCTGAGTGTCACTGAGTGTGACCCCAAGGCCAAACCAAAACAAAGAAAGGTAGATTGGGGGGGTGGGTGGGGAGAAGGGGGCTCAGTGATTTCTTTTAAGGGGAAATAGATCAATTCAATGTGGGACTTTTGCTTAGAGGCATTAAATAATAATTAATTTGAGGTCACACATTTAGTGCAATTGATCAAGACTGGTTTGATTTCTGGTCTAGCCCCAGCCCTGGGCTCTTTATTCATGAACCCAGGAGGCCCCTCTGGGGGTGGGGTGGGGTGTGGAATGTGAAGAGGAAGAGGTGCAGCTGAGTCAGGGTTCAGGCTGGATGAAAGTCCGGCTCTTGGGGCACTCTCTGCCTCAGCAAATCCCTGAGGCTTGAATTGGAAATAACAAATTTGAATTGGAAGCAATATATGATGGCCAAAACGCACAAGTCACTGTTGTGGTGACTGATTACAAGACCGAATCTGGGAAGTTGAGGGTGGCCTTTTTGGGGATGGTTATACTTTCACACTTAACTTTCCCCCAAATCCTACAAAGGGTCTCAGGAAACCATGCCCTGAGGAGAGGCTCTGGGGCCACTGTTAGGAGGGTACCCGCTGTGCATTCTCTCAGGAGTGCACCTACTTGGCGCTGGTGTGGCAGATTCCATTGCAGCTGTCTGTTGTGATCTCTGAAAGAGAAAAAACAAACAGGGTGTCTCTCACCAACCTGTCCTCGAGGGCTTTCTGGGGGCCACTGGCAGCAGGATAAGATGGGCTCTGCAGGGAAGACACACATCTGGGAGGTACCACAACTGCTATGGTCACACCTTCCTCTCTTCACACTGGCTGTTGGGAAGCTCAGGAGGCAGAGCTGAAGGCTAGATGGAGTGGCAGAGTGAGCCTGGCCCGGGGTGGAAAGAGGAGCAAGGCTAGGGTCTGGATGTGGATAGAAGTGTCTCCCTAGAACTTGATTTTCTCTTTTATTTCTATATCTCAGTTACCTTGGTCTTTCCAGTTTTCCGGATTTCATTACAGAGTGATAATCTTAAATTTTTTTTTTTTTTGCTTTTGTTTGGGTCACACCTGGTGATGCTCAGGGGTTACTCCTAACTTTGCACGCAGGAATTACTCCTGGCAGTGCTCGGGGGTACCATATGGGATGTTGGAAATCGAATCTGGGTTGGCTGCGTGCAAGGCAAACTCCCTACCCGCTGTACTGTTGCTCCAGCCCAAGTTTTTTTTTTTTTTTTTTTTTTTTTTTTTTTTTTTTTTTTTGGTGCACAGAAATAACTCAGCACCTGGCACATAAACAGTGACTCTTCAGCTGATGTTTGAATGAATCCTAGAGTTTTCTAGAACAGTATAGATTCTTGCCTGTGGATACCCAGCTAGCAGATGCACCCCAGGAGGGAAGACTCCAGAAAGTTAGGGCGGAGAAAGAGTCATGGTTGGGCAGATGCTCAGAGCTTCTCTGCTACATTGCACTATGGGTCCTGACCCAGATCTGGCAGCAGAAAGGTCTGTTTTATGTCACAGGGAATATCTGCAGACTCCAACAGGCTGGGGAAATGCATTGTAATTGTACCTTTTTATTTCCCCCTTTGGGCCACACCTGGCAATGTTCTGCAGTTACTCCTGGCTCTGCACTCAGGAATTATTTCTGGGGGCTCTCATGGGACCCTATAGGATGCCGGGGCTCAAACTTGGGTCGGTCACGTGCAGAACAGTGCCCTCCACTCTGTCCTATCTCTTCAGCACCACATTGTAAGGTTCCTTTCCGTTTGCCTTTCCCTGAGCCCAGGAGTGCTTTTCTCTCCATTCTCTCTGGATTCAAATCCCAGCCATCTCTTAAGTTTTCCTCTCTGAATCTTTTATTTTATTTTATTTTTTTTATAATTTATTTATTTATTGAATCACTGTGGGAAAAGTTACAGAGCTTTCGGGTTTAGGTCTCAGTCATGTAGATACCAAACACATTTCCCTTTACCAATACTCATTTTTAACCCCGAACCCCAATAGACCCCCACCTCCCACCCCTCCCAATTCTTTGTGAGGCAGATGAGTTCTAGTTAATACTCTATCTACTTTGACTAGATAGATTATTTCGATAGAAGATGCACAATTATTGTTTAGAGTTTACGACCCCCCCCCCAATCAGACATGCTGAAACAGCGTTGTGAAATGATTTGCTTTCTACAACTTGGTTTAAGAATAAAATGATGTCGCGCGGCAGCGATAGCGGCCGCGCGGTTTTGAATTTCTGCTATTTTACTTATTGACCCTGGAAGAATTTCTATTAAAAGTTAGCTAGTTAAGAGATTGGTTTCTGTGCCCTGGAGTCGTGGCCGTGCCGGAGAGCCGCTTGTGGGGGGCAGCTGGCGACCTCGGTGGGGCGTGGGGGACGGCCCACAAAGCCCCCCTTCCCATGAGGTCCCCGCCGCTCCCCCGAGCCCGGCTCAAACCCGCTTTCCACAAGGCTCCCGTGCGGCCGCCATCTTTCTTTCCAGAGAGGAGCGGGCGGGCCGGTCAACGCCCTTCCCCCTCCGGGCAGGCTTGGTGGCGCGGATCAACACAAGTCCATTTGCTTTTCTGCTCCAAGCGGCTGGTTCTCTGTGCTAAGTCCTTGTGCCTCCGGGGCCGTGGCCGTGCCGGAGAGCCGCTCGTGGGGGGCAGCTGGCGACCTCGGTGGGGCGTGGGGGACGGCCCACAAAGCCCCCCTTCCCATGAGGTCCCCGCCGCTCCCCCGAGCCCGGCTCAAACCCGCTTTCCACAAGGCTCCCGTGCGGCCGCCATCTTTCTTTCCAGAGTCCTCTCTGAATCTTGATCCAAACCACCAAGTTTGACCAGCCTGACAATGATTATACAGTGTGCTCTTTGAGAAAGATGTGTGGCATGTCCCCTGGCAACAGTCCTTTAATGATCTTTGAAAAAGAAAAATGGAACAGGGCATCCTCCCAGCAGGCCTCAGAGGAGGAGAGTGGGGTTAATGAGAGATGTCCGCCTGGTGTGGGCAGCAGGAGTTTGCATTCAAAGGACTTCTCATCCTTGATGTCCAGCGACTCCTAACTCTACATTCCCACTTCACTTTTTTTTACATATCCTTTTTTTTTAATTTTAATTTTTTTTTTTTTTTTTTTTTTGCTTTTTGGGACTGGAGCAATAGCACAGAGGGTCGTTTGCCTTGCACGCGACCTACCCGGCCAACCTGGGTTCGATTCCTCCACCCCTCTCAGAGAGCCCAGAAAGCTACCAAGAGTATCTCACCCGCACGGCAAAGCTGGCAAGCTACTCGTGATGTATTTGATATGCCAAACACAGTAACAAGTGTCACAATGGAGATGTTACTGGGCCCGCTCGAGAAAATCGATGAACAATGGGAGGACAGTTGCTTTTTGGTAACTCCAGAAAAGCACACGGGTTACTCCTGTCTCTGCACTCAGAAATTATTCCTGACGGTGCTCAAGGGACTATAGGGCATACTGGGGATTGAACAGAGGTTGGTCACATGCAAGGTAAATGTCCTCTTCACTGTACTATCATTCCAACTCCAACGGGCTTTTGCTTTTGTGATGAGACTGGAAACTCCTTGTGCAGCATGTACACAGTCTGAGATCATACTGGAAAGTGGGGTGAGTGGCAGGGGAAGGATTGTTTGGGGTTCCACTTTGCTAGGTGGTGAACTTTCTCTTGTTGGCAAAGAAGAAGCAAAGCTAGATAAGTCCTCGAGAGGACAGAGGAAATGAGATCATTCAAAAATAAAATTTAATTTTTCACATTTATTCTGTGGCAATACTGGTTCGCAGGTGTCAGCTGACTGTGCATTTTAGGGCTACCGCGTCACTATACCTGCTCAGCACTGAGGGACCCATCCCTACTGCTACATCTGCGTGTTCATGGCCTTTGACAAGGCCAGCCTTGAAAGCTACTCCAGAGTGTGCTGGTATTGGAGGGGCATTAAGAGACGGGACCAGGCCAGATGGGGGAGCCATCACCAAAGGGTGCTTCTCCAATTTGATGAATTTTCTCAAATGAATTACCAGGACAAAGACAAAAATCTACTGGAGATGTTGTTGGCAGTATGGCTAAGAGTTACCAGGTCAGTTTCAAAACACATGGTGTCCACCCATTGCCTCTTTTGCAAACCACAACACCCAATAAGAGAGAGAGAGAACAAAAGGGAATGCCCTGTCACAGAGGTAGGGTGGGATGAGGGGGATGGAGGGTGGGAGGGATACTGGGATCCGTGGTGGTGGGAAATGGGCACTGGTGGAGGGATGGGTATTTGATCATTGTATAATTGAAACCCAAGCAAAAAAATTTGTAAGTCTACAACTGTATCTCATGATGTCTCACTAATAAAACAAAAACAAAAACAGAAACAAAAAAACAGCAACAAAATTAATGATAGTCAATTATATGGACATGATTAGTATATAAATAAAAACCTCCTTTGTATGTTGTATTGTCTTAAAGATGTTACAATAAGCAATTAAGATATACATATGTAAGTTAAGTCTATTAATAAATTAAAAAGTGAAAAATTTAAAAAAATTAAAAAAAAACACTTGGTGTCCAGAGAGATAATACAGGGGTTAAAGCACTTGCCTTCCCCGTGGCTGGCCTGTGATCCTTGGCACCGTGTATGGTCCCTTGAGTGTAGGATGACATTGCTTTGTCCTTTCTCCCTGCCACAAGGAACTCAGGTTTATTACAGTGCTCCTGAGGCACTTCCATTCCAGTGTGTTTATCTGTCAACTCTTCCCTGTGCTCTCTTCCCAAACCAGTTAATCAGCTTTTTCTCCTAATCAGACTCTCTTAACTTGTAAGGTCAGATTCCTCAGAAATCTATGATTTTATATGTATGAGGGAAATATTGTTTTTCTCCTCTTCTTATGTCTTATGAATAGTTTACTTTAAAGCAAAGTCCTTTTTGTATAGATGCAGGAAGACAGTTAATATTATGCTTTTGTAACTTAGGATTTAATTGGCTTTGAATATTATTCACTCCTAGGCATCTGCTTTCTCAACTGAAGCCTCAGTTGCCCTTAGTTCCTAGCACCCCAAAAGCAGGGTCCCAACAAGGGACTGAATGGACCCAGGGCAAGCTGTGAGCTACCCTGGCATTGAAATGGGCCAGGCCAAAGTGCCACGATTCTTTTTTTTTTTTTTTTTTTCCCCTTTATTTTATTTTATTTTTTTTAAAGTTGTAGATTTACAATTTTTTGTGCTTTGGTTTCAATTATACAATGATCAGATACCCATCCCTCCACCAGTGCCCATTTTCCACTACCATGGATAATATCCCTCCCACCCCCATCCCCCCATCCCCCCTGTCTCTGTGGCAGGGCAATCCCCTGTGTTCTCTCTCTCCTTTTGGGTGTTGTGGTCTGCAAAAGAGGCATTGAGTGGCAAACATGTTCAGTCCATAGTCTACTTTCGACATGCATCTCCCCTCCTGGGAGGATCCTCCAAACATCCTTTATTTGGTGCTCCCTTCTCTATCTGAACAGCCCTTTCCTCTAGGATACCCGGCTGGCCTCTAAGTTATGGAGTAATCCTCCTGGTGCTGATCTCAGCTATTCTTGGGTATTAATCTCATACTTTGTTACTTTATATCCCCCAGATGAATGCAATCTTTCTATGTCTATCCCTCTCTTTCTGACTCATTTCGCTTAGCATGATACTTTCCATATTGTACCACTTGTATGTAAATTTCATGACTTCATCTTTTCTAAGAGCTACATAGTACTCCATTGTGTAGATGTACCAAAGTTTCTTTAACCAGTCATCTGTTCTTGGGCATTCAGGTTTCTTCCAGTTTCTGGCTATTGTAAAGAGTGCTGCAATGAACAAACAAGTGCAGATGTCACTTCGACTATACATTTTTGCCTCTCTGGGATATATTCCCAGGAGTGGTATTGCTGGGTCAAATGGGAGCTCAATTTCTAATTTTTTGAGAATCGTCCATACTGTTTTCCAGAAGGGCTGAACCAGTCGACATTCCCACCAACAGTGAAGGAGTGTCCCTTTCTCGCCACATCCACGCCAGCATCGGTTGCTTTTGTTCTTTTGAATGTGGGCCAGTCTCTGAGGTGTGAGATGGTATCTCATTGTGGTTTTGATCTGCATCTCCCTGATGATTAATGATGTAGAGCATTTTCTCATGTGCTTTTTTGCCATTCGGATTTCTTCTTTGAGAAAGTTTCTGTTCATTTCATTGCCCCATTTTTGGATGGGGTTGGATGTTTTCTTCTTGTGGAGTTTAACCAGTATTTTGTATATCTTGGATATCAACCCCTTGTCAGATGTGTATTCAGTGAATATCCTTTCCCATTCTGTAGACCGTCTTTGTATTTTGGTCACTGTTTCTTTGGAGGTAGTGCCACGATTCTTAACTATAAGTTAAGAGCTTGATCATGGACAGATGCTGTAATGAACCAAAAGTAACGACGAGACTAGGACACTGCTAGGGATAGGAAAGACTATCTGGCCTGAGCACTGTAGTCTGAGATCGAGATGGTCCTAGGAGAGCAATTCTATAAGCTTAATGTATCTCTTACTGTGTCCATACAAAATGATTAATATTATGAATGCTTATATTTGTTGGACAAGGAGAGGAGAAACACACCCAGGAAATTCCGTTCTAGGGTGGGTCGTCCTGCTGAAAGAGTATCTGTCCTAGAAGCTGCTTTCCCCGAGGGAAAGAACTTTACCCCTATTGATTGTGACCACACCTATGTGTAATTGCTACCCCAACCCCTCATGGTTTTGGGATTTAACTAGACTGTAAGAGTGGGCTGGGGATCAGGATCCAGACTCCAGAAGGAGTAGGAGAAAGGGGATCCAGATCAGATTCCAGAGCCAGAAGGAGGATGAAGGGGGGGTCAAAGAGGAGAATGAAGTAGCATAGGGGAGGAAGAAGCAGGAGGAGAATCAGAGGAGAATGGAGATGGGAATGGAATAAGCTGCAACAGACACCAAGTAGCCTGGTTCTCGTTTCCTTCCTTCACCTGCCCATCGCCATCAACCTCCCCAGGGTGGGGGAAGTGGCGTGAGAGTACCGAACGTGGGCAGTGGGAGAGATAGACCGCTGCTGTCTTTTTGTGTTCACGCACTTGAATACTGCCAGGAGTAATCCCTGAGCACAGAGCCGGCAGTAAGCCCCAAGCATGACTTGGTGTCGTCTCCAAATCAAAATCAACCAACCAAATAAACAAAAACGATGGTGCAGTCAGATAATAAAATATGATGTTGAGGGCTGGAGAGTGAGTTCAAAGGGTTAATGTCCAGGCTTTGCATGCGGGAAACTCAGGTTTGACCTCATGTGCTGAATGATTCCCTGAGCACTGCTAGGGGTGAACCCTGAGCAGCTCACTTCAGTATTGTGAAGTGAAAAAGTAGATGACAAATCCATGTAGAGTTTGGTCCTCAACGCTTATGCTTATAGTCCTAGAGTCCAGACAAAGGCTAAAGGTTAGCTAGAGATTTCCAATCGTGGTCCCTTCCGTATATATACATATACATATGCATATATATGTATATATATTTTTTGCTCACTTTCTTTCTCCTTTTTTTTTTTAACCTTACAAACTTCCCCTGAAAGTAGGGATGACTTGTTTTGCAAAACAGAGAAGTGTGGATGTGTTTTCTAGTTTGGAGAGAGAACCAAAAAGACACTGCTGAGAAGGAAGGCTGAGAAAAGGTCCTAAGGCCAGGCAGAGTGGGGCAGGGGACTGTCTCTTACGTTGATCACAGCTCACTCCACGCCAGCCTATGTCACACGTGCAGGAGCCATCCCCCGAAGGTCCCTGGTTGCATCTCCCGTGGACACAGGAACACACTGTGTGCAGAGACATGTGTCAGACTCCTGACCGAGCGAGCGCCTACACCCCATCACTCATTCTCCACTCCAGCCTCTGGGCACTGCCCTGATTCTCCAGCCCCATTTCTTGGAGGGCCGTTGGGCGCGGGAGGGGGGGGGGGGAGTTGGGGACACAGGGCAGAGCATCACGTGGGCTACCAGGTGGACCAGCTCACACTTTGCCATGGACCTCAGCTTTAGATTGTGCAGCTTTGCTGAGAGAGTCCCGCTAAGGTAATCTGGGGTTGCAGGGTTGCATGCGACCTTTTGGGATACCTCCATGATTGGTCCCCAAGAGTGGACTTAAGAAGGAGCACATTTGATACAGGGTGAGTATAAGCCCTGAGGAGAGGCATTACCTCTTCCAACAACCCTGAAATGCTGATTGCTCTACGTAGCCCTGAACCTTTTGGAAAACACCATGAAAGCTGTTCCCCTCTCCTTTTTATTTTTTTTAAAGCATTCAGTCTTGGGGGCTGGTGGAACCCCCTTGCAAGTCACCAATCTCAGGACTAGAGTCTCCTGCACCAATAGAAGCAGATTATTCTTCCCTGAGTATGTTCAGTCATTGCTTTAGCACATGATCTACCGATACTGATTCAATGACATCTCGGTTTCCATCTAGTTGGGACTAGCTGATGTGACAACAGCAATGAAAGCCAGGTCAAATGCATAGTTTTCAGTCCAGGGTAGGAACAAAATATTGTTTTGTTTTCTCCTTCTAGATTAGATGAGTATCTAGGATGAGAAAAAGAAGTCCATGGCCCAGCACAGGTGTGTGGTTCTGGGTACTAGAGACCTCTCTCAAACAGAGGCTGCAGTTTGAGAAAACAACAGAAAGCAAGAGATGCATGGGGAGAGAACCAGCAGGTGGATCTTTCCATAAAGGAAAGTGTGATTCAAGCACCAGCCTTTGGGTGACTCCAGGCAAACACTTGGATCTCACTTCTGCCTTTCTTGCTGTGCAACTGTGGGATGTGGGGTGGGGAGGGGAGCCTCCAAACTCAGCCTTTTTAGACTAGTCTGTGAAATGGGTATCATGCACAGGCTCGTTAGGGTCCTGGATGGATCAAATGAGATCCACAGAACTGAGACCCATGGGAATTGAGATCCACGAAATTGAGATCCACAGGAATTGCCATCTGTGGACCTGAGACCCCTGGGAACTGGGTTCCACTGGAATCGATAGATCCACAGAACTGAGATCCAGATCCATGGGAACTGATAGATCCGTGGAACTGAGATCCACAGAACTCAGATCCACGGGAACTAAGATCCAGAAGAGCTGAGGCTGTGCCCACTAGGTTACGGGGCAGACATGGAAGTGGGGTTGGGCTATGGAATGTCTGTGGATGGGGTGGGGCAGGCCGGAAGGGTCAGGCTCAAGCCTGAGAATGCTTGAAAACACTGACCTGGACACAGCTGTGGGGTAGGAGTGGGGTCCTTATCATTCCTGGGATTTATATTCCAATTTTATTTTATTTTATTTTATTGTGGGCCACACCTGGTGGTGCTCAGGGGTTACTTCTGGCTCCACACTCAGGAATCACTCCTGGCAGGCTCGGGAGACCATCCAGGATGCCAAAGATTGAACCCGAGTCAGCTGAGTACCAGGCATGTGCTCTGCCCACTGCACTATCTTTCCGGCCCCTATATTCCATTTCTAACATGGTAATGGAACCTTCTCCTGAGTTAGGGGGCATAGTGAGCAGGCATTGAAAAGGCTTTGGTGGTGCCTGGCCTGCTGGTTTGGGGGAGCCCTGGCCCCCTCCCCATTCTCCTGATTGGCAGGGGTGGGAGAAGATGCCCACCTTGGTCGCAGTGGACGCCGTACTTGCCCTCGAAGCACATCTCACAGGCGGTGCCATTGAAGCCCTCTCCGCACACACACATACCACTGCCGTTTATGCCGTCCAGGCAGATGCCATTCCCGAAGCAAACATTACTAGTGGTCCCTGGGCAGGCCTGGCACTGGGGGCCAAAGAAACCGGCACAGCACTCTTTGGTCTGGAAGCAAGAGCAGGGGTTCCCATTGGCATGACAGCAGGCCCACCCACATCTGAGCCCAGCTGGCCTGGTGGGAAAGGGTCTGTGATGGGGAGAGGGGTGCTGGGGCGTGACTTCACCCACAAGGGAGGTGGGGGACTAGGAGAGAATCCCTGCTGAGTACTGGGTGATTCTGAGCACTGTCTCCAGAGCTGCCAGCTACAGGATGGAGGCCGTGCCCAGGAGCGGGGAAAGGGGGCGAGAGAGGGACGGCTAAAAGCAAGCAAGGAGGTCCACAGGAAGGAAAAATGCAAGAGAAGTCAGGTGCAGGTGGGGTGGGGGGGACGACGGTGAGGGGCCCCTCCAACCCAAACCCGTGCACTGGGTGTTGCATGCGCTCCTTCCTCTGGAGCTGAGACCTGTGGTGTTCTAGAAACAAATCTCTCGTCGTTCGACCACATCTGCCTGATCTGCGTCCACCTTCATTTTTAGGAATCTTAAGTGCTAAAACCTTCTACTGTCCCTGGCTCTTCACCTTAAGGCAGAGGAGCTGCCACCTGCAGTCCTAGCTCTCACTTGCTATTGTGAGTGGCAGGGAGGAGGAGCAGGAGGAGGAGGAGGAAGAGGAGGAGGTAGAGGAGGAGGCAGAGAAGGAGGGTGAAGAAGAGGAGGAAGAGGAGGAAGAGAAGAGGGAGGAAGGAGACGAGAAAGGGGAGGAGAAGGAGGCAGCAGCAAAAACGCAAAGCATCCTTAGAAGGACTGAAGCTCCCAGGGCTTCTGTCGTGTCCGCTGGAGACTCACGATGACGGTCTTCACACAGCGGGCCCGGCACCCGATGAACACAGACCGCTTGCCATTGAAGTACATGGTGGTGATACACTTGTGCATCTTTTCATCCTGTAAAATATCCAGGGTCACACCAGCTTGTTAGTTGGAGGAAGGGTTTTTTTTTTTGGGTCATACCCTGCAATGCTCAGGGGACCATATGGGATGCTGGGATTTGAACCCGGGTCGGCTGCATGCAAGGCAAAATCCCTACCCGCTCTGCTATGGCTCCAGCCCGGGGGAAGGTTTTTTTTCTTTTCTTTTTAAATTTTATTAGTGAAACACCATGAGGTACAGTTGTAGACTTACAAATTTTTGTGCTTGAGTTTCAGTTATACAATGATCAAGTACTCATCCCTCCACCAGCGCCCATCCTTCACCACCCAGCATCCCTCCCACCCCCCATTCCCCCCATCCTACCCTGTCTCTGTGGCAGGGCATTCCCTTTTGTTCTCTCTCTCCTTTTGGGTGTTGTGGTTTGCAAAAGAGGCATTGAGTGGCAATCATGTTTGGCCTATAGTCTACTTTCAGCATGCTTCTCCCATCCTGGGAGGATCCTCCCAACACCCTTTATTTGGTGCTCCCTTCTCTATCTGAGCTCCCCTTTCCCCCAGCATGCGTGGCTGGCCTCGAAGCCATGGAGCTCCTTGCACAGGGGCCATGCTGATCTTCTCTGCATCATTCCAATTTTAACATATGTGCTGCCGAAGCGAGCACCAGGGGTGGGGGGGTGGGGGGGGAAGGGTTTTTGATCTACAGCAAGTAGGCAGGGGAAGAAGGGTTGTCCCTTAGGCTGGAATGTTCTGGAAAGGAGGGGGCTTGCTTCTCAAGGCCGACTTAAAGGGTCAAACCCCACAAAAGTTCCATGCCCCCAAGTGACAAACCCACATAATTGTCCCCTCAGGCTAAATTCTGAAAAACAACAACTTATCTCTAGAGGCCTAGAGTTAGTAGGTAAGCATTGCAGATACCTAGGATAAAAATGTTTTTCCAGGGACTGGAGAGAAAGCAGGGGGTTAAGGCACTTGCCTTGAATACACTGGCCTCAGTTAAGTCCCCAGCACTCCATCTGTCTCCTGAGCATTGCCAAGAGGGATCCCTGAGCACAGAGTTGGGAGCAGTCCTTGAACACCTCTGGGCATGATCAAATTACCTGTTCCCTCCCCCCTCCCCCCAATAATTTTTTTCCCAGCACTATACATTGACCTGAATCTTGGTTTCTATTTACTTTTTGATTTATATTCTGCCTTGGTGGGAGAAAGGAATACATTTCTTTGCAAAGACTTAGAATGTGGAGATTAAATATAATAGTGAATTGATTCTGTCACCATATATCTTACTATTATGCTAAGGAAGGTTACATGAGACTTTACTCTTTTTAATTGCTACATGCATGGAAATAAATAACTTTTATTTGTAGAAATAAAATTTTACATTACAGAAAAATATTTTTAATAGGAAATATTAAATATTAAATATTACGCCAAGAGAGAGATAGCCACAAAAAATCGCCTATCTTCGAAAATTCTTGAGCTAATTCGCCAGCGTGGTTTGGCGCATGCCTCAGGCAGCCGCAAGCTAACGTCCGAGCTCGCAAAGCAGTGCAGAGATGCGATCAAGGAAGACCTCAAAGAGAGAAGAGCAGAAGTACTGGTAGATGCGGCAGAAGCCGGGAAAAGTATTCGTAACGCCCGCCTGTCCTTCGCCAACTACAAGACCAAGATGACTGCCCTCCGACGTCCTGATGGATCCATCACATCCTCCAGAACGGCAATGGAGAAGATTATCCATGACTTCTACTCAAATCTCTTCGATAGCCATGTCCACTTGCCGACATACCAAATTCCACAGGATGGATATGTCGTTCCCAAAGTTCTCCCTTCCGAAATCCGACACGCCATTTCGTCGGTAAAGAAACAAACAGCACCCGGCCCAGACAAGGTCAGACCTGAACACCTGAAGAACCTGCCGTCAGTACTCATCAATACACTGGCTCGGCTCTTCACATGCTACCTGTCTGAATGCAAGGTTCTGTCCCAGTGGAAAACCAGCAGGACCGTACTACTGTTCAAGAAGGGAGACATCCATGACATTGGCAACTATCGCCCAATCTGCCTATTGTCTGTCATCTACAAGTTGTTCACTCGAGTCTTCCTAAATAGGATTGGCAGAACACTAGATGAAGGACAACCATGCGAGCAAGCCGGGTTCCGCAAAGGATTCAGCACCATGGACCATATCCACACGATAACCAAGCTCATTGAGGTTTCTCGGGAGTTCAAGATGCCGCTCTGTTTAACGTTCATTGATTTAAAGAAGGCCTTTGATTCTGTTGAGACGGAAGCGGTCATTGAAGCCCTAGCCAATCAGGGCATTCAAGCCTAATACATCAGGATCCTCCGTGAGCTGTATTGCGGATTCACTACTAGGATCTCACCATTCTACAAAGAAGTGATCGTTGATGTCAAGAGAGGGGTGCGGCAGGGTGATACCATTTCACCGAAACTCTTCAGTGCCACCCTCGAGAACATCATGCGACGACTGGAATGGGAAGGAATGGGAGTGAAGATAGATGGTCGGCAACTACACCACCTCCGCTTTGCTGATGACATTGTTTTAATAACACCAAACATCAGCCAAGCGGCACAAATGCTGGCCGACTTTGACTGTGAGTGTGGAAAGGTAGGACTACAGCTGAATCTTACAAAGACAATGTTTATGAGAAACAGCCTCGTTCCTGATGCCCCATTCGCTCTCAATGGAACGACCATCTCCGAATGCAACAGCTATGTGTACCTAGGTCGAGAGGTCAACATGACAAATGACCTGGCACCTGAGCTGCGCAGGAGGAAGAGAGCGGCTTGGAACGCCTTCAAGAACGTCGAAGAAATAGCTAAGAGGACAAAGAACCTCTGGCTCCGGGCACATCTCTTTGATTCCACTGTTCTTCCTGTATTAACATATGCCTCAGAGACCTGGGCCCTACACAAACAGGATGAGAACGCTATTCAGGTCTCCCAAAGAAGAATAGAAAGAGCTATGCTTGGAATATCACGTTTCACTCAAATGAGAGAAAGAATCCGGAGTTCTGACATCCGTTGACGATCAAGAATCAGGGACGCTGTCTCATTTGCCAAGGTGTCGAAAATCAGATGGGCTGGTCACGTAATGAGATTTAAAGACGACCGCTGGACTAGAGCTGTTACTGACTGGATTCCACGGGATGTCAAAAGACCGCGTGGCCGCCCACCTTCCAGATGGTCAGACTTCTTCGTGAAGATCATGAACGATCGGTTTGAGGCCCTTCATGTTCCCGGAGCGAACAGATGCCATTGGGCTACACTAGCACGCGACAGGGACAAATGGAGACGTTACTGGCGCCCGCTTGAGCAAATCGACGACTAACGGGAAGTTAAGTGAATAGGAAATAATGATAAGAAACAGAGCACTATAGAGCACTGTAGCACTGTCCTCCCATTGTTCATCGATTTGTTCGATTGGGCACCAGTAATGTCTCACAACAAATTGTGAGACTTGTTACTTTTTTTGGCATATCGAATATGTTACAGGGAGCTTGCCAGATTTTGCCGTGTGGACGAGATACTCTTGATAGCTTGCCGGGCTCTCCAAGAGGGGCAGAGGAATCGAACCTGGGTTGGCTGCGTGCAAGGCAAACACCCTACTCTCTGTGCTATCGCTCCAGCCAAGAAACCGAGATTATGAATTATTCTGAAACCACGCTTACCACCCTCATGCTTGCCATCTGTTTATTTGAAAATGTTGTTTGTCTGGGGACACTGGTGCTGGGGAATGTACACTGGTGGAGGGATGGGTGTTGGAACACTGTATGACTGAAATCCAATCATGAACAGTTTTGTAAGGGTCTATCTCACACTGATTCAAGAAAAAAGTTTAAAAAATGTTTGTAAGGACTGGGAAGTGTGGGGTTAGACCCTCAGCCCACATTGCCTCCACACCCCCAAATGTTGTCAGGTGTGGCCCTAGGGGCTGGAATATAATTGAGCATCAAAAATGCAGCCAGGAAAGATAGAATGAACAGCTTAGTGCCTTTTAGATGAAGAGGGCCACATAGGAAAAATAGAGTAGCAAATTATCCCAACTTTATACTTTAAACTTCCATGCTGGTGGTCAGAACCCCAAGTGGCAAATCCACAGAATTATTCCATTAGACTGAATGCTAAAAAAATAACTTATCCTAGAGAACTATCTCAAGTTAGGAAGCATTGCAGATACCTTGGGTAAGAATGTTTTTCTAGGAACTGGAGAAAGCAGAGGGGTTTGATTGGCTCTGGGAAATATCCCAGTCTCTGCTCTTAATTCCATTAAATTTTGATGTTCTGATGAACTGTTCTTAATATCTCTGTCAACTTGAACAATAATTCATGTGGTGGGAACCAGGGTAGAGGGAGTGACACTGTGTTGAATAAATGGCCAGTCTGTGACTCCACAGGTGACTGACCAGGTGACCATAAAGCTTGGATGGTCCTCGTGTGTGTTTGTCTCATTCTCAGCTAGTCTGAGGTCGAAGGTGCCAATCTGATTGACTTTTGTGTATAAATTGTCACACCTACACAGCTGGGTAGAGTTTTTGGAAGTGGCCTCTATGAAAATGTGTAAGGTCATTTGTAAAGACACTTGAAGCATCAGCTACTGAAATAAAACCAGGTAGCAGAACTCATCGAGACTGGATATGGGTTGGGGACATGGACTTGTCTCTGTTAAAATTTCTTGCTCTTGTGCTTAAGTGGCTACTGAGATATTAAAGAGCTGAAAAGTAGAAAACCATTCTTGTGCTGTGTGTTGATTTGTATGAACCCCAAGTTCTTTCTTTATTTCTGGAGAAGAGACCTGTCAATACTTAGAGGCCACTTCTGGCTTTGTACATAGAGGGTTGCTCAGAGGACCATGAGGTCACTTGATTACTTGATCACTTGACTTCCCGTTAATCGTCGATTTGCTCGAGTGGGCACCAGTAACGTCTCCATTTGTCCCTGTCGCGTGCTAGTGTAGCCCAATGGCATCTGTTTGCTCTCGGAACACAAAGAGCCTCAAACCGATCGTTCATGATCTTGATGAAGAAGTCTGACCATCTGGTAAGTGGGCGGCCACGCGGTCTTTTGACATCCCATGGAATCCAGTCAGTAATAGCTCTAGTCCAGCGGTTGTCTTTAAATCTCATTACGTGACCAGCCCATCTGATTTTTGACACCTTGGCAAACGAGACAGTGTCCCTGATTCTTGATCGTCGATGGAGGTCAGAACTCCGGATTCTTTCTCTCATTTGAGTGAAACGTGATAGATACTCCAAGCATAGCTCTTTCAATTCCTCTTTGGGAGACCATGAGGTGCCAAGAATTAAACCTCAAACTTTCCTCATGTAAAAACATGCGCTCAGTCCATTGACTTACCTCGTCAGCCCCCTAGAACTAACTTTCTTCATTTTGGGGTCCTGGGGGATCATTCCTGGTGGTGCTCAATGGGACCATGTGATACTGGGGACCGAACCCAGGACTTTGGTATACAAGTCTGCACTCAGTCACGTGAGCTGTTTCTTATATAAACAATTTTTTTATTAGTAAAATGAAGAATTTTAAAATTAATTTTATGAAATGGAATTTGTTTTTAAGACCTTAGAAAGATATACAAACCATAGGCAGATAACATGATAAGCAAGGGAAGAAATGAGGGTGGTGAAATAGAAATTCATTTAAAATTACTTGGCTAATTTAGATCTCTGAACTCTAGGAACAATTTTATTAAAGCAGAAGAAATACTTACGATTGGCTTTGTTCCCAGAGGGCAGATGGGCTTTTGGAGACACTTGCCACACTTTCCCTGGGCAAAACACAGAGGTAAAGAGATCATTTCAGGATGATCGGGAGTGGAGAAGAAGGTCGCAAATATTTCCATCAGTTTCTCTACTGGGTGGTTTTTGTACTTGTGGTCCCAGGCGTCTGAGCTTTGCTTTCTTCCATGGTTCTTCTGATGCTAAAACTCTTTTAAAGTATGGCGGGTCAAGCCCGGGCCTCACATATGGGAAGCATGCGCTCTTCTGCTCAGTGGCCATCCCTGACCCCTCATGCACCGGAAGCTTATCTGACTTAAATCCTCTTCTCCTTATCCACAATCCTTTTTTATTGCACACCTGTAGAGAATTGGGCCAGATCCAGAGAAGATGTTGTATCTCTGGGATAATGTCCAGCTGAAGGATCAGGGTGGAGAAAATGCATATACATGCTATTTCTGGAAAGGACAGGAACCCTCAGGGGACCAGCTCCTAAGGCAGGAGGAAGGAAAATGGAGCCCTAAGTGCTGGACCCTCAGGGGGTCACTAAGGGCCGCAGGTCTTGGCCAAGCTTCCTGATATGAGTGCCTGCCACAACTCTGGAGAGTCCCCAAGCCTGGATGAGCTCCCTAGCTTCTCTGTGACTCACTTCTCTGGTCTGCCCCATGAGCAGAATAAGCATAATGCAGATGTGTTAGCTCAGTGTCCTGTAAGTATTAGTTATTATTTGAAGGCTTTACTAAGCAGTGCTCAGGTCTTACTCCTGCCCTCTGTACTCAGGGACCACCACTTCTGGGAGGGGTCAGGGACCATACACAGAGTTGGGAATGGAACCTTGTGTTGGATGCATGCAAGGCCAGGGTCCTGCCTGTTGTCCTATTTCTCTTAAGCCTGAAGTATGAGCTGTTGTATCCATTACTGAACAATCCCAGCAAGTGAAAAGTCTTCTCTACTGCACTGCCTGGTGCTAGAGCAATTCATTTCCATATATCTAATTTTGTGTGTCTTGTGCTGGCGATGGAAGACAGACCTTCGCATCTGCAAGGCTGTGCTCCACTGCCTAGCTAGCTGCTGGCCATAGACTAACTCCAGTAGGACAACACATGCCATAAGTGCTCCAGACCCTACCCCCTGGTGCCAAGGTCAGGCATGGCACAACCTCCCTATTGCAGAAGATGAGGGCATCTGATTTCAGGACCATCACCCTCTGTAGCCTTTCTCAGGCATGAGACCAAGGTCATTTCTTCCTCATCTTGATAGAGCCCCGGCCACATGTCCTCTGCACATCCAGATGCTCACTTGTGCTTTTAAAAATACTATTTCAATACCCATTTAGCTAAATTATAAAAAATTACTTGAAAAAAATAGGACATCCTCTTCGGCCTTGGCTAGCACTTACCTGTACAATAGTTGTGTCATTATTATCACATCTATTCTTCTGAATTTCCAGAACTTTCGTCAAGCCATGGATCACTCCCTTGTCAGTGGCTACATTGGTGTAGTTGATTGGAGCGTCATTGACGTAGAGCTGTAAACAAGAGGCTTAATGTGAATTTTTTCTGCCCTGCTGTTGAGGGGGATAGGAAGCATGGGGAAGGAAATGTGTCTTTCTGAAACCACTCAGATCTCCCATGTCCACTGCAAGGGAGCACCTTCAAGGCCTGGGAGGAGACTGAGTGGGACCCTACACAGGACACCACATGATCTTGACTTTGTATCCTCTTGAGGTCACAATATCTCTCAGTAACCTTTTCTGAAAAAGAAAGAGATTGTTCCAGAGGATCTGTAAGTTTCCTTTACCCCTTTAACGAATTGGTTCTGGGTTATTTGAGAGATTAGGGATCATGATTTTAGTTTCTTTTGGCAAAGCAGTTCCTCACACATGATAGGTGGGCTGGAAACTGTGGTTGTGGAGGTGTGAATGCTGCCAATATAGATCTGGAAAATGGGTCTAGCTGTCCCTTCTCCAGGTGTCTACTGGCCGGGTTAGCAAGTAACCTGTGGCACAGCCAAGGAATTCCAATATGTGTGAGGAACACACACTGATGATCAGAGGCTGGCAATAGGGAGGTGGAAGGGAGCTGGATGTTTGTCTTCGCCATGAGGGGAAACACGGACAGTGGGATTATTCCAGTGTAGAAGCCATGCTAGCTGGTGGGTGCCAGGCCGCTCAATCCTGGGATGTAGGGAGAAGACTCTCACCTGGTCATCACGAAGGTAGAAGCCAAGGAGATAGGAGAAGCCCAGCATGGTCTCCCGGTGCATGCCGTTGTGGAGGTCATTCTTTAGAAGTTTCTCCTCCAAGATCACGTGATACCTGAGGGTGGTCTCTTCCTGAGCAATACACAGAGTTAGAATCAGTCTAGGTTGATGCAGTCAACTTGTCATCACTTACCCAGCTGCCCCAATGTCACAGGCAGACACTGGGGGACTTATAGGAGCAACAGTTTGATGAGCCAGAAGTTTTGATTCAGGCATTGGGACACAAAGATATTAAGCACTAGAATGAGTCACAATAAGCTCACCTTGGAGCATTGGCAAATTTTCCACATAGGCTGGTCAAGAACTCATTCTGGGACCCTGAAACCTGAACTGAAAGGATGTTAAAGATGATTTCTGGAGGATGGAGTGATAGCACAGCTGGTAGGGCGTTTGCCTTGCATGCGGCCAACCCAGGTTTGATCCCCAGTCCCCCATGTGGTCCTCTGAGCAGTGTCAGGAGTAATTTCTCAGTGCAGAGCCAGGAGTAAGCCCCAAGCATCACCAGGTGTGACCCCCCCAAAAGCAAAAAAAAAAAAAGATTTCTTTGGTGGGCATTGATGTGAAGAGCCTCCGGCCCAGCCAATCTTCTACCTCAAAAGGCCTGAGAGGAGTGTAATAGAATGTCTCAAAAGTTTGACCCAGAGTCCTGGAGATAGAGTGGCCTGGGGCATGCAGGGATCATAGGGACACTGGTGTCTAGGCTAAGCCACAGGGCTGTGAGGAGGCCTATTGTTGGGTGGTGGAGAGTTGGGACCAAAGAATGAGTGGGGCCTATCGACCAGATGTGGGATGGAGTCAAACAGAGGGTGCCTGAGAGGAACTGTCCTGGCTGGCTCCCTAGAAGGACAGAAGAACTTTCTGCTGGGGACAGGAAGGAGGAAGTGAGTGAATCCAAGAAGATAGAGTATGCAGAGCCTAGCTGGGATAGGGCAGGGGAGACAGGTAGACAGAGACAGAGACAAAGAGAAAGTGAGTCAGAGAGGGAATGCGAGACACAGAGAAGGAGAAAGTGAGACGGAAAGAGAACTCAAGACAGAGAGGAGAAAGTGAGATGGAAAGAGAAAGTGAGACAGAAAATCTGAGGCAGAGAGTGAGACGAAGAAAATGAGACAGAAAGAGAAAGTGAGACAGAGAGAAAGTGAGACACAGAGAGGAGAAAATGAGAGAGACAGAGAAAGTGAGACAGAAAGTGAGAGAAAGAGAAAGCAAGACAGAAAGTGAGAGGTAGAGGTAGAAAGAGAAAGTGCGAAGGAGTGAAAGAGTGAGAGCGAGACTGAGAGAGACCGGGCGAGAGCATTTTGTTAGGCTTTCCCAGAGAGTGCCCTGCTGTCTCGGGAGAGAGAACAGTCCTGCCCTCACTGTGCCTCTTCTTTCCCACCTCAGCCTCCAATCTAAAGAGCCCGGAACCAAATTCACTCAACCAGGAAGGAAATACAATCTTAACTGGAAGGAGTGCAGAAGAACTCTCAGCAGGGACTCTCAGTTAGAGCCTGACTCCCAGTCTGGTGACACTGTCTCTCGGGCTCTGCCAGAAAGACTAGGAGGCCAGTTGGCACAGAAGAGCTGAAGTGATTTCCTCTTGCTGTTTGCTTGCTGATCCTACAAGCCTAGCTGTACTTGGTCTCTTTGGCGGTGGTAGCTAGATGTGGGCAGCAGTTTCTCCTCATTCCTCACTCAGTCACTTGAAGACCAGCTTAACGGTGCCCTCCTCACCCCAAGACCCCAGCACCCGGCTATGCTCTCCCTGGAGGTCTGGGTGTGGGACCTCCTCTGAGCTCAGAGCTGCCAACTGAGTAGCAGCCTCTTTTCTGTGATTTGAGGGATGGCACTTTAAGACTCTGCCTCTACATTCTTCTGTCTTATTGATCCCAACCTGATCTCATTGGTCTTCAGCCTTTAGAAGCCTGGAAACTTCCTGTAGTGGTTACCCTAACCTCTGCATCTTTTGGATCTTTCAATTATTCTCATTTTTTTTGTTTTGTTTTGGGGCCACACCTGGTGGTGCTCAGGGTTTACGCCCAGTTCTGAGCTCGGGATCACTCCTGGTGGACTCAGAGACCATACGAGGTGCCACGGATTGAATCCAGGTTGGCACGTGCAAAGCAAGTGCCCTACCTGCTGTTCTATTGCTCCAGCTCCCACAGTGATTTTTATAGTTTCATACCCATGTAGCATTTCATCCTAGGGTGTTCTCTCTGCTGCAGGTCTGTCTCTGTGGAGCCTGGCTGATTCAAGCACCAAGTCCCTTTTCTGAGTTTCTTTCCTGGGAGAAGCCCCAGTATGCAACAGCAAGGGGAGATTTCATTTGAAATGCAAGTCCTGATGTTGATTATTACAAGGGACAGGGTGTTTATTTCTTTGCTTAATTGAGGTTGAGTTTGAAACTTAAAATATTGACAGCTCTTCGGAGAAGCAGAAAGGCTATGACATTGCCGGATTAATTGCTTGGAGCAGGCACAGAATATTCCCCGGGATGCAGACTCTGGCTGGAGAAGAATGCTAACTGGACTGATGTTCTACTCTTGTTAGTCTGCAAATAACGAATCTTGGGCCTGCAAGAAAGGGGAATTTGACCAGGAGTTTTGTGCTAGGCATTGGCAGGATTGAAACTTTTTATAGTACAGAAAATTCATTGGCAAACTTTCACAATTCGGTCCCAGATTACCATAGAGAGGAAGAGAGCAGGAGGAAGACAGAGCTGTACCACCCACTTTAGACCCCATTGTTGGTATCTGACTGTCGGCATGGATCAGACGAAGGAGTGAGAAGGGTTACTGTGAGCAGCCCCCAGCTCCTGGTTGCCTGAACCATTGTGCACTTGGACCCACCAAGTGCTTCCAGGGTTTGAATGAAATATGCAGTCACTGGGGCTGGAGCGATACCACAGAGGGTAGGGCATTTGCCTTGTATGTGGCTGACCCAGGTTCGATTCCCAGCATCCCATATGGTCCCCTGAACACCGCCAGGGGTAATTCCTGAGTGCATGATGCAGGAGTAACCCCTTTGTATTGCCGGGTGTGACCCAAAAAGAAATAAATAAATAAATATGCAGGCACCTCTGGCATGGTGAGGTGGGAGGCTGTGTGTGAAGAGTTTCGGCATGATTTCCTAAGTGACTGGATATGAAGTGAAGGTTTGAAGAAAGAGTGAAAAACACATGATTGACTGAAAAAAGTTGGGCATCTGAATCTCCAGAAAAGAATTAGCTTGGTTATTGCTCCTAATACTTACTAGCGTTGCAATCTTCTTCTCCCGGATATAATTCTCAATGGCATCATTGTTGGGTGCAAACACTGTGTAAGTGTCAGCTGCCTCGATGGCGCTTGCTAGATTATATTGCTGCGATGGAAGGAGACAAGGGTCTGTGAGGGATTTCCATTTGCAGGGAGCCCAGGCATGGGGGTTAGGCCAAGAATATGGTACTTGCCACGATGTAGCCTCGGAAGATGGAATAGTCGGGCATCTGCTCCAGCCTCGTGAGCAGGTTTGGTAAGGAGCCACTTAAACCTCTTTCGGGAACCAGAACCTGGGAATGGAGGCCCCCAAATGCTGTTAGCATATGTAGGTAGGATGTGCTGTTAGCATAGGTTGGTAGGATGTACTGCTCTCTAGTACATAGATTTATTCTGTGTAACAGTAGACAGCTCTGAGGCACACACAATTCCAGAGAAAAGTCCATGACTATTTAAAACAAGGTACTTTTTCCTCTGCTAGATTGCAATATAAAGAAGACAACATGGGTCGGGGAGTGAATGGGCAAAGTACCTTTACCCAGGACACAACTGGTACAACTGTGCTTGGTGGCCCTGATGTAGCCAGGGATCCAGGCCCAGGGAGAAAGGGAACCAGTGCAACTTAGGAGCTAAACAGAGAACTTAAATCTGTTGACACCCATCTATCAATCTTCTGTGTTCACATGCCTCTTCTCTCCACCTACTTTTTCTTTTTTTCTTTTTGGGTCACACCCAGCAATGCACAGAGGTTACTCCTGGATCTGCACTCAGGAATTACTCCTGGCAGTGCTCAGGGGACCATATGGGATGCTGGGAATTGAACCTGGGTGGGGTGCATGCAAGGAAAACACTCTACTTTCTGTGCTATCACTCCAGCCCCCTCTCCACCTACTTTTAAACAAAAAATTATTTTATTCTGGGACTGGAGCAATAGCACAGTGAGTAGGGTGTTTGCCTTGCACGTGACTGACCCAGATTCTATTCCCAGCATCCCATATGGTCCCCCGAGCAGTGCCAGGAGTAATTCCTGAGTGCATGAGCCAGGAGTAACCCCTGTGCATTGCCAGGTGTGACCCAAAAAGTAAAAAAAATACTTTATTATTATAAGGTTTTTTTCACAATAATTTATTACATTCAATGTTCCAATACCAAACTCACCACCGTTACCCCTTCCCCACCACCATTATTTTGAATTTTCCCAACCGCCACCCAACCCTACCCCAATAGCGGACCCTAAATGATTTATTTTGTATTGTTTACTATGAGTAATTCTCTAAAAATAGTTAACAAAAGTTTTTTTTAGAAGAAAGTGTATGAAGATTGTTGTATCTCATCCTCAGCCATCGAGCCTTTATAAAAAAGATTACTAACATGTTGTTACAGGTTGAGCCTTGTGTAGTAAGATTTTTTAAAAATTGAGATTGGTTGTATCCTAATGTCTGGTACTCCTGGTACATTAGCGGTAAAGAGAATGAGATGTTATGTGGCTGCAAATGGGGCTAATCCAGGAATTCTAAAATTCTAAATTCCTGGAAATCCAGGAATTCTAAAATTTTAAATAAGGTGATAGAGCTGGAGTTAAAATTTTAACTGGTTGGTGACTTTGGGATCTGAGACATCTCTGCAGCTTGTGTCTCTCTTCTGAGATTTATTGTGAATCTTTGGATCATGGCTGGCGAACAAGTTTCAATGGCACCAGAGACAGTTCCTGTATGTGACTGCCAACCTCCCAGAAGAACAGCGGAATGGGGGGAGGTCGCTTGTCTCCAACTCTGTGAGAGTCTCCCTCCAACTACTTAACCAAGAGGAGTCTTTATTATCTCCTTTGGGAAGTGAGGTTGTGTAGAACAAAATGTAGATGAGAAGGAGAGGACATTTTATGCTTTTTTTAAAAAGGTCTATTAATGCTTTGGATAGCCAGAATTGGAAAGAAAAATATCCTCAATAATGAATGTTATTTTGCATTGTATGAAGTCATAACCCCACATAGTTCTTTGCAAGTGATCATTAAGCTAAAAATCTTTAGTTAAAAATGTTATTTCTCTTGGTGTTAATGTCTTTTGGCAGTACAAGTGAACCGCAAGCAAAGTTTTTGCAAAATAATGCACCCAGGAGTCTTTTTAAGTAAGCTCTAATTTTTTTTCCTGAATAGAAATAGTTGACCTTTTCTGAAAGACAATTTTTAAGAAATAAGTGTCTATTGAGAATGATTTTGGATAAAATGCAATGCAATTAGTTCATTCTTTTTAACTCTTCCACCTATGAAAAGTTGCCTGTAGGCCCCAATTTCTAACTTTGATTTTAAATAAAAATCTTAATATAGCATCAGAAAATTACAGGATAACCTAAAAATCCATTAAGCTTCCCTCCTTCTCATTTTTTACCTTTGAATGCTATTGAATTGCATCTTAGAAAAAATTAAAATGAAAATACCATACTTTTCTCTCTCTTTCCCATAGGGCCGTCCCCATTCTATCTTGCTAGGGACAATAATGCTGAGGGAAGGGTACCTTGTTTCAAGCTCTTGATTTGATCTCTCCTAATTCACTCCCAATGCCACAGTGCTCAGAAGTTCTAACAGGAGTTCCCACAATTAAGAACTAGAACATGTGGGGCTGGAGCGATAGCACAGAGGGTAGGGAGTTTGCCTTGCATACGGCTGACCTGGGTTCGATTCCCAGCATCCCATGTGGTCCCCTGAGCACCGCCAGGAGTGATTCCTGAGTGCATGAGCCAGAAGTAACCCCTGTGCAACTCCAGGCATGATCCAAAAAGCTAAAAAGAAAAAGAACTAGAACATGTGTGGCCACACAGGCTCAAGGGCACCTGGCAGAGTCCAGGCTAAGGAAATTGAACCAAGTCTGAGTACCTTGGTCGAGTCTCAAAATGGCTTTAAAATAAAAGTAAAACAAAATAAAAATAAAATAAGTAATCAAGCACAATATGTGCTACTTTGCTATTAAGGCTAAATATTGTCCTCCTGACCCCACCCCAAAGGACACTGTACAGGAAGATAAACTGCCAAGCGAGAAGAGTTCTTACCTTGTTGATGATGTGGATCACTCCATTGGTGGCTGCATTGTCACCGTCAATGATGGAAGCCCCATCCAGTGTGATATTCTGCAAGAGCAAAGCACAGGAGAAAGAGGACTGAAGTTTCCCTAGAGGGACAGGCACCACTCTGGGATTTTGCATTTTTGAGTAGCAGGGACCATCATCTTTGGGACCATAAAATAACTTTTACTTGTGACCTGTTAGACATCACACACACACACACACACACACACACACACACACACACACACACCCCTATGAAACACAATTAAATCAACACTTTCATTTCATGATGGTATGGTAAAGGCACTTTGATCATTGATTCTATGCCACATTATTCTCTTTCCTTAAAAGCAGTGTCCGAAGCTCACTAAAGTGGCCCAGAGTTTGTCGAGTACTGTGAGTAGACCCTTCACAATGCCCCCTTACCCCATCTGTTTTAGCCAGGTGGAGGAAGTTGCCTTGCAAAGACGTTGCCAGTGTGTCAGATGAGGACAGAGTCATCAGATCGGTAACTCCATACATTCCTGGGACCATATGGTGCCTGGAACAACAGTCCACAAGGACCTTGAGAGATCCACGCGTAAGGTAGAGCCATTGAATCTTCAACACACTTGGTTCTGCAGTTACCAGTCATGGAACTTCGGGTTAAGCCCAGCACTATAACTTGTATTTCTTGCCATTTGTGGGCCTAATTAAACAAACCCCAGTTTCTTTCAATAAATGTAAATCTATTTTTAAAATTATCAATAAGCAAATTAATTTTCAACTCTAAGGAAGTTCTCCCCCCCAACTCACCAAGTCAATTTAACATACTAGCATACATATTTGATGGTACAGTCTGTCCAATGTGATAGCAAAGTGAACCATGGGTGGGGCTTTCCAGGGTCAAATATTAATTGTTCTGTGCCTCAGTTTCTACATCTGTAAAATGGGACCATGTTGTTTATCTCCCAGGTCTTTGGGGAAGGTTAACTGAGTTACCTGTAAAGCAGCTAATAAGCATGCTTGGCACAGAGCTGATAGTAGTGTCAACTGTTACCACCCTGAACATCCTAGAATGTGCTCAGTTCCATGGAATTGAGAGGATGGTTGTTAGTTTTTCATGGACCTTATCCACACCGAAGCCAGAAAGCTCTCATAAAGAAGAAAGTGCATACTACCTACTTTATTAGGGTTGGAATATTGCTCTTGGACAACCAAAAGTCTTTCTCGTCTTGGTCCATGTCCTTAATAGCTTGCCGGGAAGGCACGAGGACAGTGAGGTTGGAGGCGGCAGACAGCAGGCTTTGGAGAGATGCATTCTGAACCAGAGAAGGGAGAGAGAGCTGGGCTCAGGTGATGAGACGGCAGGGCTGACCCATGGGATGAGATTTCATGGGTGATGGGAAGGTTCTAAGGATCCTTTTTGCGGTTGGGGAGGGGCGACTGCTTCAAATTAATTTCTGAAGCTGATTCCTCTTATTTTAATGTATGAACATTGCCGAAAGGCAAATTTTCCTCACTGGGCCACACTTTGAGTCATTATCAGTCATTTATCCTCTAGTACCAATGAAGAGTCAGAGAATAGTCTTTTTTTTTCTTTTTGGGCCACACCTGGCGATGCACAGGGGTTATTCCTGGCTCTGTACTCAGGAATTACTACTGGTGGTGCTCAGGGTACCATATGGGATGCTGGGAATCGAACCTGGGTTGGCTGCATGCAAAGCAAACACCCTACCTGCTGTGCTATCACTCCAGTCTCAGAGAATAGTCTTGAGAGAATCAGGAGTATGTGTAGAGATTTGACACTTTTTGGATATTTCCAAAGTAAGGCTGTCGGGGAAGCTCCCCATGAGCAGTTTCAGTGTGGGAGGAAGACCAGAAACCTGAAATCCAATCTCACTCACCCATGTTTCATTCTTACCTAGGTCAGAGTCAGTGCATGCTTAGGCTTTACGGCCAGTTCTCCAGAAGGAAAAACACAAAAGCCTTGCACTGGAGCATTTGCTGATTTGAGGGGAGCAAAGACTCTGCACATGATTGATTTTGAGATACCAGCATAAATTTTGGTTGGTTAAGTGGGGTTGGAGAAAAACCAGGAAAGGAAACAGTCCTCTGTACTGTGCTTGGCTGAGAGCTAAGCACATTCAAACAATCCCAGGTTGCAACTGGACATCCCAAATCCAGAGGATCACATGAGCTAGGCTGAGCTGGGTCCAGTTCATCACTGGGCATGGGTGGGTATGTGGATTTGGTCTCTGTGTAAATCAGGACACATAGGACTGGGTGTCTGTTTTTTTCTCTAGTGGAGTTTACAAGATCCAACATAGAAATAAAGGGAGCTGTCCTGGAGTCGGTGCTAACATTGACCTGGGCTAATGGGAGCTGCACCGCACTGTATCACCATAGCACTGTAGCACCGTAGCACTGTTCTTTCATTGTTCATCAATTTGCTCGAGCAGGCACCAGTAACATCTCACAACAAATTGTGAGACTTGTTGTTACTGTTTTTGGCATATTGAATACATCACAGGAAGCTTGCCAGGCTTTGTCGTGCAGGTGAGATACTCTTGGTACCTTGCTGGGCTCTCTGAGAGGGGAGGAGGAATCAAACCCAGGTCGGCCAAGTCAGCCGCATGCAAGGCAAACGCCCTACCCGCTGTGTTATCAAGTGATATCTAATGGGAGCATGTATCTAATGGTAGCATGTATCTAATGAAAGAGGATGAAGCATGAATTGTGGTGTTGGTCGATTGGGCTTTCCACCCAAAGAGAGCAGAGACACAGAAAAGTGAATAGAGTGGACACTGGATTCTTTATTACACAATTTTTGTAGGGAAAGGGAAAAGCTCTTTGTCCTATGATGGGCTGAGAATTCAGCACATACAAAGAATCCCAGGTTGCAAGTGTACATCTTAAAACTAGGGGCTGGAGCTATAGTACAGTGGGTAGGGCAGTTGCCTTGCCCATGGCTGACCCAGGTTCAATCTCCAGCATCCCATATGGTTTTCTGAGCTCCCTCAAGAGTGATTCCTAAGTGCAGAACCAAAAGCAACACCAGGTGTGTTCCAACAAACAAAGAAACAGAAAACCAAATAAAAAAATAAATCCAAATCTAATTTGGTGAATGAGAAATGATGTTGGAATTTTAAGAAATAGCTGGGATGAAGAAGTCATGTTTCTAAATTTGCAGTAGTTGAGAAGTTATTCAACCCAGTTTTGCCTTGACCAGAATTTTGTAGCTGAGGTTTCCAGTTAGAATCACCTGGAAAACTCAAAAAAATGTATGGATTCACTAGGGAAAACCTTCAATAGATCCAACTGGCAGAGGTCAGAGGAAGGCAGGGAGATGTATTCCCCGTGCTTCTAACATGTCAGAGTTTTGAACCCCTACTCAGGACACAGGCTCTCCCTCCTCACCAGCTGTGTTTCCATTTTTCTATGAAAGGAATCCCAAATTTCCAAAATGATCCATGTTCCCTCCCTAAGTTCCAACAAAGGTACTCACATTTATCCACTGGTTAAATTGAGCTGCCTCGGAGAGAAATAGCAACTCCTTATTCAGATGGTTCAAGGGCAGGAGGGAGCGTTGAGAGAGAACACAAGAGAAGGAACAATGAGACATATAATCATGGTGCATTTCTGGGGACCAAGTGCTTAGCTCCCGAGGCGGGGTGGTGGGGGGGCTGACTGGGAGCATTTGCATCGCCAATGGATGCCAGCATGAATATGGTAAATTTCCATGTGGTAAGAGCTGTTCTTTAAATGCGTTTTCTTTCTCCAGTGTTTCTTTGCGTCTTTCATGCTAAGGGGGTGGCTTACCTTGTCTTTTATATAAAGAAGTATTTATGGGGCTGGAGAGATACTACAGGGGTTGATACTACACTTCACTTGCATATATTCTTCCTTGGTTTAATCGCTAGCACCAAAGGGTTCCCCGACTCCTCCAGGAATGACCCCAACTCACAGCTGGGTGTGGCCCCCAAACAAAAAGCCAGAAAGCAATTCAAGAGACTTCAAAGAGAGCCACAGATTTTATCCCCTAGAGCAATTCCACAGGAGAATGGGGTTGCAAGAAGGCAACCTTTCAGCCACTCAGCCTTGTGGAGGCTCTCAGAACTTAGTAAGCTGTCGGCCACTTTTCTCTGAGTCCAGAATGAGAGAAATCTCAGATTACAGAGCAAACTTTGGTGGTTTTCCTTAGAATTTGGCCAGTTTCCTGAAAGAAGGGAATTCTCTGGGCCTCCACATTCTCCTTTGTTATATTGGGGCGACGAATGCTCCGATTCACAGAGTAGATGGGAGAATTAGAAGAATTAACACTTTTTTTTTTAATTTTTGGGTCACACCAGCGATGCACACATCATTTGTTTGTTTTTGTTTTGGAGGCTACACCCAGCATGCTCAGGGGTTACTCCTGGCTCTGCACTCAGGAATTATTCCTGGCAGTGCTCAGGAGCCCATATGGGATGCCGGGGGTCGAACCACATGTGCAAGACAAGTGCCCGACTTGCTGTACTATCGCTCTGGCCCCCGAGAAGGAATTTTAAAGGCAGCCCAGCCACAGGCACTCTTTGTAGAGCTCATCCTGGTGCTCCTGTGTGGGAGCTGACTTACCTCGGCAGCGTCTCCATAGCACAGAAGTCCATCTCCTTCATAGCCCTCTTGACAGACACAGTTCCAGAGGCCAGAAGGGGCCCGCTGACAGGTTGCCTGACAAAAGGAAGGGATCAGAAGGGGTCTTCATCTCTAACTAGAGAGCCCCGGGTCAGTTTCATTCAGGGAACATCAGGCCCTGTCTGAGAGGACAGCTGCCAACTGGGGGCTGGAATTAGGTGGCAGTAACTTGCAGACACCATGGAGCCATGAAAGACACGTCTGAGTGTTTGCCGCAGATTGAATCGAATCACAGTTAAATTCTGTTTTCTTCTGAACCAGAGATAATAGACCAGGGCACGCTGCTGCACTTGAATTTCAGATGAATGATGGATCAGTTTTAGGATATAAATACATCTAGGCAATATCTGGGGAAAATGATTCAGGGTGTGTGTGAAATTCAGTTTTAGCTGGTATCCTGCATTTTATTGGATTACCATGAATTGGTTCTTTCACTATTTAGAATGACATGGAAGCTACAATAATGTCTCCCATCGGTGACATCAGGGAAAGGTTTGACTTAGGAGAAAGGCACTGTAAAGATAGTGGGCATCACCCACTGGGAGAATGACTTTGCTTTATTTATTTTTTTCTTTTTGGCTTTTTAAAACTTTATTTCAACATAACTATGCTTACAGAAATACACACATACCGGTTAATAGAATGCAATTTAAGTTTAACTTATCCTACACAGTTTGAACCAAAACCTTGGTACATGGTTTAAGCTTTTTTTAAAAATTTAATTTATTTAATTAATTTTTTTTCCTTTTTGGGTCACACCCGGTGATGCACAGGGGTTACTCCTGGCCCTACACTAAGAAATTACCCCTGACAGTGCTCAGGGCACCATATGGTATGCTGGGAATTGAACCACATGCAAGGCAAATGCCCTACCCACTGTGCTATTGCTTGAGTCCCGGTTTAAACTTTTCAAACAAGGATTTGTAATCTAATATTTCATCTCTTACATATGTATATAAAAGATCCTCCATCATATGCTGCTAAACCCAGCAGCAATAACCTTGAGAAATTGACCTTCGGTTTGTCTCTGAAAAGTAACATGCATTGCACTGTAAAAGTTTATAAAATTGGGGCAACAAAACATTGCTGTAATGTTTCAATGCCAGTTTATAAAGTTTATTAGTTAATGGATGTTGAAAGGGTGGGGAGAGGCTATGTACATTATAGAACTGTAAAAGCTATTTCATTTAGTTAATATTGCATGTAGCTCACAAGCCTACACAATCCAAGATTCAGATAATTCCTTGAATCTGAATTAATACTATCAGTTCAGTTCTTCTGCTGAGGTCAACAAGGGAACTTCACACAGTTTTCCTCACTTATATACCCTGCCACAGAGGCAGGGTGGGATGGGGGGACGGGAGGTGGGAGGGATTCTGGGACCCGTGGTGGTGGAAAATGGGCATGGGTGGAGGGATGGGTGTTTGATCATTGTACAATTGAAACCCAAGCACAAAAATTTGTAAATCTACAACTGTACCTCATGGTGTTTCACTAACAAAAATTAAAAAAAAGTAAGTGATGGAGAATGGGAACTGGTGGAGGGATGGGTACTGGATCATTTTATAACTGAAACCCACGCACAAAAATTTGTAAGTCTACAACTGTACCTCATGGTGTTTCACTAATAAAAATTAAAAATAAATAAATAAATAAAATCAAGAGCATAAACAAAACAAAACAAAAAAATCAAAAGAGAAAATTTTCTTCCCTAACTTTCCAGCCCAGAACTGATATACTACACTCAAGGTATTCACTCCTTTCATTGTCAACATTCATGGGATAACATCTGATGAGGTCTACTTGGGTTTAAATTTGTATTAGCACACGTATGCTAATTAGTCCTCAGAGGTAGAGACCACATGACCTTTCTAAAAAATAAAATGGTCCTTTCTTGAAAGACTAGAGCAAAATATCCAGTCAGTTATGACTTTACTTTAAATATGGGGTTTGGAGTACTCCCCAGATAGAGAGAGAAACTTCACAATTTAGGAAAAAGAGACAGAGGCAGAGGCGAAGAGAAAGCGAATGCATTGAAACGAGCAAGATGAGAGATTGCATGGACTTGGGGGCTAAGACACTGCCTTGGGCCTGGGTCTTTAGACTCTGGGGATCTTGGGAATCTCATTGTATTTCCTGTTTAAAGCTTCCAGGACATGTCCTGGAAGGCTCCAACACATTCCTTGATGGTGATTAGTCAGGTTGATTTGTGTGGATTCTGTTACTTGTAATCAAAAGCACTGTGGTGAACTCATCACTTCTGGTGATGGGTCTTAGTTTGTTCTTTTGAAAACATCCGCAAGACCAGTTCCAATATCTTCGCCTACTGTTCCATAATTTAGATGCATTACCCTGTACTTTCAATGGGCATTTTCACCATTACTCCTGGGTAAGTTCTATGATGACATTCAGTCAAATGGGAGTATAAACAAAATGAAAATACAAATAAAAGACTAGAAACCAACTAAAATATCAACTTTAGATAAATTAGAAATGCTTTTTAACATAATTATCCCTTGGTAAATATCTAGAACATCCTTACATGAACGGATTATTTGTTATTTATTTGAAATTTGCATTTAACCAGGAAACCTGTCTTGTCATTCATATGTTGGCTCTTCCTAACTTTGGGATGGAGTGAAAGTTGCAATAAATACATTCTGCTTAGGGATGACTTTTGGGAGTAAGAGATCTTATTTGTTAATAGATTCAGGGGATAAATAATTTAGGCTTTTTTCTCTCTCAAGTACCTTTTTAAAATGAAGGATAAAAGAAACTCACCAGAGGATGGCACATCCAAGTTTGTTCCAAGCATGAAGTTACTGGTTCACAATCAATCCCATTGCCATGAAATCCTTTTTTGCATTCACACTCATTCTGTAATTCCAAGCATAATCAAGCAGATAACTGAGAGCAACAGACTCCCATGCCTTGCTTACAGGAAGTGTTGGAAAGTGAGCTATGGAAATTGGAGCTGTTCAACCCTCTAAGAACTGTATTTGCATCTTTTGCTTGTTATGCTTGTAATTCCATGGAGTCTGGCCTCCATGTTCTAGCATACCTTTCCCAGCTGGACAGTTTCTCAGTATTTTTCTTTTTGGGTTCCTTACCCCCAAGGATTTAAACAGCATCTTTAAAGAGAGAACTTAGACCATCAAGAGCATCCCAAGGCATGAATTGGTCCCTTCATGTCGGAGGGAAAGGTTACATAGCACAGGGTCATGGCTAGTTTGTAAAGTAACTCATGTAATTTAGAACAGGTATCTGCTCTGTACAAGTGAATCTGAATATAGCGCTACCTTTATTTATTTGTTTATTTAACTATTACTATTATTATTTTTTATGTCACTGCTGGCAGTGCTCAGGGGCTACTCCTGGCTCTGTGCTCAGTAGTTACCCCTGGAGGTACTCAGGAACCATATGTGGTGCTGGGGATTGAATTGGGGTTAGCTGCCTTAGGCCAGCAACTCAACTCCATGCCATCCCTTCGACCCTAGGTTTGTCTTTTAAGGAAAGGGTAAGGAGGGTTATTGCATATACAATATCGGGTCCCCCAATTTCTCCGAGGCAACCCTGGATATAATCTGCTTAATTGTTTTTATACAGCACTAGGAAACGATCTTTCTCCCTCTGCCTTGCAGTCAGCACCTACAACACAGGTTACAGTGGCACCAAGCTCATGCTTGCTGTGGGCAACGATGAACAAACAGCAGCCAGCTACAACCCAGGGGCTAGCGGGGTAGGAGGCTGCTGTAAGAACTCCCCAGCCACCCTACCCCCTTACTCTTGGCCGCATTCCACCTACCTGTCCGGGGCCCACATACAGACAGGTGGCATTGGGGTGGCAGCCACCCCTGGTCGGCAGCAGGCACTCGTTGATCTCGGAGCAGTCCCTCCCATCCCCGGTCCAGCCCTGCTGGCACACACAGGTGTGGGTCCCGGAGCCAGTCGGAAGGCATTCTGCCTGCGGGAGAGAAGAGACTCCCTGAACGACAGATCCCCGCTGATCACAAAAGCAAAGCAAAATTCTCCAGGAGTGCACAGAAACCATCATTAACAACATTATAATTTATAGAACCTCAATAAAAAAAACACACACAACAAAAATCAAACCCAATGGTTTTCCATTATTCTGACGATGCCTTTGATAATATCCCTGCTCTTCAGTTTCCTCATCAATAAAATGGAGATAGCAACCTCTCCATCACTGGATTACTGTTGGAAAGAATGAAGGAGACTGGCTTTGTTACTGGGGCTGGGACGGTGGCTTAGAGTTAAGGCATGTGTGAGGTCTGGTTTTGAGCTCTGGCTAAAAAGGGTCTATTACTAGTGATCACAATATCTGATTTTCAGGTTGTCCCTTTTAGAGACCAAAATTTCTTCAGTCCCATATATGTGGGTCTGGGATACCCCAACCCCACACATGTGAATTCAGAAAGTGATTATAAGACCTGTTTTTTCTGCTTGCAAGCCTTCCTTCCTTCCTTCCTTCCTTCCTTCCTTCCTTCCTTCCTTCCTTCCTTCCTTCTTCCTTTCCTTCCTCTCTTTCTTCCTATTGATTAAGGTTCTGTGATTCTCAGTATTGTTCATCTGTTAATGATGGTTTTCTGTGCACATAATTTCAACACCACGCCCTTCACTACTATATCCACCTTCTTCCCCCAAGGACCCCCAGCACCCTCCCTTTCAGCCCTCCAGCTCAGTTACATGGATCCCATTGTGTTGGTCTGCTTGCCTGGCATGCAGGGGCTCTAGGTTCACTCCCTGGTACAACATAGCACCCTGATGGGTGTCTCCTAGACCCCAATAAACTGAAACACCAGGTTTGAATAAATGTGCTCAGCCATGAATAGCCATCTTGCACAGTCTTTGGAAATGCTCATTTAGGATTTATTAAAAACAAACAAATGAACAAACAAACAAACAAAACAGCAGCTTTACAATGAGGACCAACACTCACATTGGGGCTACAGCCCTCTGGGACCAATTCCATGCAAGGATCCATCTCCAAACAGATGCTTCCGTCTCCTCTGTATCCTGCTTTGCAAACACAGCTGCAGAGGAGAGCAAGGGCGCGCAGTCAGACCGGGGTGCCTGCAGCTGGAGCGAGCAGGACGGGGCAGGGTTTCTAGTCTAGTCTGGGGGGCCACTAGTCCACATGATGGCACGTCTGGGCTCTGTGGCCACACACCACTGCATGGGAACCCAGGCCCATTCATTTTTTTTTATTGAAGCACCGTGAGAGTTTAAGTGTTCAGTTTAAGTCTCAGTCATACAATGATGAAACACCCGTCCCATCACCAGTGTGCCCATTTTCCACCACCGAAAACTCCAGTATCCCCCCCACCCCACACCCTCCCCCTATCTGTGTGGCCAATGATTTCCACATTACTCTCTCTCTCTACTTTGATCACATTCAATATTTCGACACCAAACCCACCATTATTATTTGGGATTTTACCCCAACACTCAGATCTGCTGAAAAGGCAACATTAGACAATTTGTTTTCTATTGCTGATTATGAATTGGATATGGTGATGTGGGGGCCGCCGCGAGTTTGGAATTCTGAAGTTTTAATAATTAAAACTGGAGGGATTTCTGCCAAAAGCCACTGTGTTCTGAGCTTTGTTTTTGGGATTATGGCCTATAAGCAGTTCGATCAGCAGCCAGAGGGCTTATTTGTGGGTGGCAACTCGGGGTCTCATAATGGTGGGAGAGGAGGAGGAAAGGCCAACTCTGCCCCTATCCCATGAGGCCCCACGTTCCTCGTCACCGTGAGCCCCTCCCTGGCTGTCCCTAGGGCTCTGGAAGATGGTGGCTGCGACCTAGCCTCCAGGGAAAACAGGTCAAGGACCGAAACCCATTCTCACCTGGGGTGGTCTGGCACCGGAAACCTAATGTGTACTCCTGACGCATTTCTTCAGGCCCATTCTTTGAGGGCTGAATTCCTTAAACTCCTCTCCTTATAAAGCAGGGGTGCACAGGAAATATGCTAAGATGGGACACTTTCGTGCTCACTAGAAGACTCAGTGTTGGCAGCTTCTCCATGCTCAGGGGGCCAGAACCTGCCTTGGCAGCACCCCACTTAATTCTTTGGGCCCAGCAGAGAACATCTCTCTATACCCTGTCCTGAAGAGAGGGGTAGATCCCTGCGGATTTGAACACGACCGTTAGCAGAGAAGTTTCTCTTCTCTTTGACAGTTCGTCAGCACTAGCACACATACACGTGTGTGTGTGTGTGTGTGTGTGTGTGTGTAGAGGGAGGTGGTGTGTGGGTGTTTTTTTGTCATTTTCTCCTGAGAGCCAGCATCCATTGTTCCTGGACAGTTTCCCTTTTCAGACACTGCTCATCCCCTATTCCATCTCAGCACTTTCTATTCCATGGGGCTCCCTTCACTCTATTGTCCAGGCATCTTTCAGCTAGTGACTGGACACTCCATGATTCCATCACTGTTATCCCCTCCTCCTGTCATGATGGCACATTTAGCTATAGGTGCGTCCCGGACATTAAGAAAAAAATATTTCTCAGAGGTCAGAGAGATAGCACAGTGGGTAGGGTACCTGCTATGGTCCTGGGCACCCCATGTGGTCTCCCAAACCTGCCAGGAGTGATCCCTGAACAGAGAGTCAGGAGTAAACCCTGAGCACTTCTGGGTCTGGCCCAGCCCTCCCTCTCCGACTCCTGTAACTCCTCCCCAAATATATTTTTCATGTTTCAAATCTCCTAGAGGAATTAAACTCAGCGGGTATTCCGGGAGCATTGCTAGGTCCAGATCTGTTTGTTACCAGGTCGATGAAAAAAAGTCTCTCCTATAGTACCAACCTGGGACTCAGAACTTAGTCAGCAAACCAAATTTTGTCACAGTACACAAGAGGACTCTCTCTTATGTTTATTTATGTTAGTGCTGCCATTCTCTAGCTTAGAGGCACTGTGAGGCTTGAATTTGAGCTCTTGGAAAGGATATAAAATAATCAGTGGCTTTGTCTAGGCTCTAACCCAAGGAAATTTCACTGCATGTGCTTAGGACGTGATCATGGTGTCTCCACTGCCAGGTAAGTATAGTACAAGAGCTAGAGTGATAGCACAGCGGTAAGGCGTTTGCCTTGCACGCAGCCAACATGGCCGACTCGAGTTCGATTCCTCCGCCCCTCTCGGAGAGCCCGGCAAGCTACCAACAGTATCTCTCCCGCACGGCAAAGCCTGGCAAGCTACCCCTGGTGTATTCAATATGCCAAATGCAGTAACATCAAGTCTCACGATGGAGAGAATACTGGGTCCACTCGAACAAATCGATGAACAACAGGAGGATAGTACAGTGCAGTGCAGTGCTTAGTACAAAGTGTATTTAGCATTAAAGGAAATTAATTAAAAATATGTTTTTAATTAATTGTAACACAATGTCTTTGAGTGCAAATCATCACTATTGTGTAAAGAAAGAAAGAGCAATCTGAAAAACTGGAGACAGAACTGACTATAAGAACATTAGTGGTAGCCAAAGAGATAGTATAGAAGATAAGGCATTTGTTTTGCATGCGGCTGATCCAGGTTCAATCCCTGGCATCCCTATGGTACCCCAAGCACCGCCAGGAGTAACTCCTGAGTGTAGATTCAGGAGTAATCTGAGCGTCGCTGGGTGTGACCCAAAAAAGAAAAAAATGTGCACATATGTATATTCATGTGTAGCACTGTAGTGCTGTCCTCCCATTGTTCATGGATTTGCTCAAGCGGGCCCAGTAACGTCTCCATCATGAGACTTGTTACTGTGTTTGACCTATTGAATACGTCATGGGTAGCTTGCCAGGCTCTGCTGTGTGCGCGAGATACTCTGGTAGGGCTCTCCGAGAGGGGCGGAGGAATCGAACTCAGCCAGATCATGCTGTCACTGCCATCGAGCTCCATCTGAGGCTTTTTGCCCCACCCCACGCCCCTCAATGTGGGAGAGCAGCGGCCTGTCCCGGTGGGCGGAGACTTCAGATGTGAGTGGGGTGGGCGGAGACATCAGATGTGGGTAGGGGTCAGCCCGAGGGGCGCATGGGTCCCCGAAGGCCTACCTGGCAGTTCCGTTGCTGTATTCGCAGGTGGCGTGGACGTGACAGAACTGCACATAGGGCCCACAGGTCGACGTCTGCTCGTGACAGAATCTCCCCGTGGTGCCAACCCGGCACGTGCCGGGCAGGCAGGCCCCGTCGCTGTCCACTCTGTTATCACACGTGCCATGAATGCAGAGACACTCTGAAAGAGCAGGGGAGAGGCGTGCAGAGCTGCAGGATAGGTATGGCCCCGGGATGCGTGGGGCATGGGAGCAAGGCCCACCTCCCGTCTCCCCAGGCACCCTGACTCCAATCTGAGCTGGACCTCCTGGTGTGGGCTTTGTCTGGACACCCATGGGGTGGGGTGGTGAAGGCGGGTCATGGGGTAAAAGGGACCAAAGAGCTACAGTTTTCAGCCTCCTGGTGGTTCAAGCATTGAGTTTGGCACTTCCTGGCAGATGCAGAAGCTATTTCTCATGCCGGGCTGGCCTGCAGCTTGGCTGATATAGCAGCTCGTCACCCACCCCCCTCACCCCCAACCCCCTCGCGGTCACTGCTTAGTGGGGGTGACCACCAGCTCACATTAGTTTCTAGGGCAGCTGGTCATTTCACGGGATAGTCACAGCCTCAGCTTGGGGTGTTTCTGTCAGATGCAAGTTGCCTCGCGTTTATTAATGTTTTAATTTTATGTGACATGATTTTATGTTTTAATTTTATTAGAGCCTGGCAAGCTCCCCATGGCATATTCAATATGCCAAAAAAACAGTAACAAGTTTCACAATGGAGACGTTACTGGTGCCTGCTTGAGCAAATCGATGAACAATGGGAGGACAGTGCTACAGTGCTTTAATTTTATGCTCTGTCATTCATGCCATATTTGTTATATTCATATATAACATAATTTTATATGATATAATATAAACAGCATTTTTTTTTGGCTTTTTGGGTCATACCCAGCAATGCTCAGGGGTTACTCCTGCCTTTGCACTCAGGAACTACTCCTGGCGTGCTTGGGGGACCATATGGGATGCCAGGGATTGAACCCGGGTCGGCCACATGCAAGGCAAACGCCCTACCCACTGTGCTATCACTCCGGCCCCAGCATGTTTCATTTTTATATTGTACATAATAATGTTTATATCTACATGATATAATTTCTTTTTCAGGTTTAATTTTGGGAGGTGGATATGCCTGGCAGTGCTGGGTGATATTCCTGCTTCTATGCTTGTGGGTTGTTCTCTGTGGTGCTCAGGGAACCATGTGGTAGGAGGAATTGATCTTGGGCCCCTCGTATAAAGACTGTGCCCAGCCTGTTGAATTATCTCCCCAGGCCTCCATGATTATATGTAATCTTAGATGTACTTTCTAAGATTACAAAACCATTCGGGGGATGTCTATTGTTAATAGAACTTTCTATATGTTCTAGAAGCTTCTTGACATTTATGCCTTTGGGCTTAGAATAATCATAACAATAACAGCAATAGAGATCAATTGCCACTTTACTTACCAAAGCCTCCTTGATGCTAGCATTGTTCTGAAAAAGTGCTCTGCATTCATAAATTGTGCCAACCCCATTGGATCATTACCACCATGAACCCCATTTTATAGAGGAGAAAATAGAGGCCTAGAGATTGGCAGTCACTTGCCAAGGTCCCCCATGCTGCCAAGGGAGCAGCTGATGGGAGAGGACTGCATGGAAGGGAGGGGTGAATCTCCAAAGAAAACTTTGAGACACGTGTTCAGGGCCGGAGAGATAGCATGAGGATAAGGTGTTTACTGCACAAGTGGCTGATGGTTTCGTCTCTGGCACAGAACCAGGAGTGATCCCTGAGCACAGCTGGGGAGGATGACGCACTGACCCCCCCACTCCCACCCCATGTGTTCTCTCCATTCCCCCCCAAATAGAAGGGAGACAGTTCTTGGACCCACAGAAGTGTGGGCATGCTCAGGTCCTATCAGAAATGGAAATTTCCACCTTCTCCCTCCAGGCCTGCAGCCTCAGAGCTTCTGCAGGTGGGGCCCAGCAACCTGGAAGGTACGTGTTTGAGAATCAAAAGCCTAAGAAGGATACCCCATGATAAGGGCCTGCCCAGGTGCAGGGGCCAGGGAGGGAGTTGGTCCACAGTGCATGCTGCCTGTGGCGTGGCAGGATCCTGGGGACCCGGGCAGAGGCAGCTTTGCAAGTGTCACTTACTTCTGTCACATCGAGGTCCGTATCTCTGTGGGTCAGAGCAGAGCTGGCAGTGGGAGCCTTGGAAGCCGGCCCGGCAGGTGCACACACCGGTCCCATCAACACCGTCTGCGCACTGCGAACAAGGCAGACCCCGGGGAGGTAGGTCAGGGCGGCAGTCACCAGGGAGCCCCACCCCAGCGTCTCTGGTGCCCTGGGTCCTTGGGGTTCAGGCTCAACCCTGCGGGCAGCAGTGACTCTGGGCTTGTGTAAAGTGACGTCACATGACCCTCAGCAGTAACACAAAGACACTGGCAAGAATGGGGCCTTCAGCCAAGATCTACAATTTTAAGGGGCGTATTCAAGGGGGGTGTCACAGGGGGTGTTGCAAGCCCCCCCAGCAATGTGTCAAGGAGGAATGAAGCTGGCCTCTCTCTGCGGAGTCCTGCCTGCTTGCCCCCTGGGTCCAGCAGCAGCTCCTGCCCTGTGGTCAGCATTTCCTCCTCACTCCAACCCCCAGGCTGGTCACAGTCAGGTTTATATCTCTTGACCGACGTGCATCAGAAACCTTAGTAATGATTGGGATTTGGGGATCTCTCTCTGCCAAGAGCAGGGTGCTCACAGCAGCTCCATCCTATTCTCCTCACCTGTGGGGCCTCTCCATAGTGACTGGTGCGGCCCCCCCCCCACCCCCAAGAGAGGCATGCTTTCCATAGAGATTGCTCTGCCTTTTGGGGTTTTGGGTGACACCATGTAGTGCTGAATCTAGGACCTCAGCGCAAACAGCACAGACTGCACCCCTTGATGTCAGTTCCCGGCCCCTAGATGGGGCTTGCTCAAGAGTGCCAACTTCTCCCTTCCTGGGGCAAACCACAGTCACGTTTTTTTTTTTTTTAGCTCTGACTGCCAATGAGTGATGTTTGGGCATTTACCCTTAGCTAGGCTTTGCTGATGGGGCTTACAAGGCTATTGCTGTTAAGCACCAGTTTTGAAAAAAGTACCATAAAAATCAGAGGCCCTGAAGGGCTCACAGGGATCAGTGCTCTTCACCCTGCTCAGAGGTGTGGGGGTGTAGGAGCCAGAGAGCTGGACTGATTTCTGAGAGGCCACGGAGTCAGCCACAGAGAAGGAGACCCGGAAGCAACGCCACTACATCCTTCCCAGCACCCCCCCCCCCCCCAGACACCATGAATTATTTAAGCAACTGATGATGCTTTTTAAAAAAAAAACCCAAAAAGTTCTGGGCATAGCTGTCGTTGTACCTTCTCTTGGTATTGTAAATGAAAAATAATTTTCTGACTTAAAGGTCAGACTTGTCATTCCTGAGAAAGCATGCATCAGAGGTGACCCTGCTCACCTGTCCGTTTCCCGAGCATGGGTTCAAGAAGCCTCCAGGACACTGGATGCAGTCACGGCCATAGAAGCCTTGGCAGCACTTGGGGATCTGAGGAGCGAGACTGGGTTGTGCTTGAGATTCTCCACGTGATGTGAGTCCCCCCTCTCAGAGTGAACAGGGCCAGTGCCATCTTGGCTTTTGCAGATGATGAGACAGTCTGGCTTGGGCCATCTGCTCTCTGGAAATCTCCTGAGGGGCTACCAGGGGACACTCTGACCCTAGCACCCATGCACGAGAGAGAGAGAGAGAGAGAGAGAGAGAGAGAAGTCTGGTGTCTGGGGACTTTGAGAACCTGTGCTCGAATTTGGAAACGAGGAAGGAGAAGAGCATTTCAGAGTTCCTGGAAAACCAAGGACCATCCTGAAGAGGGAAGCCGAGTGGGATGGAAAGAATAGGTGGAAAGACCAGGAGGTCACTGGAGAGGGTGGTGACAAAGGAGGTGACCCTTCAATGGAGACTTGAAAGAGGAACTAGTCTCCCCCAAATAGCGACGAGTTCTTAGAGGGAGGAAAGGCAAGGGGACCACACGGAGGTGGACTGAGGTCAGGGATAGAGGCTGGTATATGGGCCAGTGTGCAGTGCGGGTGCCATATTTAATAGTGACAGGAACCAGGGTGGGGATGAAGGTAGGGAAGTGTGCGGATGCAGAGAAACCACCTGTGACATTTGAGGCCTCTACCCCGTAGATTAACCCATCCCAGCAGTGACCCTGTGTGGACCTGGGCAGCCAGGGCCTAGACGAGGGCCCTGAACACACGCTCCTCACCGTCACAGTGACGTTACAGTATCTAGCACAGCCGCCCCTCAGGATTCTGACTCTGCCTCTTTGAGCACAGTTGTGTGTGAAGACCATCTGCAAGAGAGTCAACAGGGAAAAACGTAGCAATCGGCGTGTCAAGCCTGGGGGAACATTCCAGGCCCATTTCACCCGATTTCAGGGGTCACAACAGCACATCTGGGTCTCAGGGTGAGCACAGTCACCTCGACAGGTCTCTGCTTCCTGGTGAGGAGAACAAGAGCAGTGCCTGGCCAACACTGGGCCAGTGTGCTGTCCCACCCACCCACTGCCCTGGAGACAGTCTCATTGACCCAGGACCCTTCCCTGCCTGCAGCTCAGCTTCCCCTTTCCAGCCTGTGGCCGTCCCTAAACTCCTATGACCTGGATGTTTGGAGCCAGGAAGGGTCCTTTTCTAAGCTCCAGAAAGATTTGACAAGCCAATGGCAACAGCCTGAAGGAGTTGGGGAGATGCCATATTTAAACCCTTCCTTCCATTTTTCGAGTCCCTGATGCCCAGATATCATGGTCTGGAATGAATATGCCTGATTCAGAGGAGGGTGTGTCTCCCCCAGCAAGGAGGGAAAAATAGAGCAGGAATAACTTCACTGAATAGTTGCTTGACTGAAGAATTGTGCTTTTACAAAGAACTTAAGCTAATTCTGCTGCTATTAATAGTAATGCCATATTGTTGTTACGCGGAGATTAAGACATTCAGGCTGGAAAGGTTAGGTAATTTACAGAAGGCTGATAAATCAAGATTCAAACCCAGATATGTGGGATTTCTTCCTATCATCCCCTCATAGAGTAAGGTAGGAATGAATCTTGTATTAACCGAGTTGCATTTAATAGCTGTTTCACTTTTGAACTCAATTTATTTACGTTTTTTTTCTTTGCATTTTTTGGCCATAGCTGACAGTGCTCATGGTTTACTCTCCATTCAGTGCTCAGGAATCAGTCTTGGCAGTATCTGGGGAATCATACGTGATGTGGGAGACAGAGTCAGGGTTTACGGGACAGGGATGGGGTGGGTTGCATCCAACTGTGCATAGGGCTGACTCCCTGGCTCTGTGCTCAGGGATTTCTCCTAGTATAATTCAGAGAACCATTGGACGTACCAGGGATTGAACCTGGGTCAGCCTTGTGCAAGGCAAGTGCCAAATCAGCTGTACCATCTCACCAGCTCTTAATATATCCCTTCCCCCTTTTAAAGACACTGTGGTTTATAATACCGTTAAAGATGGGGTTTATGCATACCATAATCCAGCACCACGCTCACCCCCACTTTCATACCATTAAAAAATGACATAATTATTATAACTTCCGGGGCCGAGATCTTCAAGCCTACTCGGATTTGGGCTGAGCATCCTCCACCCAGATCCTCCAAATTCCAGTAGGTGGGGGTCACACCCACCAACTGGCCCACTGGTGCCGTGTAATCCCATCAACGGCCAAGACTCAGAGACTATAAAAACCAGCTCCCAGAACCGTGCGGCTGCATTCGTGGCCGCGCGACATCTTATTATGATATCCTATTATCTCATTCCTACTTTGGACAAACTGGCAGGTTACCGAATGTAACCTGCTCACATGGCAGAGTCTGGCAAACTCCCCGTGGCGTACCCAATATGCCAAATACCAGTAACAATGATGGTCTCATTCTCCTAAAGAGCCTTGAATATAATCTCAGGGCTAGGATGAAGGACGTTAGTGGGGCCTGCTCGAGGCAATCGACGAATAACAGGATGATTTGTGATTTGTGATTTGTGATTTGATTATAACTCAGGTTCCATGTTTACAATATGGGCTCAGTTCCTTAATAAAGATAGAAGGCAGCAGCACCCACCCCGGAGGACTCCCCCCCTCCCCCCCCCCCCCCCCCCCCCACCGAGCAGGGCTTGGCAGTTGCCACACTCACCATGGGCTCAGCATTTGCAGGACATTTGCTCCAGTCCATCAGGGAACAGCTCAGACAAGTGCCCTGGAAGCAGACATGGGTGGTGTGTGGGAAACCTCACCAGTGGGCACAAGGGCCAGCCTGGATGGCTTCATGCCTCTTCCCTAGGAAGGCGGTTCTACTCGAGCACAGGTTCTCAAACTGGTGTGGCCTACTGCTTGCTTTTCAGAAAAACAGTCATTCAGTGTCTCCGGCGAATCTCCCTCTTCTAAGTGAATAAACAGAAAGCACCCCGTCACCCTGCCCTCTAGTTGCATCCAAGGCGACTCCCCAACTCTGAGCAGTTCTGGTGATTCCCCTTTAGCCTCTCTCCCGCACCCAGCCCTGCCTGGAGAGGAGCAAACTCAGGCCAGGGGCCTGAGAGAAGGAGCTGAGCCAACTCAGAGCAGCCCCTTCCTCTCATCCTGCAGGGACGGTCCACGGCTGCTCCGGATAGAACACTGACATCATACACGCCACAGGCCCAGTCATCCTGCCAGCTTAGCAGTGCCTGGGTTGATCAGTGGACCTCTGCCTTGCCTCATGGACTTTCTGGTGCTTCTTTTCCCACTGAATGTCCACTGAGAAAGAAGAAAAGGGGCACATGTTTTGCAGGCCTCTCCAGATCCAGTCTCTGCCTCTCTCCATGGGCTCTGGGCTCCAATGAGAGTTTAACCCTGGTACTGCACATGAGCCAAAGTGATATCGATCCTGATAGTCTATCAATCTGGGGTCCCAGGTATGGGAAAAAAGTCCGTCAGCTGGTATATTTTGGGTTCTAAGGTTTAGCACCATCACAGCAGCCTAAAATACATCTGAGTAGCTACATAAACAAAGAATATGGATTCTAAATAATTAGCATCAACCCTTGTCCAGGGACTCAACTAGCCATTTCCCGCCTCCATGATGAGAAAAATAATCAATAAAATGAAATCTATATACTCAACGGCCTCTCTCTCTCTCTCTCTCTCTCTTTCTCAATTGTTATACTCAGGGTATACTCATGGCTCTGCACTCACAGATCACTCTGGAGGTGCTGGGCAAGAGGATGACCATAAGTGGTGCTGAGGGTTCAAATGGGTTGACTACACTCTAAGCAAGCGACTTACCCCTGAACTATCTCTCTGGAGCCCATTTCTTTTCCAATACCTGTGTTTCCAAGGATTTCATGAACGCAACTGTTGAGATAATATTGAAGGGTTCTACCAAGGAAGATCCGGACCTGTTACTGTTGCAAGTTTGGGCTTATGGTTTCCATGGGAACCAAGAAAATCCCATGTTCAGATGCGTTAAAATTTGGGGGAGGGGTGTGCTCTGAGTAAAGCTGATGGAGCCAAAAGATGTTGCTATGGAAATAGAAAAGGCCAGGTGAGGGGACACCCACTCTGCAGACATCAGCGTTTGGCATTTGAAGAGAAGCCCAGAAAGATGTGTGAGTGATGGGGACGGAGATTCCATCCGAGAGGATATTTCTATTTCAAGTCTTCCTTAGGGAGCCAGGAGAGTGGTGGGTCCCAGAAAGGGTGGACACAAGAGACAGGCGCAGGGGACAGAAGGGACAGGGCATTGAGCCTCTCCTGCTGGGCAGAGCTCCCTGACCAGTTTTACATGTTCCCTTGAAATCTCAGCCTAGGAGCACCCCTGGAAAACGCGTCTTTGCAGAGGTCAGGAGTGAGATGAGGCCACACTGGCTCCAGGGGGCTCTATGTGATATGACGGGTATCCTTCCCAGAAATAAGGGGTTCCACAGTGGTGCCCTTGGTGAAGAAGGCCTGATAAGGATGGAGAGAGTAATGGGAGACCAAAGATTTTCTGGAGGCATCCAATGCAAAAATGAAGTGAGAGGTGGGGATGGGTGGAGGCAGGGATTCTTCTTCTAGAACTTTTGAGGAAAACATGAGCCTGTCAACACCCTAATTTCATCCCTTTGACCTCTGGAGTATGAGAAAAAACATTTTTGTGGTGTGAAGCCATCAGATTTGTGGCAATTGGCTACAGAAATTTGGAAAATCAATGTCCTTGGGGAGCATCTCACTTGGTGGAAATTCCTTGGTTCACTTTTTTATGATATAGCACCTCATGGCAGAGCCTGGCAAGCTACTGATGGCGTATTTGATATGCCAAAAACAGTAACAATAACGGGTGTCATTCCCCTGACCCTGAAAGTCTCCAATATGGCAGTGATGGGAAAGATGAGTAAAATGAAGCTGTTAAAATCTCAGGGCTGGGACGAATGGAGACATTACTGGAGCCTGCTCGAGTAAATCGATGAACAACGAGATGACAGTGATACAGATCCTCAGGCCTATTGGCCTGGTCACATATGAAAGCATATGCATGGTGCCAGGGATCGAACCCTGGGACTCATACACTGGGAGTCTGTGCTCTGCACAAGCCACCTCCCCGGCTCCTTTCTGCATCTTCCTGAAGAGAGAACCCCGCAGCAGGGAGCTGAGACTGCCCATATCAATCTGAAATAGAAACACAACTGGCTCCATGGGAACCCTTGTTTATTTGCGTGTGTGTGTGTGTGTGTGGGGGGGTGGTACTTAGAGTGATTCCTGGCTCTGTGCTCAGGGGGACCCTGGGTCGTTCTTGGGGAATGATCGGCTGTGCCAGGGATTTGAACAGGGATCTCCCACGTGTAAGGGAAGCCTGTAACCTCTGCGCCATCTCTCCAGCCCCCACTGTTTTATTAGCTTCTCTTACCTCTTTGATTTCAGTCTTGGTTTCATCGCAGCGGTGAGGCAGAATCGGGACAATGGAGGGTGGGATGAGGACTTCATTCAGGGTGTAAATCCGGCCATTTTTGGCTGCCACGTCGATTTCTTCTAGGGCCACCTCATTCACCAGAATCTGTCCCTGGAGGGAAGAGAGGGCCACTTTTGCTGGGATGCAGCACCAGGAGGGGCGGTGGTCTCAGAGTCGTATGAGGGAGATCTGCTCAGAGAGCTCAAGTCTGTGAGTTTGTGTGGAGGAGGGACCCCCTGCGGAGACTCTGAAGCCGGGAGGCAGGAGAGTAAGGACACCTACATTCCCGGTGGTATTGAACCGGAGGATCTGGTTGGCCATGCTCCTGATGAAAGGCGTGGAAACGAGAGAGGCCACGTCGAGCTGCAATGACAGGGGACACATGGAGACATCAGAGGCATGCACAGAGCCCGCTGAGGAGAAGCCTGCAGTGGAAAGCAAACTCTAAACGTTTACGGGATTGAAGGGATGGGAAGGACCTCGATATCACCAGCCTTTGTGACTTTGCAGGCTTCTCTGATAAATTTTCATTTCAGTTTGGTTTTTGGGCTACACCTGTTCAGGGATTCTCTGAGGCTTCAGGGATTGAACCCTGGCTGACTGTGTGCAAGGTAAGCAACCCTAAACACTGTTCTATCATTCCGACCCCCCACCCCCCTTTATTTTTTTAATGACTAAAGGTATGTAGTGTTAGACCGAAAGAACAATCATTATATACTAGCAACAATAGCAGGAAGAAAACAGGATGGGATGAGCAGGGCCAACCTGGGTAAATGGGACAATGTGGTATCTGATGAGTTCCAGAAGCTTCCGAGATCCCTGCAAAGGAATCAAAACAATTCTTTAGGCTAGAAGAAAAGGACATCTCTCCTCCTCTTGTGGGAACCTCCTCAAATGACTTTGGACAACTAGTCAAGAGAAAGAAATGATCTCTTCACTGGGAATTCCAGAGTGAGAAAGCTGCCTCCTGCAAGTGGTACCTTGCCTCTGATTGGAGCTTCCTGACAGGGTTATTCTGGAAACTCTATACGCATGTGTCAGGGGCTCCTCCCATCCTGTGAGAGGTAAGGGTGACTCCAGGCACGTCTGGTTTTATGGGGCCCTACTTTACGATGTTGCGGGTAACTGCCAGGAGTAAGCTGGCTCTGTCACAGGGATCACTCCTAGTGGGGCTCAGGCGACCTTATGGGGTACCAAAGATAGAACCCAGATTATGTTCTATAAAGCAAGTGCCCTACCTGCTGTACTATCTCTTTAGCTCCCAGTAGCAGTATTTTTTTTGGAATCAGGGAACCATAAGGGGTGCTGGAGATGGCGTGGGCTGGCCTCATGCAAGTCATATACCCTGCTTTCTGTACTTTAGCTCTGGCCCTGGATAGCTGGATTTGAAAACAAAATCCTTCTTCAACCCCACTCCCACCAAAAGAATATGATTCATTCCAGCCTCAGAGGAAACTTAGCAGTTTTTACCAATTAGAATTTTAAAATTATGGTATGTGCTCTTAAAAAAACACATGCAATTCTATTGCAGAATTAATAGATCACAATATAGTACAAGGAAATCAAAGAAGCCATGAGCTTTAAGTGATGTCCACTTCATTGCCGTGGTCTGGAACACAGCCTGCAAGATAATGAGGGTGACCTCATAGAGACACATTTTATTGTGATGAAAGTTCAGAAATTTAACTTAAGATTCTTTGCCAAGAAGTAATTCTGGCTCTCAAAGACTGGACTCTATTCAATTTTCTTTCTGAAAATCATGGTATTCCCAAAGTGGGCTATGCTACCTCCCTGAACATTGTGACATTATGTGTGTGTGTGTGTGTGTGTGTGTGTGTGTGTGTGTGTGTGTGTGTGTGTAGCCTCAGTGGTAATTGGGGGCGCATTCTCTGTTTGCATATAGAAAGAAGGTAGATTTTCTGGGGGGGATAGTGAGGGATTATTTTTCCAAAATGGGGACGCTCTGGGAGGCTACCAGCTGGATGAGTGGTCCTCACGGGGTGGCCTAAAAACCAAAAGCCAACCAACAAAACAAACAAAAAAATCACTGAAGTTGAACACTGAGTAGCCAACCCTGAGGTCATAACTTACACTCAGCCAGGTTCCTTAGTATGTGACCTTGAGCAAGTTACTTAGTCTCTGGGACTTGACTTTACTTCACAGCTAGTTTATGGTACCCAGTAGTGAAAGCTTCCAAGCAGAAGCAATATTATCACAAGCTCAGTGACAGAAGAGAAAAGGCGAGATCTGGCAACTGTCACAATGCTTCACCTGAGGTGGAGGTTCCTAGAATGCAGGGTAGGTGAGGCTTACTTAATCACTGTGTCCCCAACCAGCACAGTATAGAGGCCCACAGAATGCTCTGTGTAAATGTTTATGTTGGTCAATTAAAAGAAAGAGGCATCCCAGGAATATCGTTGATCAGGAGCTATGGCCTTGAGTTCTGATCCCGGTTCTGCTTCTGTGTGATCATGAGAGTTTAAGGAGAGGTCCAGTAATTTTCCTGCAAATGCTAGGTTTTAAAAACCTTGAGTGCATATCATATATTTGAAACCACATCCCATTTTGAAGACACTGAGGAGTCTAGCATTTTAATTGGAAATCTATGCCAAATCCTTTTATATTGTGAACATCTGTTAATGATGAAAAAGAACAATCTGAGTGACCTCGAATGCATATTTTTTAAAACACAAGTTTTCTGAAATTAAGACATCTGCATCTGTAGCTTCTAGGCAATAATGTGTAGTGTGAACCTTTAAATTATATAGGAAAACATTTTCAGAGTTCACATAAAAGAGAGTTAGTTAAAACCTAAGTTAAAAAGTTAGTTATTACAAAGTGTCTATTTCTGGGGCTGGAGCAATAGCACAGTGGGTAGGGCGTTTGCTTGCACGTGACTGACCCAGGTTTGATTCCCAGCATTCCATATGGTCCCCTAAGCACAGCCAGGAGTAACCCCTGACCATCGCTGAGTGCGACCCAAAAAGAAAAAAAGAGTGTCTATTTGTAGGTCTTATTTCAGTACCATTAAATCAGAATTGTTTGCAGTAAAGTTCTGAAAGCTGCCTACTTAATAAGACTAAGCATACTAAGAAATACTGGGAATCATTATCCTAAAAATATCTACAGAAGGAACCAGTATGACAATAATAGTTAGAAATTATCACTCTGACAAGAATTGAGTGTTGAAAGTAGGTAAAAGGAGATATATGAAAACCTTTCAGTATGTGTATTGCAAACCATAATGCCCAGAAGGAAATCTATAGAGAGAAAGAGAGGGGGAGAGAGAGAGAATAAAAGTGTTTGCCAAAGAGGGGGGTCAGGGGTGGGAAGGAAACCAGGGACACTGATGGTGAAAGGATGGGTGTTGGAACATATGACTGAAACCCAACCATGAACAACTTTGTAACTCTATTTCACAGTGGTTCAATAATAATAATATTACTACTACTACTACTACTAATTATAATAATATCTACATCCCCATATTCCCACTCTATATAGTCAAAACTGATATAGATGAAGTCATATATATTCCTGTTTTATTGCCAAGATTGTGGCATAAAACCAGGGTATTGGAAAAAATCTTGGAACTCCTCTATAATTCCATTATTTGATTCTAATGACCAGAACCATACAATTAGTTATCCTTTTCTTTAGTTTAAAGCTGTTATTTCTGAGGAGAAAACACTTTAGTTTCATTCTTTTATACTTTATTGTGAAGGAGTCAAAATCTCACGTCTAGAGGAGAATGTGAGAGAATCATAGGTTTGTTTATTTTTAATTTTTTTATCTTTAAAAATTTTGGGGGCCCAGACCTGGCAATGCTCAGGGATATGAAAATAGAGATGAAGACAACAGGAAATCCTGGAATATCTAAAAATTAACATCCATTGGCCGAGATTAGTACCAGGAATTTTACTCCATGACTTGGAAGCCAACCACACATGCTGGGGGAAAAGGGAGCTCAGATAGAGAAGGGAACACCAAATAAAGGTGTTGGGAGGATCCTCCCAGGATGGGAGAAGCATGCTGAAAGTAGACTATAGACCAAACATGATTGTCACCCATTGCCTCTTTTGCAAACCACAACACCCAATAAGAGAGAGAGAACAAAAGGGAATGCCCTGCCAGAGAGGCAGGGCGGGATGGGGGCATGGAGGGTGGGAGGGATACTGGGATCCGTGGTAGTGGGAAATGGGCACTGGTGGAGGGATGGGTATCATTGTATAATTGAAACCCAAGCACAAAAATGTGTAAGTCTGCAACTATACCTCATGATATCTCACTATTAAAAATTTTTAAAAAATTAACATTCATTTCTTTTTTCTTTTCTTCTTCTTTTTTTTTTTTTGCTTTTTGGGTGATGCCCGGCGATGCTCAGGGGTTACTCCTGGCTTTGCACTCAGAAATTATTTCTGGTGGTGCTCAGGGGACCATATGGGATGCTGGGAATCGAATTGGCTGCATGCAAAGCAAATGCTCTACCCACTGTACTATCACTCCAGCCCCAACATTTATTTCTTTAAAATTTTTCCTAGACCTGACTCAGAGCCATTGAGTTTATATTTCATTTTTTCAGTACTTTTAGAAGTAAGAGGGCTTTAAAATATTTATTTTGCTTTTGAGAAATGTGAGAAGAGCAAGCCAGATCAAACCTAACATTTAGACCTACTGTTGCATACATACGGATGCCCCTCTCTTCCTCCCCTCTCCCGATCAGATCCCCAACCTGATCAATAAGCTATACTTCCTTGGAAGTCTACAGAGGAGATGAAGCTAAATCCAGGCTTAGTTTCAGAGAACTGAAATGGATCCATGATAATGCTTAGCCATGGAAGGAGAGGTGGTTACTGGAGTGCTACCAATTGGCTATCCCTAATTGAACAGAAAACCTGGGTGACACAGACTGGTACTGATCACACAGTGATACTGGCCGGCTAGCATCAGAGGAAGTGGAATACAATACCTTTGGAGAAAGAAGGTAATTGAGAGTGTCAGGTTTCATGGCATCCAATGCTTCATTCCTTGGGACAAAAACGGTATAAGGTTCACCAGCCCCATCTTCATCCAAGGCCCGTCCCATGTTGGTTTTCTGCATTTGAGAAATGAAATTTTGTATTTACATTCTATCTCAGAGATTCAAAGAACCCGTTTAGCATTTGCAAAATTATGTTGTTCAACTGACTTGGGGCTGGAGCGATAGCATAGCGGGTAGGGCGTTAGCCTTACAAGCGGCCAACATGGCCGACCCGAGTTCGATTCCTCCGCCCCTCTCGGAGAGCCCGGCAAGCTACCGAGAGTATTGGATATGCCAGACACAGTAACAACAAAGTCTCCAATGGAGATGTTACTGGGCCCGCTCGAGCAAATCGACGATCAACGGGAGGGCCTTTACCTTTACCTTACCTAACTGACTTGAACAACATAATTTTGAGCTGCCTGGATTCACTTATATGGGAATTTTTTCAATTCCTTCCTTACTCTCGCTTTCTTTGTGTATTCAACAAGAAGATGGCAAGGATAAAGACCTTTACGATAGATCATCTGAAAATTTATTAGTAACTTTTGCTCGGGTCTACTTTACTATAAGAATGCTGTATATAATATATACAACATACACACCATGTTAACTACTTTATATTATCAGTAAGACTTCCAGTCAACAGATAGTTTAGTAGGTAAGATTTGAGGCAATGCAAAGTAATAAAAAGACTTATAACTGTTCAGGGACTGATGCTCCTAGTCCCTAGGTTGCACAGGTCAACTGTATTTATAATTGATGCCCTTGCTAATTATACAAAGAGTTGAACATAAACATATTTAAAAATTCATGGGAAGTACATACCTCTAGTAAAGATCTGAACTTGCTGTATCTTGGTTGCAGCATTGTCATTATGGTTTGCTAAAAAAGAGACAATTTGCTTTAAAATCATTAAAAAATACATATATTAACACTAAAAAGCTAATTTAAGTCAAGGTATGTGTAGTTATAAGAGGGCCTATTTGACTACAATGCATTATGTGGAAGAATTTCATATTATTGCTGAAATACTAATTAAAACTTGTAGATTTATTTGTTTTTTGGGTCACACTGATAGTGTACAGGGTTATTCCTGGCTCTGCACACAGGAATCACTTCTTGTGAACTCAGAGTACCATATGGGATGCTGGGGATTGAACCTGGGTTGGCTGCATGCAAGGCAAGCACCCTACCACTGTAAGGTCTCCTCAGCCCCAAAGCTTCTAGGTATTTTTGTTGTTGTTGTTGTTGTTACTTTTATTCATCATTAAATAGATCAGAAGAGTTAAGTTTTACCACAGGGAATAACTTCCTTGCTCCATAACACATGTATAATAAATGCTCCTTACAACTGGTTGTTTGACTGAATTGTCACGTGTGGCTTAAAAGAGAAAAAAATAATCAAGATTTCTCGACACCTAATGCTTGCCTTTGTTCTGCAGAGGCAGTCAGAATTCTCCTGAAAATGAACAAATGATCTTTTCTTCCCTATAGTTGGCTGGTAAAACCGTGATTAGTACAAGAAAAGGACAGATTCATAGTGCTGGCATGCATTTTCTTCTTGGATCTGAGTTTCCAGACAATAAAAGGATTAGGTTTGATCCCACTTTTAGGTGAGATATCTCACCTCGGTATTGCTCATGAGAGAGGGTTCCATGTTGTCCATGGCTTTGTCAAGGATGTGCAAGAGCCCATTGGAGGCAATTATATCCGACTGTATGATTTTTGCTCTCTTTTTTCCTCCAAAGAGTTTAAGCTTCAGTAAATTGTCCTAAAACACCAAGGAAAAAATTTAATTAAATTAAGGTAGGGTTTTAGAAAGAGTGAGTCACTGCATTAGAAATCTCAAGTTCTTGGTTTTACCATATATGGCTGTTTGATCTTGGATAAGCCACTTAATCAAAAATGAGATGATATAGCATGTACTTGGTGAAAGTCACAGGTCTTGTATTTGAATCAGATGAGATAATATAAGTCATCTTCAATGACGTGCAGATTCCCAAGTGGGAAAAGTAATTAAATGATGTATAGTATATTCATCACCTACTTTAATGTCTTATATAGAGGAGGCACAATCAAAAACTATTAAATGACTAAATGAATACAATCAAAAACTGTTAAATCAAAAACTGTTAAATGAATAAATATATCTCTTTATGAGAAAGGAAGCCATATTTTCCTCTAAGTCTCTCTCCTTTTGTGGATGGGAGGGAGGGGTTATACAAACGAAGGTGTTCAGCAGTGAATTCCTGGCTCTGCTGGCAGGCTCAGGGGACCATATGGGATGCCAAGGATTGAACCTGGGTTGGCTGTCCCCAGGGCAGGAACTCTACACACTGTACTATCTTTTTGGCCCTTCCTCCCTTCCTTTTTTGGGTCACTTTGAAGTGCTCAGGTCTTACTCTTGGCTCTGCACTCAGGGATCATCCTGGTGGGACTTGGGAAAGCATATGTGATACCGGGGATCAAACTGGTGTCTGCCTTGTGTACTATCTCCCTATCTGGTGTACTATTTCTCTGGACCCCTTTGACTTTTCTTTGTTTTAATCTATCAATCTAAACATCACATATAACATAAATGTAGGTTTTGTCCAGTACCTTACACAAAGTAAATTCTCAATAATCTATGAATCATTAATATTTGAAGATGTCAGAACAAGCCATAACTTACACACACTCACACACAATCTATCCGTGATTCATTTGCTTTCTGGCACTGTAGACTTGTTTCTAATAATAGTTATTTGTGAAAGGGGAGGATGGCAGCTGGATTAAAAGACAGAGCAGAGGGGATGGTACAGCGGGTAGGGTGCTTGCTGAAACTACAGCCCATCTGGGTTCGATTCCCGGCACTCCATGTGGTCCCCTGAGCACCAACAGGAGTGATTCCTGATTTCAGGGACAGGAGTAGCCCCTGAGCACCACCAGGTGTGCTCCCCCCACCCAAACACAAAAAATCAATCAAACAAACTAACAAACAAAAACCAGAGCAGAACAGGCATTAGGAGAGATGGAGAGCCTGAATTAACCCTACAATCACAAACAAGCACAACCTGTTTCCTTTTGTAAGAGGAAAGCTGAGGCTTCCAGGAAACAGGCTTCCTGCAAGGTTTCTCCTTCCTGTTGGCCACTGCAGACTGGCTGCCTTGACAGGCAGATCAGGGCAAATCCCAAAACCCTTTCTAACCCTCTTCCAGCCACAGTGCACCCCTACTTTCCTGAATTCTGGTGTTATTCTCCTTTCTACAAGGGGAAGGCCTTAGACACAAGAGAGAAGTGTTCCCAACAAACACAGAGTGGTGTGGCATGGACTGATGTTCAACAGTGGGGGTGAGCATCTGAGAGAGCCTTACCCTATTGTCGTGGAAGATCTCTCCTGCCTTTCCCGTCAAGGTGTAGAAAAGGCTTGTGTTATTCATCTGCTTAGAGCTCATTTGCCCGGCAATGATGTGGAGTTTCACGAAGTACTGGGCATCCTGAGTATCCATGGAAAGTTCTTTTACCTGGAAAAAAGAGAGTCAGATCCTTCAACTGCCACCAGTGTTTGATAGAGCAATGAGCTTTCTGATCCATGCACTGATTTGCTCAAAGTGTGGCCCTTTGAGATACAGTGGCCAAGTCCTGAGACCACTGCCCTTGGATTGACTTTTAGGAAGTAATGTTTGGAGAGGACCCTCTCACCAAGAGTGGTGCTCCTGAACCAAAGTGTGTGTGTGGGGGGAGTTGTGCAATGGGGAGACTTGGTGTTGGTGGTACCAAGAAAGAGGAAGTGGGAACAACTGGAACTGGGGGTGGGGGTGACAGACGAAGATGTGGCCATTTCAGGGAGCATTTGTAACCAAAAATGAAATAAGAACTTGTGTGAAAAAACAGAGAGGGGGGGTTGTTGGGGAAGAGAGATAGAGAGATAAAGAGAGAGAAGCAGAGAGACAAAGACATAGAGAGCCAGAGACAGACAGAAACACAGAGACAAACAGATAGACACACAGAGAGAGATAGAGAGATATTTTGGATATTAACATAAGGATTTCAGAAATACCTTGAACAAAGCCCCATTTTGTCAGTATTACAGACAACAGTCAACCCCTACAGTTTATTAATTGTGTAAATTTGTCCATATTCTAAACAGAAACCAAATGTGAAGTGCCTGACTTTCACTATTGACTTACTTGTCCCCACCCCTTGAACCCCAGCAGGGGTGCTGGGAGGGTATCTGCAGATTGGTAATGAGGTCACTCTGGCACATTCATGGTAGTGAGGCCTTAGGGTAGGAGTCTGAAATTTACTCTTTTTTAAGTTTCTGCAGCAAGAATTATTATCATGAAATATTCCGGGTGGGGATAAAACAATTCTACACAAACTGATACGTATGTGTCTGCATGAAACCACAAATGGCACCAATCCCTCAACGGGGACCCCTCCTTGGCCATTCTCCCCTCTGTTCCCACTGCACCAGCTCTGACCGCAGCTGTGTACACGGAAGAAGCAGCCTTTTCTGAGGGACCTTCCCTCTGTTTCTCTTCATGTTTTTTTAAAAGAAACACGGGCCTTCTTCACACAGTATTTAATTCATAGGGTGACGAGTAAGCAGGTTTGCAGTAAGCAAATCACATTCATCCCCAGACTGTAATAGTACTAATCCTTCATGATCAGTCCTGCATGGGTAACACCTGGCTGAGGTCACCAGGGGTCTGGTAAGGCAGTAGTAATGGGCTTGCTGGACACAAAGGTACCTTCGCTGGGTGATAATTCATTAGGTCGTACTCTTTAAAATGACTCTTTCACAGAGGATGATGCATTTTGTTAAAAGGGGTTTACCCCTAGTTCCTCCATCTGTATCAATAGGTTTCATTTTTACAGAGGTTTCCCACTTTTAGTAAGTCCTTCTTACTAGGGAATGTTCTTACAAGAGTCTGCAGCGTCGGATTATTTCAAATACTTACATTGAGGCCTTTCAGTCCCTTGTCTGTGGTCAACAGCACAGTGAATGGTCCCAGGTTACTGAGTGGCCAGCCATAGACTTTTTCTTAATAATGGAAATAAAAAGCAGGTAAGAGGGTGGCATGTGAGGAGTTAAATCAGGCACTGGCCCTTGTGATCCATTTACCTTCAGACACAAGAGCCACAAGAGCTGCTCTGTTCTGCTTGCAGGCTTTGTGTGAACAGGGAAGCTCTTGTTGGAGGTGTTAGAGCTCCCAACCACCAAACCTAACAAAAAGTTCTATGCACTGTGTATTTTTCTTTCAAATGCTTAGCCCCATGCCCGACTTCCAGAGCTGATGTTCAGAGCTCACAGGGAGCCAGGCTTGTTCACAGTTTCAAGAGCTGAGGCTGCCGACTTGAAATGTTTGAGTTTTCCATTAGAGGACCCTGCCTTCTCATTACACACAGGACAATGCAAGTTAGATTTTGGGTTCTCTTCCCACCTCCCCCAGGAAGGGGAACTCCGTGCTCCCATATGGGAGGCAGTGGAGACAAGCGATTGTAAATGGAGAGGGTTAGAGGTCAACTGGACTTAGTCCTGGGAAGCAATGAGGGTCCAATGTGTGAAGGACATTCTGTCACCCTGATCTGCTCTCATTGGTTATTCAAACAGTTCTTAGAAGAACCTTGTGAAATGTACTGTGGGGCCCTCAACAAGAGCATTTGGGCAAACTGTTGGCTAAGATTTATGCCAGGATGGCATTAACCCATGGAAGACACTTCCTTCTGTTTGCGTTTTTTTCAGGGAAATTACTTTTGGTGGTAAATTTTAGACACAAATTTTTTTTTTTTGGTTACTTCTGTCGGTTCTTTGGGGGGTGGGGGTTATCAGGTCACAACCAGCCATGATCAGGATTTACTCCTGACTCTGTGCTCAGGCATCACTTCTGGCAGTGTTTATGGGACCATATGCAGTGCGAGGGATTCAAATTGGGGTTGGCTGTATGCAAGGCAAACCCTAAATATTAAAATATTATTTTAATATAAAAATATCAAAATATTATTAATATTATTTCTCCGGCTTTAGACAGTGATGTTTTAAGGCTTCTGATGGCCAACTGTTTGATTTTTCTGTTTGTGTCTTATTGGAAGCCTTGCCCAATGCTATGATCCACTGTATTTCCATCTCAAATGGGGGATGGGGAAGGACCCTAGAGGGCGTTTGGAAATGATGAGCATATTCTAGATTGTCACTATGTCAAGGAGCCAGGAGGAAGAACTGGCACAGAGAACTAGAGGTGGGGAGCCAGCTGTATGAGATGGTCACATACGAGACTCCTGCCACAAATCAAATGGCACCTCCATGGAGGAACAGGAACACATATACCTGAGTGTTAGGTCACTCTATTCGCAACCAAACTGCCAACCTTGGTTCACACCTGGAAGGCCCCTAGGCCAAGGGGGAAGTGGGTGATTTCTGTTCTCATCTCAGTAGCTCCTCTGTCTTACTGCTGTTGTAGACCTGTTCATCACCTGCTCATTCATGACCCCAGACCCTGCCCTTAGGTCTCTTCCCACTCATCCCACTCATCACTGCATGGTTGGATTTCTTGGCTCTAATGACCGCATCCTGACAAACACCTGCCTGTTCTTTCTCTCCCACTGAATTACCTTTCCCCAGAAGATCAGTGGGTTCCCAGAATCACCCCTCCCCATTGACCATTTTTATTATTTACCGTGTGTGTGTGTGATACCCAGTGGTGCTCAGGTGCTTATTTATGGCTCTGTGCTCAGAGATCACTCCTAATGTGGCTCAGAGAACCATTTGGAGTCCCCAGAGCCTGAACCCAGGTCAGCTGCATGCAAGGCAAGCTCCCAACCCACTATACTATCTTTCCGGCTCCTCCATGGACCATTCTTGATGAGTATGCCCACTGCTTTCTGAATGACCGTGTCTTGGAGAGGCTCCTGCCTCAGAGGGGCCAGGGAAACTTGGAAGAGGGAGTTTGTTGCTGCATACCCAGGAGGGAGGTGAACGCTGTCAGCTTGCCCTGCCATTTCCCACCAGGTTCAATGTTGAGTTCTTGGAGGCGCTCCAGGATGTTTCCATGGCACTTCAAGCCATTGCCCACGTAACCTTTCCGGCAAGTGCATCTACAGAGAGGGTGAGAAAACATTCTGAGTGCCTGGAGTCACCAGTGTGAGATCACACAGCCCAACCCCCTCATGCCAGATGGGGGAAGTGATGCCTTGAGCAGCACAGAGATGCAATGAGGGGAGGAGCGCCAGAGACGCAGAGGCCCACGACACAGTTTGAATATTTTGTGGACATCAACACCAGGCCTTTTAAAAGAGCCCTTTAGCCTCAGCACATTTCAGAGTGTGATCAAGAGACCATGGGGCATCACGTGGGTTCTCACTATAACTGCACAAACACTGTCCTCCCATTGTTCATCAATTTGCTTGAGCGGGACCAGTAACGTCTCCATTTTGAAATTTGTTGTTACTGTGTTTGGTATATTGAATACAACACGAATAGCTTGCTGGGCTTTGCTGCGTGGGCGAGATACTCTCGGTAGCTTGCTGGGCTCACCAAGAGGGGCGGAGGAATCGAACCCGGCTCGGCCAGGCTGGCTGTGCACAAGGCAAATGCCCTACTGCTGTGCTATCGTTGCGTAGATTTCACAACAGAAGCACTGGGTCCGAATAAGTTCTGAAATAAGCTCTCCAGCAAAGAGTCAGTGTGCCGATGTGCTTAGAAGGTTCTTGCCCACCCATTCCCTTTTTAGCTGAGATCTCTTCCCTGACGCTTTGGTAGGGAAAACTTCCCTTCCTTGTCCCATTTCCACCTTTTTACCCCCAATGTAGATTGAGTCTTGTTCTAGTGTAATTTCATGATACCACGTGACCATTTCCTGTAGCACCAATCCCAGTTATAGTTTATTTTAACTTTTTTCTTTCTTTTTCTTTTTCCTCCTCCTCTTCCTCCTCCTCTTCCTCCTCCTCCTCCTCCTCCTCCTCCTCCTCCTCCTCCTCCTCCTCCTCCTCCTCCTTCTTCTTCTTCTTCTTCTTCTTCTTCTTCTTCTTCTTCTTCTTCTTCTTCTTCTTCTTCTTCTTCTTCTTTTGCTATTTATGTCACACCCAGTGATGATCAGAGGTTACTCCTGACTCTGCACTCAGAAATTATTTCTAGTGGTGCTCAGAGGACCATATGGCATGCTGGGGATCAAACCTGGGTTGGCCTGGTGCAAGGCAAATGCCCTATCCACTGTATTTTCACTCCAGCCCCTACTTTAATTTTCTTAAGGACTACTTTCTTATTTAGTCTGAGGAGACTGAGGGTAGGACCAAGTGTACATTAATTCACAGTTGAAACCCCAGGATCCAGCTCAGGGCTTGGTTCAGAGTTAAGATTTAAGAATGGTTATGTAATAAATATTAAATAAATTAAATTAATAAATACATAGTAAAAACCTTAGAAATCATCTTACAACATTGTTGTCTCATGATGGAAAAATAGAGTGCAGGGATACAGTTAAAGATGCATTAGCAGGAGTGTGCTGGTAGATGATTAAAACCAGATCTCTGGGGGAAAGCTCTGATGTGCAGCTTTTGCCAATTCCCAAAGCTCAAAGTCCATGTTGGCCAGTAAAAATACTACTGCGACACTTAAACGGTGGCAATATTCCTGATCATATATATGACAACCAGTGAATCGCAACTCTGGACTCCCACTGTTCGTCCTACTTGAAATGGGAAGGGTGGTAAGGAAGATGACGTTCACCGGGATCCTGGAGAAAAGCCTAGAAGAAAATACCAGGTAGGGAAAGAAAGTTTCAAAAGAGGGACAGGGAGATTGTGGTCATATTAGATGACAGATGTGACTGCTGCTCAGGAGAGGACTCCAAAGCCCTTGATTCGAGCTGTGTTTCTAAATACGGCTGGATGTAAGTTGTTCTACTTGCAACGGCATTTTTCACCCCCTGTCTGAGCCTTATCACTTCCTGCCTGCATTGCTCTGATATTTCCTTACTGGTCTTTCTGCCCTGTTTTTCGGCCCTGTGATCAATCCTTCACAGCTGCCCTGCTTGATTTTTTTTTCCCAAAAAGGGAAACCTGGTGTTTTTGTGCTTTTAAAATCTCCCAGACTTCTTTCATCTCCATGATAAGGTTTGGGTGCTAGGTAGGGCAGGCATGCACCTAGAAATAGAGGAGGATGTTCTTGCTTATCTCTCCTTCCTGCTGGTCTCAGCAAACTCGACCTTTATTTCAGATTGGAAGCTCATTCTCCTCATGCCGCGACAGAAGCAAACTCTCCTGACAGGGCCCTTCTATTGAAACCACCATTAAACCCTTGGTTCTGCTGGAGATGGGAAACTCTCTGAGAATCTCCATACCAGCTTTTGTCTCAGGTTTTCCAGTACCTAGGACAGTGCCTCATCGTTGAATAGAAAATTGACTAAGTACCCACTTAATTCTAGGAATCTTGAATTACAAGGGCTGTGAAACTGATTTCACTGGGTATCCTTCCCTTGTGTCTCACATACAGAAGAATAATCTCTTCAAATCATTCTAAAATCAAATAATTTATAGCAACATGGTGAAGTCACTTAACCTCCTTGAGTCTCATCTATGAAATGGAGTTAATAAAACCTGTGGTTGTTGATAGAAGACAAATAGCCAGCACAGTGCCAGACACATGACATATGGCAGAATCCCAGTTCCTGGCAGATGCCAAGGACAATGACGGCAGGCTGACAGCAGTGGCGCTGAGAGCAGCACTCGTGTGGAAGGGCTGGGAGATAGTAGAGTGTTAAGCTCAGGAACAAGCACCTTACATTTCAAGCTGCTTTCTACCAGAACCTGCCTCCAAGGATCAATTACTTCTCCTGTTCCTCCGAGCATCCTATTTAATTTTCTATGATATATCTTGGAACGTAAGGAAAGAAATTAAGGTAGCAAGGAAGAAGAAGAGAGCGGGAATTAATGGGTAGACAGGGGTAGGAGGTTCACTCATACTGGCGAAGGGAGAGAATGGTAGAGCTAACTCCTAAACAACACTGGAAACACAAAACCTAAGCTGTAACAACTGAGCTTTGTAATGTGCCTGTCAAGGTGACAGGCAGAGATGAGGGTGGGGATGGAGACAGGGTTTGGAAACTCTGGTGGAGGGAAGTTGACACTGGCGGTGGGATTGGTGTTGAAATATCATATGCCTCAAACTCAAAGATCAATAACTTTGTAAGTCACAGTTCTTTAATTCAATTTAAAAATTATTGTTTAAAGGTGGGAGAGAAAGCACTGAGACTTGAACCCTGACTCTCTCCCCTCTGCCCACAGCAAGTACAGATCTGTTGACTTGCCCCGTGCAAAACGATGCTTATGAAACCTCATAGGGAAAATCTACACTCTTGAGACCCAGGAGAGGAATAAAATGAACTTCCCAGGAAATAGGAGGAAGCTTTGGAAGCAAAGATGCTGTTGAATCATTCCATGACTCAAGGTCCTTAATGGGTCAGCACTCGGCGCGGTCAGGGGTGGGGGGCATCCTTGGCAGGTGCCCACCGCCACTGACAGGGAGACTAAAGTAGCACCAGGAGAAGCCTCTGTCTGGAAGCAAGTGACTTTATAGCCTTCAGTCCGCCGCTAATAAACATCCAAGACCTGTGCTGTTGTATCCAGAACATTCACTTATAAGAGAAGATATGCACTCTAAAGAGGAGACACCACTGGTTCCTCTTCCCCACAGGTCTGCGAGCTGCAAGGCTACCCACTCCCCTCCCGCCCACTTGGGCAGAGCTTCTGACTCGCAGGCAGCCCCATTGTTTGAAGGGGCAGGCAGAAAGCACCATCCTATTTGTTCCTTGTCCCCAGTCCTGTTTGGCACCACTTGGAGCAATATATCAGGGCTGAGGAAACAGGACTATACATCGGAGGCCAGAGACTGGGGAATGGGGCGTTTTCTTCTCCCAGGAGCTCTGACCACTCGCTGGCAAGCCAGCGGCCAGCTCCGTATTCCAGACTGTTCCTCTATGGGACAAGCCCCTAGTGACTAATTCTCTGGTTACATGGAGATCAGAGCGGAGTCTCTGCTCTGCTTCTTGCCGTGTGCACCGTGAGGGTGGGCTAGGGGGTCCTTGCCTCACCTGGGCAGGTGGCTTACCTGGTCTGGCCTGGGGCAATGGTGGTGCAGTTCGCGTGCTGGTGACAGGGGTTCCGGGATTCACAGAGGTCGGTCATGCTGCACCCCACTCCGGGTACGTAGTCGTGGAAGTGCTCCCTGCACTCGCAGTGGGACTGCGGGGGTGGGGGGAGCAGAGAGCAGCTGCTGGGTTGGTCGCTGTGCGCATGCTCCCCTGCCCAGCTGTTCTCCCTGAGCACCAACGTGCCGCTGGCTTTGGAGACCCGACTGGAAGCTAAACGCTGGCTGGAGAATCCCAATTCCCAAATCACGTTCCTGGGGTCTCAGGTGAGCGACACACCCAAGCATGCTTGGGGCTTACTCCTGGCTCTGCACTCAGGACTCACTTCCTGGCGAGGTTTGGGGGATGCTGGGGATTGAATCTGGGTCGGGCACATGCAAGGCAAGTGCCCTACCTGCTGTGCCTCTCTCTCTCTCTCTCTCTCTCTCTCTCTCTCTCTCTCTCTCTCGTGCCCATTTTGCTGACAGCTTCATTGTTCAAGCTTTTAGATCAGTTATAGGTGAGTAGAGATTGAGGTTCAGTTGGGACCGTTTTCTTACCTCAAAATAGTGGTTTTCCACCAGGGCACTCTACTGTGGGGTGCTGGGCAACACCTGGACTGTGTGTATGTGTGTTTCTGCATGTGTGTGTGCATGTGTGTGCACATGCACACACACACACAGAGCAGAGCCTGGGATTAAACTCATGTCCTCACACATACCACGTATGTCAACATATGCTATACCACAGCCCCTGGAGATGCTATTGGTTGTCACATGGGGGCGAGGGCAGTGCCACGGAAAGGCTGGGGTGCTACTGGCACCTGCAGCACAGAGAACAGCCCTTGAAGATGGATCCAGTCCAAGGGACTCACAATAGGGGCTTGAGAACCTTGCTCTAGGCTTTGGAAAGAGTGAAGCTCCTTCCGTGAAACTGTGGAAGTTTCTCAGCCCAGAGATGGACCTGGAACCTGCCTCTCAGCTCCTGTCTGTGTGGTGCTGGGGCCCCAGCCCAGGCCTCGCTCTATAGTGGAGCCAGGGCACCCATTTCTTGAGAGACAAAGTATATTTTCAGTCTCGTTCCCATGGTTCAGAGTGGAAAGAAAATTCTCTCTGGTTTTGAGGGTGAGGGTTGAGCTCCTTCATGTCTTGGCACACTGACCTCAGAATGGAGGGCAGGGATGATGAGTGACTGGACGTGAGGTGGGGGTGATTTCTAGCAGGAAACGTCTGGAATGTTCTCATAATGGTGTTTATGAGACTATGAGCCCTATGACTGTGTTTATGGGGAGTATGGAAGAATTTTCCTCTTCCTTCAATAGCAATGGCCATCTGTAGGGTAAGTGCCCCACACAGAAAATGTGACGGGCAGCTAGGGAGGGAGCAGGCACCCCCACATATGCAGTAAAGGAATGGGCTAGAGAAAGCTATGCCAGTGTGGAAACATGCCACAGCTGTGGCACCCCTGCCACGGTGTTGGTCAGCTGGCCCCATGCCCAGCACCCTCAGCTCACCTGTCCCGGCCCATCATACTTGCACACGGTGGACTGTGGGGGGCAGCCTCCAAAGTTGACTTGGCAGGGGTCCACTGGCAGACACACCTGCCCGTCCCCCTGGTAGCCCTCCCGGCAGGTACAGCGGTGGCGGTTCGGCCCCAGGTAGGTGCACTGGGCGTATGTGGGGCAGACGTTCTGGGAGCAGGGGTTGATAGCTTGAGAGGCAAAGATGAAAGAACAAAGTGGTTAAACACGTGCAGGGAAGGAAAACTAAGCTGAAGGAATTGCAAATTGCTGCTCAGCCTGACTGCAAAGGCAATCCCGTTTCAAGGAGGAAATACAAATGACTGCTCTGTGTGTGTGCGTGTGCACACGCATGTATTATGTGTGTGTGTGTAGAGGGAGTTCTGAGTGATGCTCAAGAGGCAGGGGAAGATCCTCTTGTAATTCTAACCCACTTTAGTGTGAGGACATGAAGATATGTGACAGCTTAGACCTCATGGTGCTGGGAATTATTTGGACTGCCCCAGTGGTGCTTAGGGTCCTCCAGGATTGCATCCAGCAATGCTCAGGGAACCATGTGGTGTCAGGGGTTCTTCTGGGTCAGTCACATACAAGGCATGAACCTCATCCCTGTACTATTTCTCCATTCCCAGGAATAGTTCCCCTTTTCTCACCCACCTATCAAAGAGATTATTATGGATGGCCATCAGAGATGGCAACTACATGTAAAGGTAAAGGTACTCCCATTGATCATCAATTTGCTCGAGCGGGCCCAGTAACGTCTCCATTGGAGACTTTGTTGTTACTGTGTCTGGCATATCGAATGCGTCACGGGGAGCTTCCCAGGCTCTGCCGTGTGGGCGAGATACTCTCGGTAGCTTGCTGGGCTCTCCGAGAGGGGCAGAGGAATCGAACTCGGGTCGGCCATGTTGGCTGCGTGCCAGGCAAACGCCCTACCGCTGTGCTATCGCTCCAGCCCAACTACATGTGATGTACATGAATCCAAATCTATCTATCTATCTATCTATCTATCTATCTATCTATCTATCTAAACTTAAATATAAACCTGCAAGAGAAAAAGCACTCATGTACAGAGAATTTATAGTACATAAGTGGCCCTTTTCCAAGTGCTTGTCATCCTCGATTAATACAGCCCTTTTATGTGGGAGCCACTCAGCTTCCCACTTAGTTGACATGAAAATGGAGGCAGAAGCATGTTAAAATATTTGTCCAACACCAATTATTTAGTAATGGGTAGATCTGGGATGTGAATTCATGCGATCTGCCTGGTTCCAGAGTACATGATCCTAGCCTCTCACAAAGCAAAGGAGTAGGATATGAAAAAAGATCAAGGAAGGAAGGAAGGAAGGAAGGAAGGAAGGAAGGAAGGAAGGAAGAAGGAAAAAAGAAGGAAGAAGGAAGAAAGGAGGATGGAAGGAGGAAGGAAGGAGGAAGGAAAGGAAAGAAGAAAGGAGAGATAGGAAGAAAGGAAGGAAAGAAAAAAGGAGAAAGGGAAGGAAGAAGCGAGGGAGGGAAAGAGAGAAAAGAAAAGAAGGAAGGTGAAATGGAGGGAAGGAAAGAGTGGGAGGAGGAAGTAAAGAAGAAAGGAAGAAAAGAAGGAAAAAAAGGAAGGAGGAAAGAAGTGATAGGAGGGAAGGAAGGAGAGAAGGAAAGAAAGAAGGAAGGAGAGGAAGGAGGAAAGGAGAGAAAGGAGGGAAGGAAGAAAATAAGGAGGAAGGGAAGGTAGGATGGAGGGTAGGAAGGAGAGAGTTTAGAAAAGAAAGAAGGTGAAAAGGAGGGAATGAAGGAGAGAAGGTGTAAGAAGGGAGGAAGGAAGGATAGAAGAAAGAGGGAGGGAAAAAGAGAAAGAGGGAAGAAAGAAAGATAAAAGTTGCAGAACATTGCATTTTACCCTAACATTGAACCAGGTGACACAAAACATGTGTAAACATCAGCACATGTGTTCTGTTTGGAGAAGGGACACTGTTTTCTCTGAGGACCCCCTGTGATGGGCCTGGTGCTTGACCCCTTTGATCTTCCGTTCAGCTGCCCACAGGAAACAGAAAGGGCCTTATGTCCAAGGTAGGGAGGCTGTGATTTCTTTTTCCTATGAGTAAGAAAAAAACTAGCAGGATGAGAATTCTACTCACGCTCGCATACTCTGCCATCGCCTTTGTAATTGGGGAGGCATTTGCATTCCAGCTTCGTGGCATCTTCACTGGAAGGGACGCACCTGGCGTGTTCTGGGCAGAGCAAGGCCGAGCAGGCGGGGACAGCTGCAGAGGAAGAGTGTGGAGGGACTGACTTTAGGGTTGGAGAAACTCAACAAGCGCAAAGGCAAAGTGGATTTCTTTTCTTTTTTTTTTCCTTTTCCATGGAAAAGGAAAAAAAAAAAAAGAAAAAATCCAGAACGAATAAGTAAAAAGTAACTCTTTTATTCTAACTCTCCCAGCCCACTCTCAAAGTAACCAATCATGCCAACAACCAAAAATAATCTAGTTAAGTATTTAGATATTTTTTAGAAACAAATGTGAATTGGTTAACGATGTAAATGATCAAATGTGAATTTAGCAACTTGGGTCTGGGATTATGAGTAAGTGGTAAAGCACATGCCTTGCATGTATGAGGCCTTGGGTTCAAATCCTGACACTGCATGTGCATGCCTGCATGTGTGTTTGTGTGTGTGTGTGTGCACGCATACACACACACACACACACATTAAACAAATGGAATAGTTAGCAACTTGATGTTTGATTTAACAATGCTGTATGGAGATCTTCAAGGATCAACTTGAGTCTCTGGTACTATATAATATTTTGCGGTCCAAGGGGAGTACTAGCTGTCAAAGTGCTCCGGGCTGCTCAGCGCACTTCATAACAGGAGCTTGAAAGTGTTGCATTCGACACTCTCCTTTTGGGTTTGTTTTTAGGGCCACATCTGGTGGTGCTCAAGACTTATCCTGCCTTTGTGCTGAGGGATCCTTCCTGGTGGGACTCCGGAACGATCCTATATGGTGCTGGAGGTCAAATCCGGGCTGGCCACGTGCAAGGAAAGCACCTTACCCACTGTATTTTCTCTCCGGCATTTCACTCACTACATTCCTTCACTTTTTCAAAGGAGAGTGGAACCCAGAGGGGAAGTTGAGTGAGAATGGAGGCACAGGGACAAAGCTCAGTGTTCACCCTTTGCCTGCTCTGGGGTTCACCAGTAGAGGGCTCTAGAAGGACAGTGCAGGGGGGCAGAGTTATTCCTCTTCCTCGTCCCAGTGAGCAGGGCGCCCTGCGTCTGCTGGGTTTTCCTTGCTGTCGGTAGTGTGGGCGTGTGAGACACCCATAGCAAGCCGTGCACCAAGAGCGCTGATCCCTCGGTCACCTCACATCCGCGGCCGGCGCCCAGTCCTTCCCCCCACTTGCACACTTCACATGGTGGGTGGGTCTAGCAACTTGGGTCTGGGTGCATCCTTCAGTGCCCCGAGGCACTGAAGGTCGCTGTCCGCCTGCCCACCTGTCCTGTGACGCTGGCCCTGAGATGGTCCCTGCAAACCAGTGACCCTGCCCTCTACTCTGTCAGCTGCCCATTCAGTGTCCCCAACAAAATCTGAATCCAGCCTTGGGCATGTTTGGCCTTTCCAAGTCAATATTTCCTTGGCTATACTCCGTCAGCCCTAAGATTTCTCTTTTGCATTTTTTAATAACCATTCTCTAAAAATAAAATAGCTTTTACAAAAATCTGCAGCATGCATAGAATCCTAGTGACAACATGATGTAAGTGTAGGATGGGCCCCGGTGGCAACCAGCATGTGTACATGCTCCACTGGATCCGCCACCCAACGGGTAATTCCACTCTTTTCCTCTGTCTCCCCTGCCCTGACTTCCCCGTCCTTTCCCTTCTTCTAGCCATGGATTGGCGTGTGTCCCAGAGTTCATTTTTGTTCTCTGTAGTCCATTTGTCTGTTTTCTTCATATAGCACACATGAATGAATTTCTATAGCATGTGTTTTGCTCTGTCTTATAGCTACTCTTTAAGCCTAGCTGATTCATTCTTTTTTCTTTTTTTCTTTTTTCTCTTTTTTATTTTTATTTATTTATTTATTTTTAGCTTTTTTGGGGTCACACCCAGCGATGCTCAGGGGTTCTCTGCACTCACTAATTACTACTGGTGGTATATGGAAAACTCTATGGGATGCCGGGGATTGAACCTGGGTTGGCCGCATGCAAGGCAAATTCACTACCCGCTGTACTATTGCTTCAGCACTCCGATTCATTCCTAAACGTCCCTTTAAAAAGCATCTTGTGGGGCTGGAGGATAGCACAGCAGGTAGGATGCTTGCCTTGCACACGGCTCATCTGAGTTTGATCCCCGGCATCCCATTTGGTTCCCTGAGTACTGCCAGGAGTGATCCTTGAGTGCAGAGCCAGGATCAACCCCTGATCATTGCTGGGTATTGCCGTCTGCAAACAAAAATCAAACAAAAAATCACCTTGTGGTTTCTATCTTTTGATTTGACCAGCTCTGATTCAATTGCTCCAAGAATTGCAAAGGATTTGAACACCAGCACTTTGAGACACAAGTTTTGCGAGCATTGGCAAATCATGACTTTCAGTCACCTTCATTTCCTGCTTCTGTTTTTTATCTTTGTGCCTCACCACTGAGAGCAACCCTAGATACTGGTGCCTTTACCAGCTGGCTAACTGGCCGCGTGCCACCCCCATATCTTTGTCTCCATCCCACCCTTCGCCAGCTTGACTTCCTAAAACACACCTGAAGACATGTCACTACGCTGCTCCCAGCATTCTGTGACTTCCAGCCTTCTGGCATCTTCACCCCCTAATCCTCCCATGTCCTTCTTTCTTCTCCTTTTCTTTAAAAAAGTTAAAAAAAACCCCAAAACTTGGGGGTGTCACATCCAGTGATACTCAGGATTTACTCCTGGCTCTGTGCTCAGAGACCACTCCTGGGGGACCAGAGGAGATGCCAGGGACAGGGAACCCTGCTAGGCAAGTGTCCTATCTGCTGTCCTATCACTCCATTCCCCTCCCTTCCTTTTCTTTTCCCCCTTTCTTTGTAATTTTCTTGTTTTCTTCCAGTGAAATGTGTTCATGGCCTTGTCCCTGGAGAGCCCTGGGGCATGACCATGAAGCTGCTGTATGCACATCTGGCCTCTTTGGCCTGTGTGACATCCGGAGACAGGTACTTACGCTGGTCACAGCTGGGGCCTGTGTATGCCGAGTAGCACTCGCAGCTCCCGTTGCCTGTCAGCCCGCTGCTGCACACGCCATGTACACAGTTGCACTCTGCAGGCAGAGAGAGGCATTTTCAGGATCTGACATTAGGCTCTTTTTATATTTTGTTTTGTGTTTGGGGCCACTGCTGGCTGTGCTCAGGACTTACTCTTGGCTCTGAGCTTGGGGATCACTCCTGGGGGATTCAGGGGACTGTAAGTGGTGTCAGGGATGGAACCTGGGTTGGCTTTGTACAAGGCAAGTGCCCGGCCGCTGTACTCTCTCTCCAGCACCTCTTTTAATTTTTTAATTTATTATTGTTATTATTGGGCTGGAGTGATAGCACAGCAGGTAGGGCGTTTGCCTTGCGTGCAGCCAGCCCGGCCGAGCCAGGTTCGATTCCTCCGCCCCACTCAGAGAGCCCGGCAAGCTACCGAGAGTATCTCACCCGCATGGCAAAGCTTGGAAAGCTACCCGTGACGCATTCAAGATGCCAAACACAGTAGCAACAAGTCTCAAAATGGAGACGTTACTGGACCCGCTCGAGCAAATCGATGAACAACGGGAGGACAGTGCTACAGTGCTACTTTTTGAGTCACACACATGATGATGCTCAGGGGTTAACTCCTGGCTGTGCACTCAGGAATTACCCCTGGTGGTACTTGGGGGACCATATGGGATGCTGGGGATAGAACCTGGGTCAGGCACATGCAAGGCAAATGCCCTACCCACTGTGCTATCATTCCCACCTCAGGCCCCTCTTTTTAAAGATATATTTCTGGACTGAGAATCTTTTGAGAATCTACTGAGAATATTCATGATGCGATGGAGGACCCCTCCTGGGCTTAATCTTCTTAGTCTTAAATTTATTATGCAGAAAACGTGTTGCTAATGGTGCCTGCCTCATGGGACTTCTGTAGAGCAAAGTGTGATCATGGAATGAGGGTCAGCCTCTGCTCCCCTCTTAGACGCTGATGCCAAACATGGCCGGCCACCACGCTTCCCCTCTCATCTGCATGCCGGGGGACCCAAGTCCTCGCATGGGGCTTCTCTCGGAGTCTCCCATTCTGATGCAGCCTCCAGACAGGATGAATTGAACTTGGAACTGACAGCTCTGGGGAACTGGACATGCAGGGCCGCCAACAGCAGCCAAGAAAATGTCCTACCTAGGGCCAGCAAAGAAAGACACATTAAGGAGCCCTTGGCACCTGTTGGAGCCACTTCCACAAATCTGCACAGAGGCAGGAAACTTGAGGCATATGCCTTTAAAGAGGTCATAGCCCTGACCACGGGGGTCAGAGTGGCAGGATGGGGAAAGGCCTCCATGATGTGTCCCCTCGGAGTGGCCTCACAGTGGCCACCGGTTGCCATGCACATCCATCATAACTGTCACCTGCTTTTCGGATCCTTGCAGTTGGGGACCTACTCTCACTCCTCTTTGAATCCCCCTGGCAGGGATCTCTGGCAGGATGAATGCTTTCTAGGGGCTGAAAGGGACTGGGGTGGGAACCCACACTCTGTGGGCAGACATGGACCCAACCCTGCCTCTGTCTCCATCATAGCTGATGGCTTTGAGAAGATTCTAATTTTTGATCCACCAAAGAAGGGACCCCGCATAAGAATTGTCATGGACATCCAAGGAGATTCTGTATGTCCACTTTGGTAGATGGCCAGGGGCATGTAAAATGCTATTGTTAGGAGGCCAGGGTCGTGGGATTGATTGGAGGGTCGGGTTAGAGGAGGGGTCTTCTGTTTTTCTCTCTTTTGTTTTGTTCTTCGGCCACACCCAGCAGTTCTTAGGGCTTACTCCTGGCTCTGTGCTTGGGGGAACGTTTAGGATGCCGCGGATCGAACCCAGGTCTGCTGCGTGCAAGACAAGCTCCCTACCCTCTGTGCCATTGCTCCAGCCTGAGAAGGGGGACTTCGTATTCTATAGCCCAAGCAGTCCTTGAGCTATAGCCCATTGAGAAGGCTTGGGCACTGGTAGCTGAGACGAAAACTCTTCTTGGATGCTGCAGCGTAAAGCATCTCTCAATGCATCAATAGTGGGGAAGAGAATCTGGCATCAGGTTAAAGCGGGTGTTAAAAATAAACTGCAGTTAATAGAGTTGTCCTACTTACAGGCAAAACTGTCATCTCCACAGGCCAACACAGCACATGAAACCACACTGGCACCCAGTGGACATAGGCTGAAATGGCTTGCACATTCCCTTTGTCCTTGATAATGTGACTGGCCAGTTATCACTGAACCATTCACTCATTCATTCATTCACTCATGCGTGTTTGTTCATTCATTCATCTTCATTCATTCATTGTGATGATCTCTTAGCTGTAGATTGTTTTTGTTCTAGCTTCTCTTTGGCTGCTAAGATCTTTCTGGGTTATCAGTCCACGGAGACAGACTAGAACATTCCTGGATTAAAGGCGAGGACGGCTTAGGGAGGTTACAGGCTACTCGGGTCGGTCTGGCTTCAATGCCTGTTCTTTTCCTTTTATGTTCTAGAGCAACGATCCAACATAGAGGCCACTAGCCCAGTGTGGCAGTTTAAACAAGTAGGGAGTGTGAGCTAAAATGCAAATTCAGATACTCACTCTCCCTGGCCACACCACAGTGCTCAATGGCTGCATCATCACACAGAGTTCTACTAGCACCTAGTCTGGAGACTTTTCTCCCAAGTTTCTGTTTAGCTCTCCAATTTTATCTTTTGGGGGAGGTAGGTGGGAATGGGCCACACCTAGCAGTACTCAGACTATTTCTGCTCTGTGCTCAGGAGTCACCCCTGGTGGTGTTTAGGACCTGAATATGGTACCAAGGCTCAAGACAGGGTTATGTTTCATAATGTCCAAAAGGAAAGAGAGAGAGAGAGAGAGAGAGACAGACAGACAGACAGACAGATAGAGGCAGAGACAGAGGAGAGAGAAAAGGAGGAGAAAAAGGGAGAGAGAGATAGAGAGAGAGGGAGAGGGAGAAAGAGGCAAAAAACAGAGAGAGGAGGAGGAATAAACAAGATACATAGAGAGGGAGAGAGAGGGAGAGAAAGAGAGACAGACAGACAGACCGACAAAGAGACAGAGTCAGAGACAGAGGAGAGAGAAGAGGAGAGGAAAAAGGGAGAGAGAGAGGGAGAGAGGGAGAAAGAGGTAGAGAAACAGAGAGGGAGGAGGAGTAAAAAAGAGACAGAGAGGGAGAGAGAGAGAGAGAGAGAGAGAGAGAGAGAGAGAGAGAGAGAGAGAGAGAGCCTGTTACCAAGACATAGAGGCAGATGGGAGAGGTGTTGGGAGGGAAACTGGGGACATTGGTGGTGGAAAATGGACACTGGTGGAGGGTTGGTGTTGGATCACTGTATGATTAAAACTATATCAGGAGCAGTTTTGTAACTGTGTATCTCCCTATGACTCAATTTAAAAAAATACAGAGTTATGCTGAAATGACTTCAGACAAAGCAATAGCCTTTCCTTCTATCTGCCAGTGCCCTTCTTTTTCTAAATTTTGACTTTCAGAATAATTACTTGGCTTTCATGGCAGGAAGCCAGGAGGATGCTCTCTGTCTTCCTGCCCATTTCAATATTTGTTTAAAATCAGTGATGTCCTCTCCAGTGTCATGGAAGGGAAGTAGCAGTTAGGAGACATTATTTCTAAACAGTTGCTTGATAGTTTGCTAGCCTACTGCTATTTGTAGATAATATTAAAAATATAAATGTTGGTCTGGATTAACGCATAGTCCTTTCACTTTTCTGCTCCAAGCTGCTGGGTTCTGCATTAAGTCCTTGTGCTTCTGGGGCTGCGGCCGTGCTGGAGAGCCGCCCGTGGGGGGCAACTGGTGACCTCGGTAGGGCGTGAAGGACGGACCGGAACGCCCCCCTTCCCATGAGGTTTTAGTCGCCCCCACACTCCCGGCTCATACCTGCTGTCCACAAGGCTCCCATGTGGCCGCCATCTTTCTTTCCAGAGAGGAGAGGGCGAATGGGGCAACACCCTTTCCCCTCCGGCAGACTTGATGGCCTGGATCAATGCATAGTCCGTTCACTTTTCTGCTCCAAGCTGCTGGGTTCTGCATTAAGTCCTTGTGCTTCTGGGGCCGTGGCTGTGCTGGAGAGCCGCTCGTGGGGGGCAACTGGTGACCTCGGTAGGGCGTGAAGGACGGACCAGAACGCCCCCCTTCCCATGAGGTTTTAGTCGCCCCCACACCCCCGGCTCATACCTGCTGTCCACAAGGCCCCCATGTGGCCGTCATCTTTCTTTCCAGAGGGAGGAGGGCGGAAGGGAGCAACACCCTTTCCCCTCTGGGCAGAAATGATTGCCTGGATTAACGCATAGTCCTTTCACTTTTCTGCTCCAAGCTGCTGGGTTCTGCATTAAGCCCTTGTGCTTCTGGGGCTGTGGCCGTGCTGGAGAGCCGCTCGTGGGGGGCAACTGGTGACCTCGGTAGGGCGTGAAGGACGGACCGGAACGCCCCCCTTCCCATGAGGTTTCAGTCGCCCCCACACCCCCGGCTCATACCTGCTGTCCACAAGGCTCCCATGCGGCCGCCATCCTTCTTTCCAGAGAAGAGAGGGCGAATGGGGCAACACCCTTTCCCCTCCGGCAGACTTGATGGCCTGGATTAACGCATAGTCCTTTCACTTTTCTGCTCCAAGCTGCCGGGTTCTGCATTAAGTCCTTGTGCTTCTGGGACTGAAAGGGTGTTGCTCCCTTCCGCCCTCCTCCCTCTGGAAAGAAAGATGGCGGCCACATGGGGGCCTTGTGGACAGCAGGTATGAGCCGGGGGTGTGGGGGCGATTAAAACCTCATGGGAAGGGGGGCGTTCTGGTCCGTCCTTCACGCCCTACCGAGGTCACCAGTTGCCCCCCGCGAGCGGCTCTCCAGCACGGCCACGGCCCCAGAAGCACAAGGACTTAATGCAGAACCCAGCAGCTTGGAGCAGAAAAGTGAACGGACTATGCATTGATCCAGGCCATCAAGTCTGCCGGAGGGGAAAGGGTGTTGCCCCATTCGCCCTCTCCTCTCTGGAAAGAAAGATGGCAGCCACATGGGAGCCTTGTGGACAGCAGGTATGAGCCGGGAGTGTGGGGGCGACTAAAACCTCATGGGAAGGGGGGCGTTTCGCTCCGCCCTTCACGCCCTACCGAGGCCACCGGTTGCCCCCCGCGAGCGGCTCTCCAGCACGGCCACGACTCCAGAACACAGAAACCAATTTCTTAACTATCTGACTTTCAGTAGAAATACTTCCAGGGTCAATAGGTAAAAGAGCAGAAATCCAAAACCAACATTTAATTCTTGAACCCAGCCGTAGAAAGCAAATCACTTCACAATGCTTTTTCAGCATGTCTGATTTGGGGGGGGGGTAAACTCTAAATAATAGTGGTGAATCTTTTATTGAAACAATGAATCTAATCAAAGCAGATAGAGTGTTAACTAGAATTCATCTGCCTCACAGGGACGGGGAGGGGTGGGGGGTGGAGTTTTATTGGGGTTCTTCATGGTAAAAAATAAGTATTGGTAAAGGGAAATGTGTTTGATATTTGCATGACTGAGACAGAAACCTGAAAGCTTTGTAACCTTTCCCACAGTGATTCAATAAATAAATAAAAAAATATATAAATGTGAGAAATATGCTTTAAATTTGCTTTTTACAAATTTTCCTTATGGAATCATCTTTCATGGAGTGGAGGATAAATAAAGATTTGGGCACTAGGGGAAGCTTGATACTTACAATTATAATTGTTAACATTCCTTGTGCACTGATCATCCCATTAAATCCTTACAATTATCCTAGAGGAGGTAATAGCATTTTTATTTTAACAAAGGAAGCCACAGACAGATGGTGTGTTAAAGAAAAAAAACTTAAGTTCCCTGGCCAGAAAGATAGTAGAGTGGGTAAGGCACTTGTCTTGCAGGAGGCAGAGTTGGGTTTGATCCTCCACACCCCATATGAACCTGCTGCACCATCAGGAATGATCCTTGAGAAAACAGCCAGGAGAAAGTCCTGGGCACAGGTGTGTAGCTACCCTACCCCTCAAAAACAAAACAAGATCAACTTAATGTTTCAAATTTATAATTTGGGATGAAAGTCAACCTGAGGCTTCCACCAGAGTTCTAGAAATTATTTTCCTATACTGTTTCAAACCATGCTCCTGGGTCAAAGTAATGTGGCTGGAGCGAATTAAGATAGTTATTCATACTTATTTATTCTTGCTCCCACTCTGTCATGGGTACATTCACTTACTCTTTTCATTCGCTCATTGTATTCATCCCAGCCACAAAAGAGCAGTGTGTGACCCTGAAGCAGAAGGCTCTGTTGAAGGTGTTGGAGATGAAGAGACAGCGCAAGACATATGCATACCAGGAGCCCATGAATTAAACTGAGAAATCGCCCACTGCAGCCAAGAATTTATGACAGTGTGCCAATTTATCCAGGCTTGGATGTCTGATGTGTGTATGTCGATTTTCTTGCAAAAATTACTTAGTCAACGCAACAATGACTGAAGCTGATTTTTCCATGAAGGCCAGAACCAAGGCGGTGTTGGAGAAACTGTTAGTTTTGTGTGTGTGTGTGTGTGTGTGTGTGTGTGTGTGTGTGTGTGTGAGATTATGGATCTGGTAGGCTTGGTCCCTCCTCTTTATTTTCTAGACTTCGGAAGTCTGAATTTCAGCCCACTTCCAGTATCCTGCAGACCCTGCCTAGGAAGACTGCACCATTGTGGGAAGTTCCTCCAAAACAAAGACCCCTTCCCTTACCCACTGTGGATATTTCTTTCCTATGGCTGCCATAACACATCACCACAGGATGTAACAGTGTCACAATAAAACCTATGCAAGATGTATTAAGGAGGTTGGAAGTCCATAATCACTCTTCTAAAAACAGGGGCAGTGTGATGGGTTCTCCTCCTTTCCGGTTCTCTTCCTTCTGATTTCTGGAGATTTCTGGAGACCATCCACTGACTTGACTAGTTTCCTCCTTTCATTTGGGGAGTGGGTGGGGGAAGGAACAGGGAAGATGGGAAGAAATGGATGACGGAGTAGAAAGTGGTAGGGCTGGTGGTGGAAGTGGAGACTTCTGGGGAAATCAGTGCTGACACCAGGATCCCGAAAGACCTCAGGGGTGGACGGGCCAGGCCAGATGGATATGACTTCCTGGTGCCCAGGGGAGGGAACCTCATGAAGTCAGGGATTTGGGGGTGCTGGGGAGGGAAGACACAGGCAACCGTGCTCAGGGCTTATTCCTAGCTCTGTGTTCAGGGATCCCTCCTGGTGGGGATCAAGAGACCATATGTGATGCTGGGGATTCAAACTTGGATTGGGCCACATACTAGGCAAGTGATATATCCTCTCTCCAGCCCCTGTGCATTTAAGTGTTTTTTTTTTTGTAGGAGTACTGCTATTTATTTAGCCACTGATTAGCTGATTGAATTGGGCATGAACTCCACCTTAATTTTTTTAATTTAATTTTTTTCTTTTTATATTTATTTATTGAATCACTGTGGGAAAAGTTACTAAGCTTTCAGGTTTAAGTCTCAGTCATACAATGATCAAACACCTTTCCCTTCACCAGTACTCATTTTTCACCACCAAGAACCCCAGTACACCTCCCCTCCCACCCCTCCCAATGCCTGTGAGGTAGATGATTTCTACTTAACTCTTCTCTACATTGATTACATTCATTATTTCGACAAAAGATGCACCATTATTGTTTAGAATTTCCCCCCAAACAATCAGAATTGCTGAAAAGGCATTGTGAAATTTTTTGTTTTCTATAGCTGGTTATGAGAATCATATAATGTCACACGGCCACGATTTTGGATTTCTGCAAAGAGCCAGATAATTACAAGATTGGTTTCTGTGTGTCTGGTTTTGTGGCTGTGCCGGAGAGCTGCTCGTGGGAGCTGCTCGTGACCTTGGTAGGGTGTGAAGGATGTGCCAGTACCACTCCCCTTCCCATGAGACTGCAGTTGCCCCATCACTGCCGGCTCATACCTGGCTTTCCTATAAGCTCTGAGGTGGCGGCCACCTTGCTGCCAGAGGGGGAAAAGGCGGAAGGGAGCAACACCCTTTCCCTCCCAGGGAGGCATGGTGCCATAGTTTAACGCATGGTCCATTCACTTTTCTGCCACAAGCTTCCAGGATCTGAATTAAGTCCTTTTGCCTCTGGAGCCATAGCTGTGCCAGAGAGCCGCTCGTGGGGGGCAATTTGTGACCTCCATAGGGCGTGAAGGATGTGCCGGTACCGCCCCCCTTCCCAGGAGACTGCAGTTGCCTCATCACCTCCGGCTCATACCTGGCTTTCCAATAAGCTCTGAGCCGGCGGCCACCTTGTATGCAGTCCAGATGCATTTCTGCCCAAAGCCTCTGGGTTTCAAGATTTGTTTCTGAGTCTCCGGTATCATGGCTATTAATTAGCTTGATCAGGAGCCAGAAAGGCCGTTTGTAGGCGGCGACCTGGGGTCTCGTTGGGATGGGGAGAAAGAGTCGGCTCCACCCCCATGTGGTGAGGCCCCATGTGTCTTGTCACTGCAGGCCCAAACCTGACTGTCCAGTGGCCTCTGGAGGATGATGGTCACCAGGCCGCCAGGCACGAAACCTAGTCCCACCTGGAGTGGCCCAGTGCCAGTAACCTACTGCAGGAACAGGACGCATTTCTGCCAAAGACCTTTGGGTTCCAAGATTCATATCTGAGTCTCTGGGATCATGGCCATTAAGCAGTTCAATCAGGAACCAGAGAGGCCATGCCTCCAATTATATAGCTGAGCCGGAGGTGGTTTGTGGGTGTGTCTCCCACATACCTAACTTTTGGCCATTTACTTTCTGGTAAACTTTGTCCCAAGTTTTTGGGGTGTGGCCAAAGGCACAGAAGCAATTTTGGAGTATCTGAAAGTCTGACGTTGCCATCAGGCTGCTGGTGCACTCACCTCACAGGTACAGATTGACCTGCTGGCGGCACCATACCCCCAGCATTTAAGTTTTAAGCTCAGCACAGTGCTGAAAGGAAGGGAAACATCTTTCTGATCAGAGATGGTATTTTATTAGACCTGTTGGTTTTCTAATTTGCTGTGTAAAGTTGATTATGTATTATGTATGCACTTCAGTGTTTTCAGCATAAGAGTATTCTTTCTGGGGGTACGGAACATTTTTGACTTCCAACAAGTACAAACACATTCAGCGTCACAAAAATCAGACGTACCTGATGAACAATTGGGTCCAAAGAAGTTGTCGTCAGCACAGGTTTCACAGGCGGTGCCGCCAAAGCGGTCCTGGACAGCACCAGGGAGACACCATTAGAACCAGGAGACCCGGATCACTCACAAACCCCTTCCCTAGTCTGCCCACTGGGGGTCTCTCACATGGATCTTTGCTCTCTGCCTTTCCCAAAGCTTCTTCTAGTTCCTCCTTTTTTTCTTGACTGTGAGTAGCCTTTTACCAAGATCCTGGAACTTCAGAAGAAAACTGCCTTGTCTGTTCAAAGGTCTGGCTCTGGAGCCAGCCACCTTATAATTTCCCCCCCAGCAGGAGTGGAAAAATGCAAACTCTTTCCATTTTCCTTTTTTAAACAGAGTGGTACTTAATCCCTTTCAAAAGGATTTCTTTGTATTTAAATCATCTCAGGCTTTAAACCTGCAAAAAATTACTTTCAATTTGGGGATGACAAAGGAATTCAGGATCAGCAGATCCAAAGTTTAACAACGGGGGCCCAGGACAGGCCCTAAAGTGACCCACCACAGTGGTGATAAGTAACTGTAATGAGGACATTTCCACAAGCCTGTGTGATTTTCCAAGGTCTTTTCACGTCTAAGATCCCATTTTACTCTTTCAGCAAATGAATGGAGTTGCGGAGGTTTTATTAGGAAACCCATTTTACAGATGTCTCTGCCTAAGGCTGGGGGGCCAGAGGACTCACTCTAAGGTCTCCTGGTCCTACGAGATCATTCTGTGGAAGGCATATTGTCTTTCTGATTCTTACTACTTAGACTCCACCTGGGAGGAGGCACAGCAGGTAAGAGAGGAAGCAGCATGGAGGAGGAAAAGGAGAAGTAGAGAACTTACTTGGCAGGAGCAGCTTCCGTCTCCATCCATGCCTTCTGCACAGCTGCCCCGGCCATTGCAGGGCGACCTCGCTCCTCCCGGGCACTCTAGGGAACCAAGAGCTCAGAGTCACACACACTCTGCAAGGTGAGTTCAACACCCACAGAGCGTGCTCCCAAGTAGGGACAAGGAATCACTCAACACATGGATGGGGCCCTTTCTGAGGGGACAGGGGTGCAGAACCAGGAGCGTCTCCTGTAAAGAGGTGCTGGTCGGGGGGAGATGGGGGGGCAAAGCACTAGGCTGACTGCCAGTTCTCAAGCATTTCTCTTTCCTGGGCACCGATTCATTCCCATTCTGTAGTTCCTAGGGTGGCTGGTGCTGTTGGCAGTCGAGGAGGCGGAAGTTCAGAGGAGTCACATGACTTAACTCAAGGGCTCACAGTTTATAAATGGATGGGTTGGGAATTTATTGACTTTTTAAATTTTTATTTATTTATTTAAAAATTATATATATTTTTAATTAATTTTAAAAAAAATATAGCACAGCGGTAGGGCTTTCGCCTTACAAGCGGCCAACATGGCCGACCCGAGTTCGATTCCTCCGCCCCTCTCGGAGAGCCCGGCAAGCTACCAAGAGTATTCGATATGCCAGACACAGTAACAACAAGGTCTCCAATGGAGACGTTACTGGGCCCGCTCGAGCAAATCGACGATCAACGGGAGGGCCTTTACCTTTTACCTTTACCTTTATTTAAAAATTAAATCACAGTGAGGTTGTTCAGGAATGGGTTTCAGTACAATGTTTCAATACCTGTCCCTTTACCAGTATACATTTCCCACCACCAAAGTGTCCCCATTTTCTCTCTCTTACCCTCCCCCAACACCACTATGACAGGCTTTTCTTTCTTTTTTTTTTTTTTTTTGCTTTTTGGGTCACACCCAGCAATGCACAGTGGCTACTCCTGGCTTTGCACTCAGGAATTACTTCTGGTAGTGCTTGGGGTACCATATGGGATGCTGGGAATTAAACCTGGGTTGGCCGCATGTAAGGCAAATGCCCCATCCACTGTACTATCATTTTAGCCCCAGCAGACACTTTTCTTCTGTGTGTCTCTCTGTCTCTGTCTCTCTGTCTCTCTGTCTGTCTCTCTGTCTCTCTCTCTCTCCCCCCCCCATCTGAGCATTATGGTTTGCAACATAGATACAGAAAGATTATCATGTATATCCCTTTACCTACTTTCAACACTCAATTCTTGTCCAGAGTGATCATTTCCAACAATTATTGTCATACTGATCCCTTCTCTATCCTAATTGCCCTTTGTCCCCCACACACTTGTGGCAAGTTTCAAACCATTGACTAGTCTTCCTGACTCCTGTTTTCCCTGGCCCTGGATATTAGTCTCATACTGGTTTTTTTTTTAATATTCCATGAATGAATGAAGTCTGTTCTATATCTGTTCCTATCCTTCTGACTCATTTCACTCAACATGATAATCTCCATGTTCATCTACTTATAATCAAATTTTATGACTTCATTTATCCTAACAGCTGCATAGTATTCCATTGTGTAGATGTGCCATAGTTTCTTTATCTATTCATCTGTTCTCTGGCACTTGACTTGTTTCCAGATTCTGGGTATTGTGAATAGTGGTGCAATGAACATAGACATGCAGATGGCATGTCTGCTGTGTTTTTGGGACCCCAGGGAATATTCCCAGAAGTGGTATTTCTGGGTTGTATGGAAACTCAATTTGTAGTTTTTAAAGGAATGTCCGTATTGTTTTCCAAAAAGACTGGAGTAATCGGTATTCCCTGAACAATGAATGAAAGTCCCTTTCATCCACACCAGCACCGGTTGTTCTTATTTTTTCTTGGATTTGTGCCAAGCTCTATGGTGTGAGATGATATATCATTGTTGTTTTGATTTGCATCTCCCTCGTGATTAGTGATGTAGAACATTTTTTATGTGACTTTTTGGCTATTTGAATCTCTTCTTTGGGAAAGTTTCTGTTAGTTTATTCTCCCCATCTTTTTGATGGGCTGGGAAATGTACACTGTGAAGGGACGGGTGTTGGAACATCCTATGAGTGAAATGCAGTTATGAATAACATGACTCTAGGGCCAAGTATCTTATTTTTGTGCAGGGTAGCACCTGGGGTGCTCAGAGGCTTCTACCTTAGAGCTCAGAAGCTAAAACCTGCACCCCAACCCCCTGAGCTATCTCTCAGGCATATTCATCATTCTCACACCTGACTCAAGTCTGGGCAGCACCAGTAAGAAGGAGGGGTAAACTTCTCCGGTATTATCCGATCTGGGCTCGTACTTTTGAGGAATCCCTAGTTTGGCTTCTGGGCTGACTCAGAAAAACAAGAGTCTTCTCCACCCTGAGTCTTGGCAAACCAATGCCATCTTGCAGAAATGCCATCGCAAGCATTTTTATTCCTGCAGGCAACTCTTTGCATTTGATCTGGCTCCCACACTCACATTCCACTGAGGACCTTCCTTTGCATGGACCAACCCTGCTCCCGTCCCCACCCCTTCTGTCCAGCCCCCACATAGCCCTCCCTTCTGCTTTTTTTTCTTTTTTGGTTCACACCCAGAGATGCTCAGGGGTTACTCCTGGCTCTGTACTCAGGAATTACTCCTGTCTATGTTTGGAGAACCATATGGGATGCTGGAGATTAAACCCAGGTCAGCTGCGTGCAAGGCAAATGCCCTACCCGCTACACTATCACTCCAGCCCCTGTCCTCCCTTCTGGACCCTGACCCTCAAACATACTTCCACATCTGGGGGGGCTGATTTTGCCTCCCCTGAGTGTTCCTTCTCACACCTTGTGATAACATATGAGCAGAAAGGCAGAACAGGCAGAGTTCTCACTTGAGAAGACAACTCAATACTAGGCCACCAGCAGATCCCTGGGAAATTGGTTGAGCTTCTTCTCTTTCTTCCCATGACACTGGGACCATCTCCAGGAAGTCCCAGCTTCCTTTTTCCTCTAGGGGACAGAGAATCCAGGGAGGTTTCCTCTAAGGAGAAGCACTGCAGCTGCTGTTTCTCATCTCCTGGGTGAGGATGGTTACAAAGGAATCTTTGAAGGGGATTCTTCTCTGAGATTGGTACCATGAAATGTACCCCTCACATCTCTCCTATGGTGGCACAATTTCCTTGTGATCATGCTCATGGTCAAGTCACCCCCACTTTCCTTCTTTCAGGCAAGGCCACCAGCCAGGGTCTCCTCTGCTAGGAAACTGGGGTTGGAGCACTCAATCTCCATGCACTTACTCAGTTTTTTTTCTAGTGGTCTAAGACTTTTCTATCCATCTTACTTGGTTCCCTTTCTTATTTCCGAGCATCAGACCTAAATCCTCATCTGGTGTATCCGGGGATCCTTCTCTCTAAGAAAATTCTTGTTAACTAATTTCCTGCATGTGAAGCCCTGCCTTGAGTATGTGAGGGCAGAGAGAGGGCAGAGAGAGCCAATTAGATAAAGTTTTCTCCCACACTCTGGGTTTGTCAAATAGGTGAAATGAAAATAGATGGAGAGGTGGGTCTAGCCTACAACAGAGCTCATGGCTTGGGTAGCTGCGAATGAACTGGATTTTAGTCTACCTTACCCTGTGGCCACAAGGATATGACTGTAAATTTATGCAAAGTTTGGTGCTTCACACCCCCTAATTGGAGATCTCTGGGCATAAGACCCATTTTAGCAGTCTAGTCTGGTCATTCTAATGTATATTCATGTTTGAGAGCCACTGGATACACTGGTAAGATTGGGGGGGGGGATTTTCTCTGATAGGGAGGAGGTGAAGGTTTTTAACATTTCCTAGGTCACTGTGGAGAAGGAATTGATTAGTTTTTGCATAGGGACAGTTCTGTGTAGCTTGGGCTGGCAGCCAGGCAGGGTGGATGGTGCTTAACATGGTTCTGCTGTAGGTGAGTTTAGCAAGGGTAAGTGGCTGTGCTCTTAAGTGGATCAATTCTTGCTTCAGAGGAAACCAGAGAACTGGGATGTCCAAGAAAGACCAGTGCTGACTGCTGGGACTTCTTGTGCACCGAGAGACCCAAAGGAGCTCTAGTCCCCCTGACTATTCTGCAAACAGCCAAGTTATTTGGTGTGTGTTGCTTCTGGTGGCTAGAAGTCAATAGGAGCCTCCGGGAAAGGAGCAGGGAGATTCTGTAAACATTTTGCCCATCAGGAACAAAAATAGTCATCTTATTACTTCTTGATATTCTAAAAAGAAGCTCCACTTTCTGCTCTTGAGTTCTCTCACCATCAAAGTCAACAATACAGAGTAGTCTTGAAAGTTGACCGAAGGACCCATAAAGGCCCTTGAGTCTTGGCCTCTAGTGCTGGCTGTCAGGCCAGGCTGCCATGTTCTTTGGTTCTAGATTTTTTTTCCATAGTGGTGGTGGGCTCAGGTAATCTCTATGATGGAGCACCAATCTCAAACTTTTCTCAGTGAAGAGTAATTCCTAAAGGAAGTCATTACACTGCAATCCTCCAGAGGCCAGGGAATATGTCTTGTTGACCTAAGATTTCCAGTGTTCGTTGAAAAGCCACGATGTAAGCTCACAAGGGAATCCCACTTTCCATTTTATTAAGTGAGGTAACAAATACCTAGACCAATGCCAGGCACACAGCAGTGACTTCAGAAGAATTAGTGGAACAAATGAATGAATCAATAAGTATGTGACTGACCAAATAAAACTTGAAAGTACAGATCTAGGACTGAGAAGCAGGCCTCTGGGGGAGTAATTTAAGTGAGAGGATAGTAGTTGTTACTTGACAATAAGAGTCATAGACGGCTCCACTCCAGTGAAAGGTAGATGGTGGGAGAGTTTTCTTCCTAGGGGTACCTTGTGTTGGAAGTTAACACAGAAGCCAAGCAGAGGAAAAAACATGAAGGACACCTCTCAAGAGCACTGATTTACAGGGCAGATAAAGGGAACCAAGAGGGAAACTGAAGGTCCCACTGAGTTGAGATATAATTGGGAATTTGGGGAGACCTAGGAAATGCAGAATTAGGAGAGCCTGTGTCAGAAGTGACTGTGCCAAAATCCACTACCAAACTTGGGTTAATTACAGAACCTCATTTGAGGTCCC